CTCTCGGTCTCGCACCCGCTCGAGCGCACCCAGCTGCTGCTCCACCAGTCCTTCAAGCACCTGCACTCCCCGCCGACACCCCTCAAGCGCCACCGCAGCCCAGACTCGCTCTTCTCCGCTCGCGCGTCCACGTCGAGGGTCCGTCCCAGCCCTCTCTCGCCCACCCGCCTCAGCCACCCTCCAGAGCTGACCTCTGCGCGCCCCACACAGCCATGGTCCAAGTCGCCGGCCCTCCCTCGCCGCCGCCGCCCTCGGCCTCGTCCCGCGACCGCCTCCTCGGCACCCTCGTCTGCATCGTCCTCCGCGCAAAGAACCTCCCCAACAAGGCCCGCATCGGCAAGCAGAACCCCTACTGCACGATCCAGTACGGCCTCCACAAGAAGCGCACCGCCACCATCGAGCGCGGCGGCCAGCAACCCGAGTGGGACGCAGAGTTCCGCTTCGAGGTCCCCCGCGACGACCTCGCCTCGCTCGACGGCGACGACGACCACCACCCCCCGGCCCACGTCACCCGCGACGGCGGCGTCCTCCCCTCGTCCGCCGCGTCCACCACCTCGTCCTCGTCGACCCTCGCAAAGCTCGACAAGGCCCGCCCCGTCGTCCCGCCCCTCGCGACCGGCTACCCGCCCAACCGCCGTGTCCTGCGCATCGCCTGCTGGGCCGACGACGCCCGCGACCCAAAGTTGATCGGCGAGGGCGAGCTCGACTTTGAGGCGACCGTAAAGTCGGGCAAGTTTGACGGTCCGTCGGCTCCCTTCCCTCTCTCTCAGTGCGTTCGGCAGGGCCCACGAGCAGGCCCTGCTCGCGACGCTCGTACTGGCGGTTGAGACTGACGCTCCTCGTCCTGCCCGCAGACTGGGTCCAGCTGTCGCGCAAGGCGAGGTACGCCGGCGAGGTCTACCTCGAGCTCACCTGGTATTCGAACGTGCGTCCTCGTCTCGTCCTCCCTCTGTCCCTCGAGCTCGCCAGAGCTCGCCCGAGCGTCTGAGACGGTGGACGAGCTCACGCCCGATTCTCCCGCAGGAGCCTCGTCCCGCCCAGTCGCCGCGCAAAGCCTCGCTCGCCGCCGCCTCGGCCTACGGCGGCGCCGGCTCGCGTGTCGAGGGCCCCTCGGGCAGCGACGATGACGATGGGGGCGCACGAGGAGGAGACGACGACGATGCGCGCACCGAGGAGTGGGACGGCGGGAGCCAGGTGGGCCTGAGCGCACCGATGGGCGCGAGGACGACCTCGCAGGGCAGCTTTCGATCGGTGCGTCCCCCTTGTTTCTCATTGTCCATCGTGACCTGTACCGTGTCGACTGACACGCCGTCTCGACGCCGCAGGCATCTGGTCCACCCGCCGAGCTGTCCGCCGACTACCCCGACGCCGACCTCGCCCCCTTGACCTCGTCCTTCTCGACCCTGTCGATGGCGCCCTCGCACCGCCCTCCCCTCCCTCAACCTCCTGCACCTCGTCACGTCGCCGCCTCGCCGTACCCGTACCCGCACGACCCGTACGCCGCGTACCGCCCGGCGCTCCCCGAGCCGTCGACCTCGACCGCGCCGTACGGCGTCGCGCCGACCCCGAACCCGTACGGCCACGACCTCGCGAACCGCGAGGGCCACGCGTCGGGCTCGCCCGCCGCGTCGTCGTTCGGCCCAGGCCCGGGCGCGCCTTACTCGCACCCGCACCCGCATCCGCACCCGCACCAGTCGCCCGCACCGCCGCAAGGGCCGTACGGCGCGTACCCGCCACCGCCGTCGCTCGGCGAGTTTGGGCAGTACCCCGGCGCGCAGCAGCAGCAGCAGCAGCACCGGCCAATGGGCGAGTTTGAGCAGCTCGCGCACGAGCATTATGCGGGGCAGGGTGCGTCGCCGCCGTTCCTCTCTCTATCTCTCTTGGCGTGTCAGTGAGTGAGCCTGTGACTAACGTACGTTGCGCCGTCGTCCGCAGGCTACTCGAGCGCGTCGCCGCACTACGCCCCACCGCTCGGTCCTCCTCTTCCTCCCCCTTCCTCCGCGGCACCTCCCTTCCAGCCGTACCCCTCGTCCCTTCCTCCTGCGCCCGTCCCTCCCACGCCGCAGCCGCCCTACCCGTACCCTCACCCTCACCCTCACCCTCAGCCTCACGCCCACTCGCACTCGGTCCCGCCACCAGCTGCGCCGTACCAGCTCCCTCAGCCGCCGGTACCGCCCATCCCGCCGACCTCGTCGCCGTACTGGACCCAGCCGTACCCGCCCCCTCAACAGCAGCAGCAGCAGCAGCAGCACGCGCTCCCGCACGCGAGCTCGTACCCCTCGCTGTCGCACCCCGCACACGCGCACGGGCACGCGCACGCGCAGTACGGCTCGCCCGCACCGCCCAGTTCCGCGCCGCCGTTCCCGCAGCCTCCACCGCCGCCGCCGCCGGGCTCGTTCGCCCCGCCGCCCTCGCTCGGCGGCACCTTCTCGCCGCCGCCGCCGCCGTCCCTGCGCGGTCAAGGCGACTACCCGAGCATCGCCGCGCCGCCGCAGCCACCACTCGCACCTCCACACGCCCCGTACGGCGCGTACGGCGCACCGCCACCGCCGCCGCCGTCGCTCGCCGGGCCGAGCGGGCCGAGCGGCGCCGGCGCGAGGCCGCCCCTGCCGCTCCCGCCGGCGCCGCCGATGCACCCCTCGGCTGCAGCAGGAGCAGGAGCAGGAGCCGGGCCGAGGCCGCTCCCGGGCCAGTTTGCGGCTGGACCGCGGTAAGAGCCGGGAGCGAGGAGGGGGCGAACGTAGAGTTTCCTGAGGATGGTCGAGCTCGAGGAACGCAGTGCGGTTGCTCGATTCGATGACCGTCTTGCTCGAGAGTGAGAGTGAGAGACAGCGAGAGTCGAGACCGCGCGATTCAGGAGCGCGAGACGAGGAGAGAGCGTTTGCCAGACGGCCGACCGTGCCAGGCGCTCAGGCCGCTTCTCGCAGAGAGCTCTCGCTCTTTCCACTCTCCGCCCGACTCGCCCAGCGATCTCTGCTGTATCGCTCAGGAGTGCCCTCGCTGTGCGCTCTACTGAGAGAGAAAGAGGAAGAGAGAATGAGAGAGGGCAAGAGAAGCCGACTTTCCGTCTCTCGTGCGCCGCAGGTCAACGGCGTCGCACAGGCATTGCCCTCCCTCGACCGACTACACAAAGTACAAGCGCGACGCTCACGACCCAGGCGCACAGTGCTCGGCGTCGACGTTCGAGTTGCCCCACCACGCCCAGAAGCTGCCGAGCCCGAGGACGTAGATCGTGAGCGCGTTGATCGACGTGCCGGCGTCGAGCGCGCTCGAGAGGACGTAGCAGTACTGCGGGCGTCGAGGGAGAGGTGCGGAGCGCGCGGGTTAGGACGAGGCGACGAGAAATGGAGAGGCGAGACGAGGGCGCACCTTCTCAAACCAGCGAGGGCGGTACCGCAAGGCCCAGTACTGGCTGAGCCACGAGACGATGAAGCCCGGGATGAGGACGTTCATGGGCGTCTGCGGCGGGCCGATCGACTGTGGCGGTACGGGCGCAGGAGGTCAGGTGGCTCGCCTTGGGGAAAGGGGACGAGGGAGACGAGGGACGCACGCCGTGGAGGACGAGCGGGACGCTGATCTGCCGCCAGAACTTGTTGCCCGTGCGCTTGTACACGAGCCAGGGCACGAGCGGGAGGACGGCGCCGGCGAGGAAGCCCCAGTACAGGACGTGGTACTGCCCGTCGAAGAACTTGCTCGGGCTGATGGCGCCAAAGATGATGCTGGCGGTGAAGAAGATCTCGGGTTTCCGGCCGCTCCACTGCTGCGTCGGGTCGTTGAGGGTGCCGTCGAGGTAAGGGCGCTTGGCGGCGATGACGCCCTGGATGAGGAGGAAGTTGACGACCGAGCCGAGCGCCGTGCCGTAGCACTGACTGATGAACAGGTGCTTGGGCGGGATCTTCATGTAGCTGCGCAGAAAAGGAGACGAGTCAGTCGGCAAGATTCGTGTGCATGGGCCTCTCGGACGACGACGACGACCTCCTCCCGCCCGACGAGCGCCGCACTTCCAGTCACGCTCTCGCTCGCACGACGGCCTCTCGTGCCGCCTCATCGACGACCGAGTAGAGAAAGAGGGGACGCACAGGCCGAGTTTCTGGTCTGCCGAGAGGTCGAGACTTTGGAGCATGCACATGTAGCCCATGCACTTGAACGTGACGTTCGCGAGTGGCTTGCCCGGCCAGATCCAGCCGGCGACAAACTCGGTGATGACTGCGGGCGCGGTCGAGGACGAGGTGAGTTGTGCGTCGCCGAAAGAGCCTCGGCCGGCCCGCCGCAAGAGGCTCGACGAGGCAAAGAGGGAAGGAAGAGGACGCACCGTTGAGGCCGAGCACCGTATTGCTGCAGCAGGAGGGACCGAGGACGAGGCGGTGAGCGCGTGTTCCATCTTTCGGGTCGCGAGAAGGAAGGACGAGGGGAGGAACGAGGTGAGGAGAGACGACGCGACTCACGTGATGGCCGCGATGATGCCGACTGGCACGAGGAAGACGATGGCGATGGCGATGGCGAGGAAGAGGCCCCAGATCGGGAGCTGGAGCGGGTAGAACGTGAGGAGGACCATGGCCGCGACGAGGTTGACGCCAAAGATGGCGGCGTAGTATGACGGCGGCACCGGCTCGTACGAGCGCTCGAGCACTGCAGACACGAGAGGCTCGCGTCGGTACTACAACTCCACGATCGACGACGATGATGAGAGGGAGGCGGACGCACTCTCGACGTGGATGTCGGCCCGAGCGTCCTTTTTGGCCCACAGCGCCGCCTTGATGTCGCCCCAGTGCCAAAGACCGACCGTGACGAGGGCGCTCGTAAGGACGGCGAAGCTGACACCGTACGACAGGGCGAAGAATGGCGTGAGGCGCAGTGGGCCGACCTCGGCGTACTTGTCCTCGTTGAGCGACAGATCGGGATCGAGGATCTCGAGGACGTCGAGACGCTGCGGCACGACGAGCTCGTGAGTTCTCTGGACTTCTGAGGAGAGAAGAGAGGCGGGACGCACGCCGAATGTCGAGTTGTAGAGGTGCTGCGGGCGGAACTTGGGGTCAACTCGCAGGTCCGAGAGGAGGCGCAAAGGGAGAGGGAAAGAGGGTGCGACGCACAGCTGCGAGAGGCGAGTCGAACGACTGGGCGTCCCACAGGTTGAAGCCAAAGTACAGGATCGGGAAGATGACCCAGAGGTTGAGGGCGAGGCCCGCAAAGTACGAGCTCTGCGCGAAGAAGGGCGTGTACAGGGCGCCCGTGCCGCCGATGACGGACCAGTCGAGCGAAAAGTTGAAGAACCCGAAGCCGTCGTAGCCCGAGCCGAGCGTGCGCAGGATGTACTGTCGGCCGAGGGGAAAGGGCATGTCAGGTTGCCTCGAGACGACGAGGGAGAGAGGATGTGGGACTCATCCAGCTGCGATTGTCGATGATGCAGAGCGTCGCGATGCTCGTCAAGGTCGGGAACGCGACCGCCGGGAGGAACTGCCACACGAAGATGGCGACGAAGGCGATGAGGAAGAAGCGCATGCGGTCGCGCGTCTGCTGCTGCAGCTCCTTGGCGCCACCGTGCAGCGTCACGTACAGGGCGACCGTGACGAGCTGCGAGGGCCAGACCATGACGGTCGGCCGGACGCTGCGCGCAGGAAGTGGGCTTGAGTTCGGGGCCTGGCTCGAGGCGGAAGAGGACGAGGGGACGCACAGGAGCTTGTAGGTCAACCCGCTCAAGCCGAACCCGATGAGCTGCGTGCTGAGCAGCAGAAGTAGACCGCCGAACATGCCGAGGTCCGTCTTGTAGTACAGCGACTGGACGGCAATGATCTCGCCGGCGTACGCCGCGTTGGCGCCCGAGCCTGCGAGGATGGCCACCTGCGGAGCGCGAACGAGTCAGTCTCTGTCCTTCTCACGGCCGAGACGAGGGAGGGACGGACGAGGAGATGCTCCTTCTTGCCGAACGGGCCGGGCACGAGTCGCTCCGGAAAGAAGCGGTCCGAGAGACGGCCGAGCGGGAACGACAGGAGGATGATGAAGAAGGACGAGAAGGACGGAGCGTTGCTCTTGAAGAAGAAGATCTGCGAGACCGAGGCTGGGCGTGGGCGCAAGAGGGACAGGGCGGGGAGAGGACGAGGTCGAGGTCAGTCGGGGGCTCGATCCTGCGAGCAGAGGACGAGGACGCACCGCCAAACACGCACAGGACCGTCCCGAGGATGAACACGCGAGGCGTCAACCCGGGAAGAGACGGGTCGTCCGACTCTGGCACCACCTGCGCGAGCAAGTCGAGGTCAGTCTGTGAGCCGACCTGCGTCCGAAAGAGGAGGGGGCGCACCTTGCGCACGATAGCCACCGCGCTGTCTATCTCGTCCTCCCTGAACCTCGCCTCGTCCTCGTCGTCCTGCCCCTCGGTCCCGCGCTTGCCCCGCCTCGCCGCCTCGTCGGCCGTCGAGCTGTCGAGGTCGTCCATGAGCTGCTGGATCTCCTCGTCGTCGTCGCTCTCGGCCTCGTAGCCAGGCGGCCGTACATGTCGAGGCGACGGGCTGCGCCGCAGCTGCTCGGGCGAGACGGGTTCGGGTCGGAGGGAGGAGGACGAGGTGGGGAGATGAGGACGAGAGGGGCCGGCGAGCGCGCGCAGCTGGATGGCGTCGTCCGTGTCCGAGTCGGCTGCGATAGGCGAGTACGACATGGCCCTGCCAGAGCCCGGTCGAGCGAGCGGCGGTGCGAGTTGAACGATGCGAGCGGTCGCGCTCGTCCTCGCCGGACGAGGCTATCTCACATGATGAGCGGGCTCTCTCTTTGCGTAGCACGGTCGCGAGATAAGAGTGGCACAATCACAACTGGGAGCCGCACGCCGTCCTACACAAAGAGAGTCCTCGCCGCGCCCGCCGCTCACTCGTCCTTGGCGTCGACCTGCTCGATCTCGAACACGACAAACTCGTGGTACTCGCCCTCCATGAGCGTCGCGTACTCGCCGAGCGCCGCCGCGTCGTCGTCGTCGCCCTTGCCCGCGCCGTGCTTCTTGTTGCGCTTGCGCTCGTGCTCGGGAACGAGGAACGTCGCGAGCGTCGACAGGAGCTTGTCGAGCTGTTTCGGCTCGGGCTGCGCGCGAGGTATGGAGAAGGTGAATCTGTGCGTCGACGAGTACTTGACCAGTCGTCCCGCTCGGGCAGAGCGAGATGAGAGGGGAAGAACCAGCGACGCACCTTGATGACGGCGCCAAAGTAGGCGGCCGGCAGGCCGTACCGCAGGACACTCTCGACGTAGGCGCGCACGACCTTGAGGTGGACGAGGACCTGGAAGAGCTCGCTGAAGTTGATGCGCGACAGGCGAAGGAGGTCGGCCTGCGAGGCGAGAGTGCTCGAAGCGTCAGGTCTGGCCCAGCACGAACTTCCTCCCGTCACCACGAGGCAGTGGCACCGAGAGAGAGAGAGAGAGGAACGGCGCGACGCACCCACATGTCCTTCTCCTCGACGACGAGCGCCTCGAGCTCGCGCTTCTGCTTCTCGATCGCCTCCTCGTCGTAGGTAAAGTCGCGCACGACAAACCTGCGGACCGCGCGCGCTCCGAGTCAGTGACGACGCCGAGAGACAGGTCGGCGTGACACAGGAAGGAAGAGAGACAGGCGACGCACTTCTTCTCGCGAGCCTTCTGCGCGAACTCGTCCTTGACCCGGCGGAAGAGCGTGACCGAGTACAGCACGAACTCGTCGTCCTGCGCGAGCTTGCTGTGCGGCGAAGGACGGGATAGGTGAGCTGGTGCGCTCGAGAGAGCGAGGCAACCGCCGACGAAAGTGAACCTCGGGACGCACGTCGAGGACCGCGGCACGACCATCTGCGTCAACCGCTCGTACGACGTCTCCCACTCCTTGACGATGTTCCTGCGAGGGTACGCCGGGTGAGTGTCCTGCCGCGCCGAATCGAGGGAGGAGAGAAGGCAGAGAGAGGGAGGCCGCACTTGGGGACGGCGACGAGGATGGTCTCGAGGTACTCGGACCCGTTCGTGCTGGCAAAGTCGGATGCCGAGACGACGTCTGCCAGTGACCGCATCGACAGATTACCGCTGTACATCGTGGGCAACGAGTCAGCCCTGTGCGCTCGGCGCGAGGGAGGGAAAGAGAGGGAGAGGGGGGACGCACGTCTTCTTGCGAAGCGCGGTCGTCACCTGGCCCTTGACGACGGCGTACTGCTGCGACTTGTTCCTCTGCGCGTTCTCGATGCTCGCGACCTCCTTGACGAGCGCGTCGACGATGTCGCTCAGGCTGCGCCCGTCGACGCGGTACTTGGACCGGTTCCACTGCCACCGGTCCTGCGCGCTGCTACTGCCGCTGCTGCCATCGTCGCTGATGAGGTACGACAGGTACGGGCGGCCGTCGTCAAGGACGAGGTGCTGCGACAGGGGCGACGAGCGGTCGTCGACTGGGCGGCTGCTGGACGAGGACGAGGCGCCGGCGGCGGCAGAGGGAGCGGCGTTGGCCGACGTGAGGTTCCGGATCGTGTCGACCGTCTTCTGGACGGCGGAGGTGACGGCCGGGTCCTGCTTGGCGAGCGTTTCAGAGAGGGTGAGGAGGGACGAGAGGGTGCCGGTCTGTGGGGAAGCGTGTCCGTCAGTGAGTGCTCGAGGCGGGTCTCGCGCATGCTGGGCCGATGCGTAGAGCAGTGCGCGCTGCCCTCGTGCCCTGCCGCGCTGCGCACCGCCTTGGCGAGTGCGCTCGCGCCCGGGGGAGATGACGAGGGAGGGGGGAGGAGCGAGAGCTCACCTTGAACTGGGGGAACTCGATGAGGGCGGTGCGGCCGAGCTTGCCGTTGCCGAGGGCGTGGTTGAGGTCGTCGAGCTGCTCGTGCGGGTTGGCCGAGTCGAGCTTTGCCGTGACGAGGAGGAGGGACGAGGGGGAGAACTGGCTCATTGCGCCGGGCTGCCGTCTGGTGGAGCGGCTTGCAGGCTGAGGTGGTGCTGTACTGGGTGCGAGCGACTGCGCCCTGGTGAGCGGCGGCGTGTGGGACGACCAGGAGCGGCTCCGAAGCAAGTGGGGAGACGACGACGACGGCGGCAGCTCTCTCTCTCTCGCTCCTCTACGTCTGGTGTAGCCGACCTTGCTGTCGAGCGTGTGCGCGGACAGCCGCTCCCCAGAGCGCCCTGGCTCTCGGGCTGTCGTTTCACGGCTCGCCTCCGTCTGCTCCTCGCTCCAACTTGCGCTCGACACTGCAACGCCGCCACGGCAACTGCCGGCGACGAGGCATGCCCACGACCAGCATGTGAGTCTGCTCCCGCTCGGTAGCGGCGAACGAGGCCAGTGGTGCCTCAGCGAAGGTCGCCGCCCTCGGTCTCGCCTCGTGCGAGCGACTCGTCGCCTGCTGTCGCGCCTGCCTCTCGCCCTGCTGCCGCTTTTTCCTGCTCAGTGCCCTCGACGTAGGTACAGGAGCTCGCTGTCCTGTCTCGGAGGCGGCGAGAGCCTCTGTCGCGTGGCTGCACGCTCGTGCGCTGCGACTGCTTGCTCGAAGCTGCGCGCCACAAGCTTCTCTTGCCCGTCTGCTGCGAGCACGCCGTCTAGTCGTCTCGACAAGCTTGTCGTACGACGAGGTGGTGGCGCCGGCGATCGCAGCTCTCGACGCAGGGCTGGTGTGGCCGTCGACGAGGTATCGTTGCTCGAGGCGAGACTCGCTGCGCTTCTCTTGCTCCCTTGACGGCTTCCGGCCCGCCTGCTCTGCGGTCTCGACGGGCCAAAGGAGCGTCGCCGCCGGTTGGTGTCGCATAAGTCGGCGAGCTAGCCAACGCTTTCTCGCTCGAGAGGCTCGAGCCCGAGGTTCTCGGCGCGCCTCCTCGCTCGCTCTCGCTCGGCGCGCCCGGGCTCTCGAACATGGACAACCGCGAGACGGACGGCGAGATGCTGCACTGCGTCTCGTCTCGTAACGAGAGGTGCAGCGAGGAGGAGAGGGTGTAAAGCGCCACGTGCGCACGCTGTGCGCGTGTTTGCAAAGTTGTACTTTCCTTGCTCGAACCGCCTTGGCTGCACCGCCTCGTTCTTCCCGTCTGTAACGGACCTCCCTGAGGTATCGCTCGGTGTCTACGCAAGGACCACAGCTCGCGGCTCGCCAGCCAAGGGCCGACGTCTGCGCGTGATGATCCGGTCAAGCCAGCCCGCCCGCGCAAGCGGACGGGAACCCGGCTTGTTGAAGCTCGCAATCGCAATAGCCAGGTCACTGTTCAGTTGTATTGCGCGGCGCCGGGGCATCTTGTCGCGCAGAGGACGTCGGTTCGGTGAGGGCCTCTCTTGAAGAAGCCGCGCCAGCTGCCTCGTCGAGCGAAACCTCTTTTTCTTGCGCTCGCGAGCTCATCGCAATAGCCAGGTCACTGTTCAGTTGTATTGCGCGGCGCCGGGGCATCTTGTCGCGCAGAGGACGTCGGTTCGGTGAGGGCCTCTCTTGAAGAAGCCGCGCCAGCTGCCTCGTCGAGCGAAACCTCTTTTTCTTGCGCTCGCGAGCTCTGCTTCTTTTGCTTCGCTGTGTATTGCGCTCTGGAACAGGCGACCGAGCGGCGAGAAGCGAGAGCGCGAGGTTGGCGTCGGAGAGTGGAGAGCTGCCCCTCCTCGTCCCCGACACCTCGCATGCCCTGAGCTGCCCTGCGCCATGCCGGCTGCACTCTCGGCACCTCAGCGAGCAGCGTCGGCGTACCCGGCCGTCCCGCAGCGCCACAAGGACTCGCCCTCGCCCACCAAGAAGCGGCGCGTCGAGACGGGCTCCGACTCTCGTCCGGCACCGCGCCCAGAGCCGTCCAGGCCGCACTCGAGCCCACACAAGCCTCGTTCCAGCCACCTGTGCGCGCGACCGCCTGTCCCGTCCTGCCGGTCACCGAGCTGACCTCGCCCCTCCACCCGAGCAGCCCTCCGCCTCACTCGACCGCCCACCGACCACGCCCTCGAGCGAGCACGGTCGTCCAAGACGGCGATGCCGACCCGAACGACCCCGAGCTGCAGTCGCGCCTGCACTCGTCGACCCTCAAGCTGCGCGACGCCTGGGACGACATCCTCCGCCGGCACTCGCTCCCCGCACCCTCTCCTCCTGTCCCCTCTCGCGCCCCGGCCAGCTCGCCAACACGCCGACACCGCCCGGCAGGCCGCACACGCGCCATCCCTGTCGACGAGGACGACATCATCGACCTCGGCTCGATGGAGATCATTCAGGACCGCGGCGTCCTGCGTCGCTCTCGCGCCGGCGCGTTCGCCCTCGGCGGGTACACGGACGCCATCGACGACGTCCTCGTCGGGCCCGACACGGGCGTCGGCGAGCCGGAGCAGGGCGGCAGCGGTGGCGAGGAGCGCGGAGCGGCGGGCGAGGGCAGCTTCGAGGAGGAGGAGGACGAGGACGACGAGTGGGACGAGCCGAACGCGCTCGATAGCGAGGCGTACGCCGGCTCGTCCGACGACGAGCTCGGCGACATGGACGAGCTGCCGTCGCTGCCGTCGCTCTTGTTCCGCGAGCAGCGCCGCCGCGACGCCGACCGGCGCGACCAGCTGCGCGATTTTTGGGAGCACGAGGCGCGCGCTCGGGGCGGGTCCGAGGCGGGAGGAGGCGCAGCGCACGAGGCGGGCGCCGGCGCGGTCGGAAACCGCACGCTCGAGGCGGTCGAGGTGGCCGACGACGACGACGAGCTGGACTTCTTTGCGCCGGCGCCGAGCGTCGCGCCGTCGCCCGTGCCTCGGCCTCGCCGGTCGTCGTCGTCGCCGCTCCAGGTCGAGGTCGCCACGCCGTCGCGCAAGGTCAAGACCCAGTCGCACGCGCCGTCGACGACGGCGGCGCTCCGCACAGCTGTCGGCGCGGTTCAGCTCGCGTCGTCCTCGCCGACCCGCCCTCTCGGCACGTCGTCCTCGGTCAAGCCGCGTCAGCCCTCTTCGACGGCTGCCGCACGGCTCGAGCTACCCGAGCAGGCGTCGAGCTCGTCGGCGGTGTCGGCGGCCCGAGCGGACCAAGACGAGGTGCGTCCCCTCCCGCTCTCGCCCTCGCCTTTACGGCGCAATCGTCCTGACGTACCTCCTCCCGCACACAGACCCGACAGGAGAAGACGAGCGAGAAGAAGCGCAAGAAGCGCAAGAAGCGCAAAGGCCGTCTGGACGAGGCGACGTGCGGCGACGCCGAGGCGCTCACGCAGCAGGGCCTGAGCACGACGAGCGCCGACCTCGGACCCGCACGCTCAGCCGTGGCGCCAGCATCAGAGCAGAAGCAGGGCCTGCAGACGCCGCCAAACTCGTTCACGACGCACAAGCGCTCGATGCCGTACGCGAGGTCGGTGCCAGCTCGTCCTGTACGTCCTCTTTCCTCCCCTCCTTTCCTGCCCAGCCTTGGACTCACGCACAGCGCACCCACAGCCCGTCTCGTCTTCACCCCTGCGCGAGGTCATCGCCGTCGCGTCGCCCTCACCTACCGCCTCGCCCTCGCCTCGACCTAGCGCGCAAGGACCCGCCGAGCCATCGCGCTCCCCCTCGCTCGAGATCATCTACCCTCGACCCCGAGCGCGCTCCCCCTCGCTCGCCGTGTGGACCGCGCCCGCTCGGCCCGTCTCGCCAGAGCTCGGTATCCCTGCGCCCTCGTCGTCCGCGCGGCGCCCGCCACCGGCCCATCAGCAGCAGACGTACCAGCACCCGACGCCGACGCCAACGCCGCCGCCTGTACCTGTTGCGCCGACCTCGCGCGCGCGCCGAGGGCTCGCCACCGCGGCCGCCGGCAAGACGCCGACGCCGCCCAAGAAGGCCAAAGGGCCCCGGCACTCGTTCGAGCTCGTGATCGACCGCAAGCCGTCGCGCATGAGCATGACGCCGCGCCCGAGTGCGCCAAGGGCGGCGGCGGCGCAGCCTGCGTCGAGCGAGCGCGGCGCGACGAGGCTGCCCCGGACGGCGGTCAAGCCCGTCGGCGAGGACGTCGAGATGCGCTCGCCCGGCGGGCTCTCGACGCCGCCGCTGTCGAAGCGCTCGACGAGGGCGGCCCAGCCGCCAGCGTCGGCGCCCGAGCGCCTCTCGGTCGCGCCCGTCGCCGAGGTCAAGGCGGCCAAGAGCCGGCGCAAGAGCAAGCCCGGCCAAGCCGGGTCGCACGCGGCGGCGGCTCTTCGCGCAGCCGCCAAAGCCGTCAAGGCCAAGGTCGAGGCGGAGCCGGACGCCGCCGGCCTTGACGACGACCCGCTCTTGCTCGAGTCGTCGCCGTCGCCGGTGAAGAAGCGCGCCTCGACGACGGGATCGCGCCCGCAGCTGCGGCGGGCGGTGACGGCGACGCCTGCACCGGTCAAGAGGACGGGCTCGGCCTCGAGGAGGGTCAGGGAGCGCAGGATGACGACGGTCGCGCCGTCGTCGTCGAGGAGGGAGGAGGCGAGCGACGACGACGGGTTCGGGGCTTGGTAGATGGCGCTGGCGCTGCTCAAGACCGGGTGCAACTCGCTTCGTACAGACTGTGCAAGCCTTTCTCTGTGCGCCCGTTCCGACGAGAGCAACTTGCACCGCCGCCTTCTCCTCCTGGCGACCGCGTCGTCGTCGCTCTCGGCACTCGCTCAACACGTCGCTCGCGAGCACACCGACGCGTCCAGCAGCAGCAGCAGCAGCAGCTCCGCCAGCCGGCCCACTGCCCACCGTGGCGACCCTCGCGCCGAGCGTCGAGGTGGCCCCACTGCACGCCGTGCAGCTGCTGCACCTCGTCGTCTCGCTGTCCTTTACTTGCCACGCCCTCGCCGTCCTGTCGTACCTCCTCTCGCCGTCGCACATCGTCCTCCTCGTCCTGCGCGTCGTCCTCCTCGTCCAGTTCAGCAACCCGCGCCGGACCCACCCGACCCGCAGCCTGCGCTTCTTCACCGTCGTGTGGACCCTCCAGGCCGTCGGCATTACCGCCGTGCATGCCTTGACGGGCAGCCGAGGCACCAAAGGCCCGAGAGGCCACGCTCAAGGCGGCCTCGTCCTCGACTTTGTCGGCGTCGGTGCGTCCGCCCCTTCCTCTCTCTCTCTCCCCAAGCCTCGCTCGACCTTCCTTTCCGATCGAATCACTGACTCTCTCGAGCGACGCAGCCGCCACCCCCTCGACGTTGCACCTCCTCTTCATCGACGTCCTCCTCGCCCTCTTTCAACTCGCGACTCTCCTCGTCGCGTTCGGCGCCACCGTCCCCAACGACCTCGACGCGAGCATCAGCGGCGAGGGTGCGAGGGACTACTCGGCGCTGCTGGGCCTCGGCGCGGCCGAGGACGACGACATCGACGAGGACGTGCGGGCGCGAGCGTCGTCGAGCAGGTCGAGGGGGCGGAAACGGAGGGGATACGAGAGCGTGCCCGGTGGAGACGAGGATGACGACGGATTCGATATGGACGAGGTCGACGAGATGCGGCAAGAGGAGCGAGAGGACTCGTTCGGGCTCGGTGCGTCCCTCTCTCTCTCTTCATCTCCTCCTCGTCGCGCTCTAACTGAACTCGCCGCTTTCCTCCACAGGCACCTTCAAGCCACCCACTCCCTCCTCATCATCCGCCTCATCGTCCTCTCGCCTCGCCCTCGACCCCTCGGCGCAGTACGTCCGCCTGCCCGTCATCGCCGACCTGCGCCTGCGCACCGTCTGGGCCGAGGTGCGCAAGTCGGCGAGCCAGGTCGACACGGAGCGAGTCGATGCGGGTGTGCGAGGGCTCGAGGAGGGGCGAGGAGCGTAGCATGTATTGCAAGGACTGTACGACTCGGCGAGCGAGCTGCTGGGGCGCACGAGTGAGAGAGGCCAAAGCGCGCTTCTGCGAGAGGGGTCCGCTCTCGTCTCTTGCTCTTTCGGCGGCGCACAGGCTGCGGCGAGACGACTTAGATACACGGAGCGAGCAACAGGGGGCCTGCGGCGAGCCGGCGAGGGCTGAGAGAGTACGAAAGAGGTGAGGACGACGAGGAAGGCGATCGAGAGGACGGCTAGGCAAGAACGAGGGGGACGAGGAGACGAAGAAGAGGGCAGAGGGTATGCGAGTCGACGGTGAGGTGGACGAGATGCGGCGGGACGGCGAGGGCATGGACAAGGGGGAGGTGCGGCGAGGAGAGGTCGAGGGGTGCGAGCGCGAATCTTCTAGCCCATCGAGAGGTCCTTCTGCGAGCGTCGGTGAAAGTGCCTGTCAGTGCGAGAACTATCGAGAGAGAGGCAGGGAGGGAGAGAGAGTGAAGGTGACGCACGAGGAACTTGTCGAAATCGTCCCTCCTGACCTCGACGACGCTCGCGTCAAAGTACCGCTGCTGCGCCTTGGCCCTCGACCGGATCGCCGCCTCCTCGAACGCTCGCCCAAACCGGTTGCGCCGCACGTCGCCAAACTCGTCGGCGGGAACGACGCCGACGACGAGGAACTTGTCGCTCTGCTCGTTGAGCGCCGCGAGGACGAGCGGCAGGTTCTTGGCGGCGCCCGACGCGCCGCCGCCGCCCGCGCCTGCGGCCGTGTGGTGCTCGAGGAGGGCGCGAATCGAGTCGACGAGCCAGTGCGCGAGGCGGAGGAGCGTCGCCGGGTGCTGGAACACGGCGAGGTCGGGCCCTTCTTTGAGCATGGCGAGGCGGTACGAGCGGAACATGCGGATCGCCTGCTTGTCGAACAGGAACGAGCCCTGCGTGATGACGGCCCGGTGGAGCGCCATCGAGAGCGGGAGCGCTTTGCGAAGGAGGGACGTGCTGCGGGAGAGGACGGCGCTCGAGTGTGAGTTCGACACTGTCCGGCGGCCGACGAGAGAGAAGGAGACAAAGAGGAAGGAGCGACGCACTCTTCAGGGTCGAGCGCATCCCACGCGTACCAGAAGTTTTGCCGCCTCGCGTCAGACTCGTCCCGGTCCCGCCTCGCGCGCTTCTCCTTGTCCGTCATGCCCTCGTCGTCCTTGTCCTTGACCGTCCCGTCCGGGTTCAGGTTCTCCTTGTCGCCCTCGACGCCGCCGGGCGCGCCCTTGGCGACCCAGCTGCGCATGCCCTGCGCCCACTCCTCGCGCCCGCCGTGCTGCGTCGCCGCGCTGTGCTGCCCGACGCCGCCCGCGATGCCGCCCTCGCCGCCGACGAGCGCCCTCCTGCCGTCGGTCGCCGACGAGAAGTCGAGCCGGACGCCCGTCGCCGCCTCGAGCATGGCGCCGAGCGCCTCGACGCAGTCGGACGCCGACAGGTCGACGCGCCAACCCGACTTGCGGATGAACGACGGATAGGTGAGGTCCCACAGGCCGTACGCGGCGCGCTGCTCGTTGAGCATCGGGAACAGGGACGTCTTGAGGTCGGTCGACATGTGGGCGTACGTCTCGGACGACTCGGACAGCGACAGGCTGCGTGCGGGCGAGGACGAGTCAGTCTCGTGCGCTCGACGGGTAGGGACGAAAGAGAGAGAGGAACGCACCCCATCTTGGCGAGCAACCCGCTCAACTTCTTGCGGCCTTCGACGGTCCACAGCTTCATCCTCCCGCCGAGGTAGCCCGAGTGGAACATGGCGTCGTACAGGTTCCAGTGGCGGAACAGGCAGAACCGCAGCTCGTCGCTCGGGCGGATCGAGCGGTCGCGCTCGGACGTCGAGGCGTGCGTCGTCGACACGTTGCCGGCCTCGAGGGCGGCCGCCGTCGACGAGAGGCGCGCGACCTCGGTCGCGTACAGCGACTGGAGCGACTCGTACGCCGAGAGGTCGATGAGCGAGTTGGTGAGCTGGTGCGTGAGGCCGAGGATGGCGAGCCTGCGAGAAAGGAGAGGGGGGACGAGGGAGAGCGTCAGGTGCCGCTCGCCACGAAAGAGGGGTAGAACGAGGACTGTCGACGCACCAGACCGAGTCGATGTCTGCGCGCCCGAGCCCCTCGGCAAGGAGGTACATCATGCCGGCGACGCTCTGCCCAAAGCTCGAACCCTTGGCCTCGTACTTGGCCAGCTGCGCCCGATACGCTCGTCGCTGCTCCTTCGACATCGGTTTCGGCTGCGCACGTCGACTCCTTGTCAGTAGCTGTCACTCGAGGGCGAGCCGACGACTGGCGAGAGGCGCAGAGAGGGACGCACCGAGTCGGTCCGCCGCCGTTTCCTGCGCCCGTTCTGCGAGTCCTCGTCCTCGTCGTCTTGTTCTGGCTCGTCGTCCGAGTCGTCCGAGTCGTCCGAGTCCGTGTCGGGATAGGGCTGCGAGAGGGAAGGGCAGGGGGTCAGTCGCCGCGACCGATAGATGCCGGACGGATGGGGAACGAGGTCTCGAGACGCACCTGCAGCTCCTGGAACGCCTCGCCCTCGCGCTGCCACGGGTTCTCGGGGTCGATGTTGTCGTCGCCGGGCCCACCCTCGAGCGCCTTCTCCCTCACCTCGTCCCACACGACGACGCACAGCTCCTCCTCGGGCAGCGGCGCCAACCTTGCCCTCGCCGCCGCGCCTGCGCCGCCCGCCGCACCGAGCGCGCGTACTCGTCGAGGATCGAAGACGGCTTGGGCGTAGTCGCACCGCGTGAACAGGTTCGACAGGGCGATGGGTCGGTGCGAGTCGACGACGTGAATCATGCACGAGGGCGGGAAGTCGAGGCCTCTCTGGCCAGAGGCAGGGTCGCCCAGGCCGAAGAGGGCGTACAGGTCGGCGGTCGCGCCGAGGTTGATCAAGATGAGGTTGCGGATCTGTCGAGGGTGAGGGGCGAGGGTAAGCGGTCGAACAAGGACGGGGCCGAGGTCGTCGTCGACGACCAGCAGCGGCGTCGCCTCGGCCAGGTCTGTCGACAGGACAGGACGACAAGTAGGCCGTGCCGCATGCGCGTCGGCAGAAGGGCGCAGGGGACAGAGAGAGAGAGAGAGCGAGCAGACGCACCTCCTCGTCCCTGAGCTGCTGCGCCTCGTCGGCGAGTTGGGCCCAGCTGCCGACAGGCACGGTTTGATGCGGCACGTCGTCGGTCTTGAGGAGAGCCGACAGGAGGCGGGCGGCGCACAGGGCGTCGACGTCGGGAGCGACGAGGAGGAAGGTCGAGCAGGCGGCTTGTCCTCGAGCCCTTGCGACGATCTGCTGGTACGCGTAGGCGTACTGGCCGGACGGCAAGTACATGGCTCGACTCGGCGGGGCGTGCAGCAGGCGGCGGTGCGGTGCTGGAGCTGGAGGTTGGATCGAGATGAGGAGCGACGCGCCGCAACGCGCACTGAGGCCGAAAGCTAGTGGTCCGCTAGTCGGATTAACCCGAGTAAACGCTCAGGGGAGGCGGCAGTCTCCAGGGCGCTCGTCCTCGCCGCTTCCCGGTCCATCTTCCTTCCTCTCTCCCTCCACCACTTTGCCGATCCGCCTCGGTTTTGCTTGCCCGTCGCAGCCTCTCGTACACCTGCTACCCGCCGCACACCAAGCACCTCGCGCCCGACGCGCGCTCAGCCCGCACTCGACCCGCCCTCATCTCGCGAGACTTTTCATCGCCTCTCGTCTTTTCTCCTCGAGCAGTCCGGCCACCAGCACCCCGCCCAGGTGTCCATCAGCAGCTCTCGCACACTGTGAGTCTCCCCTGCCTCCTCGCGCGAGCGCCCTTGCGGGCCTCGCCGGCCTGCCCTCCTCGTACCCCTCCCCCTCTTCTTCGTCGTCGTCGTCAAACGATGACAACAATTCTGGATGACGAGTCTGACGGCAGGGATGGCGGTCCTGAAAGGGACCCCCTGCCGGTCATGAGCGATACCTTCCGGCTACCTAATTTCTTGACTGAACCCCCAACGACCGACGACGAAGAGCCTCGACGAGCCCCGCACGAGCAGCACATCCTCCAGCGCCAGTCGAGCAACGTACTGACTCTTGTCTTGCACGCGCTCTACAGATGCCGCCGCCTCAACCCTCGTACGTCTCGCGCTCGTCCGACAAGGCCTACGACCCTGCGACCCTCTCGGACGACGACGACGACGACACGGCTTCTATCACGAGCCGCTCGACGTGGGCCTCGTCGGCAGCAGAAGGCGGTGAGACGACTATTCTCGGCCTCATCGACGGCCGCATCTCGTCGACCAAGGAGGACGAGCTCAGCAACTGGAAGATCAGCCGAGTCGGCGGTCAACCCGTGCGGCCCACCCCCTTGCCTGCCTTCTCCTCGGACCACGTCGTGGTACTGACTCGGTCCCGTGCACCTGCAGTCGTTCCCGCTCTCGGTCCCGCCCTCGACCTCGGCCTCGCGCTGCCTGTCGTGCTCCCGGCCCATGCCCCTCCTCGCCCAGGTCTACTGCCCGCTCCCGTCATCTTCTCTCGAGCGCGTCATCTACATCTTCTCGTGCCCTCGCCCGACCTGTCGCCGCAAGGACGGCGCTATCCGGGCCTGGCGCGCCAACGGCCTGTGGGCCGAGGGCGCTGCCGAGGAGGCGCGCAAGGCCGAGGAGGACGCCAAGCGGGCGCGCGACGAGGCCGACAAGGAGGACAAGCGCAGGAGGGCGCAGGCGATCGACTTGGGCGGGCTCGTCTTCGGCGGCGCCGCGGCGGTGGGAGGGCTTGGGGCAGTAGCCGGAGCGGCGACGACGACGGGCGCTGGTGTTGCCAATCCCTTCGGGACGACCACGACTAGTTCCCCCTCCTCGTCTGCTGCCAATACTACTGCCGCTCGTTCCACCAACCCGTTCGCGTTGCCCGCCTCGTCGTCGTCGTCGCCCGCCGCCAGCTCGAACCCGTTCGCGCCCGCCGCGTCGGCCTCGTCGCCGTTCAACCCGTTCGCCGCGCCCGCACCTGCACCTGTACCTGCACTCGGCGCAACCCTCGCCTCGGCGGCCGCAAACCCGTTCGCGGCGGCACCCTCCTCGGCGGTCCCTCCTTCCGACACCTCCTCGGCCGCTCTCGCACTCGAGCCCGTCACCTCGACCTGGTCGTCGTCGTCGTCGTCGTCGAGTGAGGCCGACAGCCTGCCGGCCTACCCAGCGTGGTACATCTCGACGATGTACGAGCCCGCCGGCGCACCGGCCCCGTCCTCGTCCTCCGGCGCGCCCAAGGGCAAAGGCCGGGCGCGCGACGCCGACCTCACCGCGCTCACGAGCAGCATGTCGCTCGGCGACGGCGACGACGGTCGGCTCGAGGGCGTCGACGAGGACGACGAGGACGACGAGCGCGCGCGACCGGGCAAGGGCGCCGGCGGGCGGACCAAGAAGGGCGCGGCGGGCGGGCAAGGGCGCAAGGACGGGAGCGGCCGGACAAAGGCGAGCGCTGCGCCGAGCGCGGGTGCGGCGGCGGGAGGCGGCGGGTGGGAGGGAGAGGGCTACGAGGTGCAGAAGGTCAAGGGCGTCGACGAGGTCTTCTTGCGCTTCCAGGAGCGGGTGCAGCGCGAGGGCAAGCAGGTCATTCGGTGCGTCTCTCTTTCCCTTTCTCTCTCCCTCCTCCCTCGTTCACCCCGCCGTCGACCGGTGCGTGCCGCTAACCTCGCACGGACCCGCCCGCAGCTACGAGTTCGCCGCCCACCCTGTCCCCTACACGGCGTCCTCGGCCGCCTACCGCCTCGCCTATCCATCCTCGTCTTCCCTCGCGACTGCTCCCGGCGCAGCAGGCCCCGTCGCGCCGAGCGTCGGCGCGTACACCCCGTCGCGCCTCCCTCGCTGCCGTTCCTGCGGCGGCGCGACCGCGTTCGAGGCGCAGCTCATGCCGCACCTCGTCGGGCTCGTCAATGCCGCTCCCGGCGCCAAGGACGGCGAGGCGCAGGACTGGGCGACGGTGTGGGTGTTGAGCTGCGTCGCCGAGTGCGAGGGAGGAGCCGAGGGCGGCGGCGAGGGCGAGAGCTGGAGGGAGGAGAGGGTTCTCGCCGAGTGGGAGGAGGAGGCGGTCTAGCTATCGATGCAGTGCAGCTGTTTCCGACCGTGCTACTCTCGAGGTGGCCCGTGCGAGAGTTGTCTGCGCGCAGCGAGCGGGAGGTCGACCGTCGTCTCGTCTTTGCTCGGCGTCCAGCTTGCCTCTAGCTGTCTCTGATAGTGTACTGCACGGCGTGAGTACAGCAGACTTGCACCAGAGCGGCGAGCGAGAGCGTGCTGCGGTCGGCCAACTTCGTCGCGAGCCTCGCTCTCTCGCGCTCCTCCCACTCGCCTCGCCATGTCGACGCGGCCCTCGAGGACCACCAGAAGCTCCGCAGCGGCAGCAGCACCCACAGCACCCGCAGCCGCCACCCGCACCACGCGCAGAACCACCACGACAACGGCTCCTCCCCCTCCATCAACATCGGCCGCCGACCCTCTCGCTCGCCGCACGACCCGAGCCAGCAGGGCCAACACGCCGAGCGCCGTTCCCGAGGTCAAGGTCACCCAGACGCGCGCGTCCATGGCCCGCAGTGCCGCCAACTCGCAGCCCTCGTCCTCGTCCACGACGCGCCCTCTGTGGTCCTCGAGCCGGGCCAACGTCAGCACGCCGCCGCCAGCCAGCGCCACCACCCCGCAGGTCAAGCGCGGTACTTCGCTCGCCGTGCCCGGGTCGAGCCTGCGCCCAAAGACGCCCGGCTCGGGCCTCATCGCGCGCATGACCAGTCGCGAGAGCCTGCGCCAGCCCAAGACGCCCGCGCCGGCACCTGCGCCCAGCCGCCAGTCGGTCGCACTCGAGCACTCGGTCGAGAACTACGACGGCGCGAGGGAGCCGATCAAGGTGCGCCCCGATGCCTCTGTCCCTTGTCGCTCGCCGACCACGACTGACCCTGAGCTGGACCTGCAGGCCTTCCTCCGCATTCGCCCTGCTCCGCCAGGCGTGCCCATCCAGAGCTATCTCCAGGTCCTCAACGAGACGGACGTCCTCATGGTTCCGCCGATGGTGCGTCGTCGTGTTTCTCGTCTCCTCGCGCCTCGACCAGACCTTGACGCAGCTCGTCACCCTGCAGGACCACCGTCTCAACCCGTCGTCCTCGTCCTCGTCCCTGTTCTCGAACGCGCTCCTCCGCTCGTCGCACTTGCACCTCGACACGGCGTCGCACCCGTCGGGCACCCCGGACGACGTCCTCGCATCGCCCGCGACCAACCACCACGTCGGGCCCGACCCGTCGACCTACGGCAGCTTGTACAAGTTCACCTCGGTCTTCCCGCCGACCTCGCTGTCGTCGTCGCCGTCCACGAGCTCGCCGAGTGCCGCCACCTCGCAGTCGCAGAAGGCGTTCTTCCAGTCGACGACCCTGCCGCTCGTGCGCGACTTTCTCGTCAAGGGCGAGAACTGCCTCCTGTTCGCGTACGGCCCCACGTCGAGCGGCAAGACCTGGACGGTTCAGGGCGGGCAGGGCGACGACGCCGGGTTGCTCCCGAGGGTGGTCGAGGTCGTCTGCAGGAGCTTGAAGGGCGAGGTGCGTCGTCGCGTTCCTCCTGGTCCTCGACGGCCACGAGACTGACTCGTTGTCCTCTTCACTCTCGCAGAGGCGGCCGGCGAGCAAGATGACGCCGCCGCCGAGTCGTGCAGGTCCGCCTCTCACCTCGACGCCGCCAGGCGCCGGCGGCCCTCGCGAGAGCCTTCCCGCCAAGGCGGAGGACCCCGAGGGTACGTCCTCATTGTCCATCGACGCCTCGCGCACGACCTGACCTCGCTTGCCCGTCGTCGCAGTCATCGCGCTCTCGGACAGCTTCGAGTACTCGGTCTGGGTCTCGTGTGCGTCCCTCTCGTCCCTCATTCTCGCGCCCCTCAAGGACGGCGTGACTGACACACCGATGTTGCAGACTCGGAGATCTACAACGAGAAGATCTACGACCTGCTCGAGCCGCCTGTCCCGACTACCTCGACCTCGACACCGGCCGCGAGCAGCCACGGTGGCGGCGGCGGCATGTTCAAGAGCATGTTCCGCAACTTGACGACGGTCAAGCGCAGCGCCCTGAGCCTCAAGGCCGACAAGTCGGCGCCGGCGACACCGGGCGGCGGCGCGTCGCAGCAGAAGGTCGTCGGCGGCCTGAGGGAGGTCAAGGTCTTGAGCGCCGAGGTGCGTCCCGCCTCGTTCTCTTCTACTCTCCTGCGCTTCTGTCGCAGGGTGCCGACGTGTCTCTCGCCTCGCCACGCAGGAAGCGCACGCCGTCCTCGCCCGTGGCCAGTCGAACCGCAGGGTGTTCAGCACACTCGCCAACCGCGCCTCGTCGCGCTCGCACGGCATCTTCACGATCAAGGTCGTGCGCTCGTCGCCGCACACGGGCGCCGAGGTGTCGACGTCGCGCTTCAGCATCGTCGACCTCGCCGGGAGCGAGCGCGTCGTCAACACGCAGACGACGGGCGAGCGGCTCAAGGAGGCGGGCAACATCAACCGCAGCCTCATGGTTCTCGGTCAGTGCATGGAGGTGCTGCGCAAGAACCAGGAGCGCGAGAAGGGCCGCAAGGTGCGCTCCACTCTCTCCATCCTCGCCTCCCGGTTCGGCGACTCGCCGACGAGTACTGACTGCCCTGCCCCGGTCTCGCAGGCCGCCATCGTGCCCTTCCGCCACAGCAAGCTCACCGAGATGTTCCAGAGCTTCTTCATCGGCGACGGCAAGGCGGTGCGTCCCCTCTGCCTCCCCTCGTCCTCCTCGCACGGACCCTCACTGACTCGGCGCCTCTCCCTCCTCCTCGCCTCGCTCCCAGGTCATGATCGTCAACATCAACCCGTACGAGACGGGCTACGACGAGAACTCGCACGTCATGAAGTTCTCGGCCATCGCCAAGAGCGTCGTCACGACCCTGCGGCGCGGGCCCGACAACCACGTCCTCCTGGCGCCGACGCCTGCTCCTGCGCCGCTGCCCGTGCCGGCAATCGAGAAGAAGCAGGTCAAGAAGAAGGAGCCGAGGGTCGTCCGGGTCTCGCTCGTCGACGGCGGCGAGGAGGAAGAGGTTCTTTACGAGGGTCCGTCCTCGCGCTCTCTTTCCTCGTCTCACCATGGCCCGACGGCCAGTCACTGACTCGCCGTCTGTCTTTCCCGCCCGCAGAGGAGACCGACCTTGACGACGACACCGACGAGGACGAGTTTGTCGGCGCCCTCCTCGACGAGCTCAGCACTCTCCGCACGGCGGTGCGCTCCCTTCTCGCTCCCTCTCTCTTCACGACGTCGCACTGACGATCATCCTTGCCCGCACACGCAGCTCCTCGAGGCGCAGATGAACGCCGTCCTCGCCGTCTCGACCGCTCGGTCGCAGCTCGCCAAGGAGTACGAGGCCAAGATCCTCGCCATGGACCGGGAGCACCAGCGGCGGCTCAGGGAGGAGGTGCGTCGTCTCGTTTCCCTTTCCGACGGTCGTCGTCTCTCACGAGCGCCGTACTGATTCCGCGAGAGGGCCGTGCACACAGGCGGTCGAGGCCGACACCAAGTTCAACGCCAAGCTCGACATCCTCACGCGCCTCCAGGCCGCTCGTACGCCCGCTCGTGGTGCAGGTGCGGGCCGGGCCAGCTACATGACGCCGTCGACGGCGTACGACGACTCGGACAACGAGGAAGAGGAGGACGAGCTCGAGGGGGACGGTGGGAACGAGTCGGGAGAGGAGGAAGGAGAGGGAGAGCTGCGGGACGACAGCGAGGAGGTGCGGGACATGCTTCTGCCGGGTGCGGCCGGGGACACCAGCCTGGCCGAGTCGACGGTGCGTCCAAACTTCCTCTCCCTCTCGGCTCACCGCCGACGAGCCCGTACTGACATGCACTCTGCCCGCAGGACTCGATGTCGCCTCTCGCCGCACGCGTCAAGCACGTTACGATGCTCTCGCCGTCGCCTCTCGCCCAGTCGCCGCTCTCGCGCTCGCCGCTCGCGACCGACTCGGCGATGCTCGCCGCCGACAGCAACGTCGACGCCGCGGTCGAGAACCTCGTGCCGGTGGCCGAGGCCGATGGCGAGCCGCAAGAGCAGACGGCGGCACCGGCGACCGCCGAGGACGAGCCACTCGTCGTCGACGAGCAAGACGAGCTCGCTTCTGCCGACGAGGGCGAGATAAAGGCGGCTTCCGACGCCGAGTACGACCCGTCGCCTGTACCTACGCCCATCAAGGACACGCCGTCGCAGCTCTCGACGCCTCGCACCGGCGGCGGCGGCGGCAAGGGCAAGGAGAACGAGGCGCCCACGCCCGACGACGCTGCACTCGCCGAGGCCGACGACGACGAGGCGTACGCCGAGGCGGACGAGTTCGGCCTCGACAAGAGCATGGTCATCCGCTCGGGCAGCAAGACCAAGAAGACCAAGCGGTGCGTCCCTCTTCCTCTCTGTCGTCGCCCTCGTCCGCATCCTCGAGAAGGTCGACTGACTGACCTCGTGTCGACGCTCGCAGCAAGCTCGGCGTCAAGGTGCACGACGTCGACGACCTCGACACGATCGAGGGCATCCTGTCGCCTATCCGCAAGACGCCGAGTGCGACGAGCCGCTCGTTCCTCAAGCGCTAGTTCCTCGTCCTCCCTCCCTCTTTCCCTCTTCCTCTTTCGCCTTTCGTCCGCCTGTCTATCCCCCTCGGTCTCTTTCGTCTCTCTCTATTACCAATGTCCACTCGCGCTGCCAACGACGACATTCCTTTGCCTCGCCTTACGTGAGCGGCGGGTGAGGCGAACGAGAGGAGCGATGATTGCGCAGCCGCTTCTGTTCTGGTAGAGCTGTTACGAGAGCGTCCGAGAGTACCACGCGGCCCTGGGCAAGCGACACGACGAGCTGTCTCGCCTTTGCGGAACTTGGTCGAAGTCGGGCCGCGTCGTCGTCGTCGCCGCCTCGCCTCTCTCCCCTCCCCCACCACCGCTCACCACGACCGCTAGAGCCATGTCTTCTGCCACTGCACAGAAGCGCGCAGCCTTCTCAATCCTCGCCTTCCTCGAGGAGTCGCTCTCCAACGGCGCCGTCAAGGCCGACGACGTCGAGAGCATCCAGGTCGCCAGTGCGTTGCCCTCGTCCTCCTCGCTCTCAGGCCTGCTCGGCGACCCAGTGGAACTGACGGGCACCCTCACACACAGGTCAGTGCATCGGCGAGGCGTTCGGCGTCAGCCTCGAGGACGACCAGGACAAGCGCGCCTACTCGCTCAACAAGTCGCTCTCGCAGGTCCTCGACGAGGTGCGTCCCAGGCTCTCTGTGCACTCGAGGACGGACGAGAAGACTGACAGGCTCCTCCCGCGACAGGCCGCCAGCTCGTCGCCCGCCGCATCGGCGCCCAAGGAGGCGTCGGACGAGGACAAGAAGGAGGCCGAGGCGGCAAAGGGTCGCGGCAACCAGCTCATGGCCAAGAAGGACTACCAGGGCGCCATCTCGGCCTACTCGGACGCCATCGCCAAGGACCCGCGCAACCCGGTCTACTTCTCGAACCGCGCCGCCGCCTACTCGTCGCTCCAGGACTTCAAGCAGGCCGTGTCGGACGCCCGCGACGCGCTCGCCATCGACCCGAGCTTCTCCAAGGCCTACTCGCGCCTCGGCCACGCCCTGTTCTCGATCGGCGAGTACACCGACGCCGTCGAGGCGTACGAGAAGGGCCTCGAGCTCGACCCGACCAACGCCACCATGAAGAGCTCGCTCGCGACGGCGCGCACCCGCCTCGGCGCCGACATCAAGAAGGAAGACGGCGCCGAGGGCGGCGAGCAGGGCGCAGACGGCTCGGTCGCGAGTCGGGGCGCGCCGGCTGGCGGTGCGGGCGCGGGCGCCGGTGGCATCCCGGGCTTCCCTGGCATGGGCGGCGGCATGCCCGACCTCGCGTCGATGATGAACAACCCGGCCATTGTGCGTCTCTCTCTCTCCTTCTATCGATCGAGGTGACGGTCGCCGCCGTGACGAGCCAGAACTGACCTCGCGCTTCGGCCCCGCTCGCAGATGAACATGTGCGCCCGGCTCTCCCTCTCTCTGGCTGTCGCCTCTCTCGTCACCTGTGACTGACTCGTGTCTCTCTTCTCGTCGACAGGGCCCAGTCGTTGATGCAGAATGGCGGAATGGAGCAGATTATGAACAACCCGTGCGTCCCTCTCTCGCTTCCCCCTCCCTCTCTTCCCCTCATCGAGCCGGTACTGAAGCTCTCGAGACCTCGACAGGATGATGCAGCGCATGATGAACGGCATGGGCGGCGGCGGCGGCGGCATGCCCGACATTGGAGAACTCATGAACGACCCGACGTGCGTCCCGCCTCGTCCTCTCTCTCGTCTCTCCCCTCGTCGTCCTTGCCCTGACCTCTAGCGTCTACCTTCCTCTCGACAGTATGCGTCGCATGGCGGAGCAGTTTGGCTCGGCGATGGGCGGCGCTGGCGGCCGTGGCGGTGCGGGAGGAGCTGGCGGCGACTCGTCCAACGGCAACAACGGCAACATGTACTCTTGAACGGCCGAGGACTCGGATCAGTAGCTCAGTTGTACCACTTGCAAGGTCTTGCAGTCTGCCCTGTCCCTGCACAAGAGCGTGTTCGTCGTCGTCGTCCGCGCTCCACCCCGCTTCAACTCCGCTCTCGTCGTCCGCTCGCCTCGCTCCGAGCATGGTCGCCAAGCTGCCGCCGTGCAAGGTGTGCGCGAAAGCAGACTCGGGCAAGTACACGTGCCCGACCGACCACGTTGCTTAGTGCGCCCTTGGTCGTCGTCTCTGCGTGCACCGCCTCGTTCGAGCTCACCTTGGGCCCCTGCAGCTGCTCGGTCGTGTGCTACAAGAAGCACAAAGTCGACGGCTGCTTTTCGACCGCCGCGTACCAGCCTCCCGCCCGCCCTGTCGTCCCCGTCGGTGAGTCCATCTCGTCGCTTCCTCCCTCTCCCTCTCGCTCTCTTGGGCCGGAGCTGACTCTCCGCACCGCGCACAGCGAACGAGCCGCAAGAGGACGACGACCGACCTCGCAAGCGGCTCAAGAACCTGCACTGGCCCGCCGAGCCCGACCCGACGCTGTGGGACGACCCGCTCCAGCGAGACGAGGTCAAGCCGGTGCGGCACTCGGAGCTCGAGGCTGTCGGTCCGTCCTTTGCCTCCTGTCCTTCCTGTGCAACCGTGCCCTGCCCTGACGCCCTCTCCCTCGCAGCCACCTCGCCCGCCATCCGCGCCCTGCTCGCCCAACCCTCGATCCGCACGCCCCTCTCGCGCCTCCTCTCCCTCCCCCACCACCAGCGCACCGCCTCGCTGCGCGTCCTGCTCGGCCTCCCCGCCGAGCCCGCACCGGGCGTGTACCGCCCCGAGGGCGGCAAGCGCTTCGCGACCGCCGTACAGAGCGCAGAGGCCATGCGCGAGGAGCGCTTGGGCATGAGCTCGGCCGGCACAGGGGGCGCGAGGGGCGGGCGAGGTGGCGCGAGAGGTGGCGCACGAGGAGGGAGAGGCGGTGGGCGAGGTGGGGCGGCGGGAGGAGGAGGGCTGCGCGTCCTGCAGAGCACCGAGGAGGAGCGCAAGGAGGTCGAGCGGTTCGCGGCGCAGGTCGTCGACATCCTCGAGGCCGTCAGGGGCGCAGCTCGGTAGTTCTCTCGCTGTGTAACTCTCCTTCGCCGGCTTTCCTCGCGACCGACGAGAGAGAGAGAGACGATAAAGACGAGGCTCGATTGCACGGACAGACGGGTCGTGAGGGTTTAAGGCAGAGTACGTGTGGCCAAGGTGGAAGGGGACTACGAGAAAGACGAAGAGAGGGAGAGAGAGACGGAGAAGTAGACAAGAGAGGGTATCATCGCCAAAGCCGCAGAGCCCGGGGCTCATGCGCTCAGGCCCGGTCGGCCTCCTCCTCGGCGGCGGCGACGGCGTCGAGGAGCGCGCTCCTGCCGTACCCGGCCGACAGGCGGTCGTTGATCGTCTGCGCGAGCGCGAGCGCGTTGACGCTGCCGCCCTTGACGAACCCGAACCGGGCGTCGACGGCCGCGCTCGCGCTCTCGGCGGCCCACTTCTCGGGCTCGTGCGCCTCGACGAGCATGTCGCCCGACAGCGGGACGGCGACGACAAAGCCGCGGCGCGACGTTGCGCAGAAGACGTCAAGGTGGAGCGTCGGCGTCGACGAGGGAACGCTGGGGTTGGCGAGGGCGAGGGTCGTCGGGTACCGGAGCGAGGCGAGGACGATCTCCTGGCGGACGTGGCGCATCATGGTGGCGCGGGCGCCGATGTAGCGGAGGAGGACCTGTTGCAGTGTCGCGACGGGACGAGTGAGCCTCGCTCGAGAGGAGAGGGAAAGATCGGCGACGAGAAAGAGGGAGAGGGGACGCACCCTCGCGTCGATGCTGCGCTTGGCCAGCTTGTGCTCGAGGTCCTCGTTGACGAACGCGAGGAGCGCCATCGTCACCTGGGCGCTCAACGAGCCCGCCATCTTCATCGGGAGCGGCACCATCTCGCACGGCGCCTCGATGACGGCGAGCGTGCCCTCCTTCTCGAACCCGAGCCGGACGACAAAGTCGTCGCCGCACCGCATCTCGACCTCGGTCGGGTCGAACCGCACGAGGGTCCAACCCTGGAGGTGCTGGAGCGCGTCAAAGTCGGCGCGCAGGCGGACGAGGTCGGCCTTGGAGCGCTTGTCGCGGCGCAGCTCCTCGAGCATGGAGATCTCGTCGGCGAGGCGGGCCTCCTCGGTCGAGTACTTGTCGAACGTGTCCTCGTAGCTGATGAGGTGCTGCTTGATGCGGTCGAGCTCGGGGCGCTGGCCGGGGATGCCCTTGGCGGCGTTGCCGTTGAGCTGCTCTCTGCGACGGGGAGGACGACGAGCCAGGTGTCAGTCTCGTTCTCGTGAAGAACGTGAACGTCGAGAGGAGAGGAGAGAGAGGAGCGAGGACGCACTCTTGCTCCTCCGAGTCGGCGAGCAGGCTCTCGCGGAACTCGACGTCCTCTGGCGCCATGGCCGACAGCTGCGCGTCGAGTTGGCGCTCGGCCTCGAGCTCGGCATGCAGAGCGATATGGCGCGCCTCGAGATCCGGGATGACGGTCGCGACCTCGGAGCGGGCGAGCAGCGCACGGTCCTGCGATTAGGGCGAAGCGTCAAGACTCGTCTCGCCGGCGTGTAAGAGGGAGAAGAGGGCGTGGACGTACGTGCTTGATGTCGACAAAGCTCTGCTCCATGGCGTCGACGATCTGGCCAAAGTTGGTCGAGCGGGCCGAGGTGAACTCGAGCTGTGACGCCAAGAGGTAGTGCAGCTTGATCTGGCCGAGCTGGGTCTGTCGGCGTGGGGCGGGACGGGATGTCAGTGCTGCTCGGCTTGGAGACTTAGGAAGAGGGCGTCGGGCGCACCTTGATGACGTTCTTGGCCTCCTCGCTGGCGGTCGTCCACGTGCGGAAGATGGGCGGGACCTGCCCTTGGCGAATGGCCTCCTCCTGCTGTCGCACCATGTGCTGCAGCTCGTCGATCTGCTCCGACAGGATGTGCGAGTCGTTCGTGTAGAGGCGGTGGATGAGGCTCTTGCACGCGCCGACGACGGCGAGGTCGGCGTAAGTCGGCGGGCCCGAGGGACCGCGCGCGTCGGTCGACGGCGCAGCCATGCTCTTGCGGCGGTTGGCGGCCGACTTCTCGACGTCGACGAGCGCGACGACGTCGTTGACGAACGAGGTGCCGGTGGCGGTGAAGAAGGCGTCGAGGGAAGCTGGCAAAGCGGGCGAGTCCTGCACGAGGGGATCGCAAGGTCGTCAGTGTCGCGTCGACGAGTATCGAGGAGAGGGAAGGAAGAGAAGAGAGGAATGCGGTCGACGCACGTTGTCGTGCGAGAAGCTGCCGTCGAACGAGGTCCCGGTGAGGTTGAGCTCGTCGCCGTCTGCGCCGCCCTTGAGCTCTGCGACGCGCTTGTCGCCGACGCCGCCCGCCTCGTCCTTTGCGCCGCCCTTGCCGAGGAGCGCCCGCAGCGACAGGCTGCCGCCGGGCGAGCGCCCGACCGACAGCGGCGGCGCGACCGAGCGCGGCTGGAAGACGACGCGGCCGGGCGTCGTCGGCGCCTGCGCCTGCTTGACGGGCGACATCGAGCGCGACCGAGAGCGCGAGCGCGAGCGCATCGTGATGCCCGGGCTCGCAGGCGGCTGCTGCTCCTTGAGGTCGAGCCCGTTGAGCGGCGCGGTGGCGGCCGCCGGCGTGGCGCCCGCCTTTTCGACCTCGGCGGTCGCCGACGCCGACGCGTCCTTAGCGGGCGACGGCTCACGACGAGCGCGACCCGGGCTCTTGGGCGTGGCGCCGAGCATCGCGGCAGGAAGGCTCGACGTGCCGGCGCGCGGCGAGTCGAACGGGACGCGCCTCGGCGAGCGGAACGGCGACGAGCGGGCGCCGCCGGGTGGCGCAGGGCTCGTCGAGAAGCGCCCGCTGCCGCGGCCGCCGAGGAAAGGCGAGCGCGTCGGGGTCCGTGCGCCGCCGGCCGCCTCGAGCGGGACCGACAGGGCGCGGGTGAGGCCCGGGCGGGCCGCGCCGATGGACGACGACGACGACGCAGTCGGGCGCACGGGCGAGACGTACGCTGCGGCGCGGTCGGCGGCGGACTTGTGTGGCGACTGGGCCTGGAAGGGCGGGGCCGACCCGGCGCGCTCAAACAGGTGCGGCGGGGCGGTGAGGGAGGGCCCGAGCGACTGGCGGATGGTGGACGAGGTCAAGGTGGTTGCGAAGCTGAACGTGGGCGCAGGAGCGGTAGGCTGCGACCGAGGGAGGAGGGCGGCGTCGGTCGTCGCGTCGGTGGTCGTCGCGGCGTCCTGCTCTTGCTCGACCGGCTCGTCGTCCTTGTCGGCGCCCTCGCCGTCCGTCGCGAACGTCATGTCGACGGTGCGCTCGCCCGAGATGAGCTGGAACGACACCTCGGCGTCCGAGTCCATATCCTCGTCCTCGTCCTCGTCCATCTCGGCCGCACGCTCCTGCGACGACGACGCCTGGACGATGCCGCCGATCGCCGTCGTCATGTCCATCGCGCCCGTCGCGTCCTCCATGTCGACCTCGCCCTCGCTCTCGTCCTCATCGTCCTCGGCCTCCTCGACGATGGTCGACGCGGCGCGGCTCTTGCGAGGCCGACCGCCTCGCGCAAAGCCGAGCTCGCGCATGACGGCCTCGTCGTCCTCGTCCTCCTGGCGCGCGAGCTCGGACGGGCGTGGGCCGGCGCGCTTGTACGCCTGGGCGATGCCGGCGGCCGTGATGGCGGCCGACGACGACGACGACGACGGACCGGCCGACGGCGTGCGAGCGCCGAAGAGCGGGAAGACCGGCGTCGTCTCGGCTTGAGCACGCGCGTGGACGGCCGAGGCGTCAAAGCCGCCCTCGCCGGCCTCCTGCGACGACGAGACCGCCGCCGGGTGCGCAAAGTGCGCCGCGAACGCGCTCGTGATGCCGCCCGTCACCTCGTCCATGGCCATCGTGCCGTTGTCGTCGTCGTCGACGCTGCGCTCGAGGCTGCTGCCCTCGTCGCCGTGCTCGTCGTCGTCCTCCTGGAGCGCCGAGGCCGGGATCTGGGTCCCGGCAAAGTGGCCGCGGAACGCGAGCGTCACCTCGTCGCCGGCGATCTCCATCGACGGCTCCGACTCGTAGGCGCCCGTGTCGTCGTCGGCGTTGTCGGCGGCGAGGTGGTCGTCGTCGTCGGACGAGTAGGTGGCGAGCGACGTCTCGCCGGCGGCGGATGCGGCCTCGGCCGCCTCGGCCTCGAGCCGACGACGCTCGGCCTCGTAGGCTTGGGCCTCGGCTGTCGGCTTGTCGGGTGTGAACGTGCTGTGACGGCGAGGAAGGCGCGCAGAGTCAGAAACTCGTACGAGGGCACAGAGAGGGAGAGAGAATGGGGCAGACGCACCGAATGGCGGCCGACGGAGCGAAGCTGACCCTGCGCGAGTGAGCGACGCTCTTGCGCCTCCCGTCAAAGTCGTACAGGGCCGTGTCGTTCTCGAACCGCGTGACGTCCATGTCGAGGCTGCCGTTCGGGTCGTCGTCGTCGTCGGTGACCTCGTCCTCCTCGTCCATGTCGCTCCCGCGCGAATCGCTGTCGTCGTAGTTGCCCGAGGCGGCCGACACGCGAGGCTTGAGCGACGAGCGGCGGCGCTGTGTCGAGGTTTGGGCGGGACCGGAGGACGAAGGGGCGGCGGCCGAGGTGAAGGCGCTCAGGGCCGAGAGGTCGGTCGTCTGGGCGTGCGCCTTCTCCCAGTCGTTGATGCGACCGCTTGCCGAGGTCGAGAACGAGAACGTGTGGTTGATCTCGTCGAACTTGGCGGGCGTCTGCTTGAGGATGGAGCGACGCGGTGCCTGCGAGAGGCAAGGTGCGCGACGGCGAGTCAGCGCCGCTCAGACGGTGTCTGGACAGGGTAGTGAAACGCTCGGGACGCACCCTTTGCCGACGCTCGAGCTTGCCCGGGCTCATCTCGAGGCGAGGAGGCTCGCCGAGCTGGAGGCGCTTGCGGGCGACCTCGAGCGCGTCGCCGCCGAGGCTCTGCGCGCGTTTCTTGCTGCGGCCGGTGGCAGTAGAGGGCGGTGGCGCGGGCGCGTCGGACCCAGGGGCGGGCGTGGTCGAGTCGGGGCGCGAAGTTGAGGGATTCTCCTTGTTGATGTGGGACAGGAGGGCGCGCGAGGTCGAGGGGAGCGCGCCGAGCGAGGCTCGGGCGCGCTGCGGCTTGAAGGCTGGCCGTGCACCGTCAGCCATGACGGCTCGAGCTGTTGGAGGGTTGCGAGAGGAGCGAGGCCGGGTGCTCCCTCCTCGCCTCCAAGTCGGCCGCCAACACGCTCCTCACCGCAGCCCTGTTGAAGCCTGCGGGCTCCTCCTTTGTAGTATCTAGCGGCTCATACGGAAGCTCGGCTTGTCGCCCTGCTCATAGCAAGGGTTGCCACGGCCGGCTCTCGCTGAGCCACTTGCGAAAAATCGAGGACGGCCTCTGGATTTGTTTCGATGAGCTTGTGATGTCTACGAAGCTTGCCTATGTACAGAAGAGCCCTCTGGCAGTCCCCGATCGGAAGGGAGCGGGTCAGCCACTCGGAGCGGCTCGAGACGAGGAGGCGAAGGGAGTTGCTCCCACTGTATTCTCGACCAACGATGAGCGGCCGCTTCCAGTTCCTGCGCCAGGGCCTCCGGGCTGCCCAGCAGACCCCGGCCTTTGCCCGCAACGCCTCGACCAGCGCTCCTCAGGCGAGTCGGCCGTTCCTCGTCGCCCTCCTCCTCCCCTGTGGCCACTCGGGCCCGCGCACTCGCCTCCGCCGGGCTGCAAGGGCCACCAAGGCTCCGATGAGCAGTGCCTGCAGCAGCACGGCACCCCAGAACACGCCCAACTGACTCGGTTGCCTCCTTTCACCCTCCCTCCGCCTCCTCGTCCGGGTCCCTCGCCAATCCGCTTGCGACCTTTTCCCCGCCTCGCTCTCGCCTGTCGGCCCCGTGCGACGGTCCACCTCGACCACACTGTTGCTCGAAACAGTCGGCGGCTGCCCGCATCGCCTCGTCGAACCGTACCGCCGTCGCCCTCTCGCTCGTCTCGGCGGGCACCTTCGCCTGGTACTCGGCCCTGTTCGGCAACCCTCTTGTGCCCGAGGCCAAGGCTGAGGGCGCCGCCGACCACGGCCTGCACCCGGCTGCGTACCCGTGGGCCCACAACGGGCCGTTCGAGACGTTCGACCACTCCTCGTGAGCTCCCTCTTCCCCCTCGTCCCCCTCCTCACCCCTTCTCCCTCCGCGATCTCGGCTCGCCCCCACTTCTCGAGATCGCCTACTCTCGACACGCTCTCGCACCCCTTGCGAGGCTCGGCGCCCACAACGAGGCCATGGACGAGCACCGAGAGCGAGCACTGACCAAGCCTTGCCCCCGCCGTCCCTCCCTCCTCGCCCTCGCCACTTCCCCACCTCGCTCAACCCGTCGCGCCACTATTCCCCCGTCGACAGGATCCGCCGTGGCTACCAGGTCTACCGCGAGGTGTGCTCGACCTGCCACTCGCTCGACCGCGTCGCGTGGCGCAACCTGGTCGGCGTCTCGCACACGGTCGACGAGGCCAAGACGATGGCCGAGGAGATCGAGTACGAGGACGGCCCCGACTCGGAGGGCTCCATGTTCCAGCGCCCGGGCAAGCTCGCCGACTACATGCCGCGCCCGTACGCCAACGAGGAGGCGGCTCGCGCCGGCAACGCCGGTGCCCTCCCGCCCGACCTGTCGCTCATGACCAAGGCTCGCCACGGCGGCGCTGTGCGTCCCTCTTTTCTCTCCCTTCTCTGTACGGCCGCACGCCGCCGAGACTGATCAACTCTCGCCCCCCTCGCCCACCTCGCTCGCCGTCTTTGCAGGACTACGTCTATGCGCTCCTGACTGGCTACGTCGACCCGCCCGCGGGCGTCGAGATCCGCGAGGGCCTCAACTACAACCCGTACTTCCCCGGCGGCGCGATCGGCATGGCGCGCGTCCTGTACGACGGCCTCGTCGAATACGACGACGGCACGCCGGCGACGACGTCGCAGATGGCCAAGGACGTCGTCTCGTTCCTCGCGTGGGCCGCCGAGCCCGAGCTCGACCAGCGCAAGAAGATGGGCATGCAGGCCACCATCATCCTCTCGGGCCTCCTCGCCCTCTCGATCTGGACCAAGAAGTTCAAGTGGGCCCCGATCAAGAGCCGGAAAATCGTCTGTGCGTCCCTCTCTCCCCCCTCTCTCCCTCCTCCTCGCCGTCGCCGTCGTCAGTGTCACTGACTCGTCTCGGTGCGACACAGACAACCCGCCCTCGGTCAAGCACTAAGCGGCTTTGGCCCCGAGCGAGCGACGACGATGCCGGCGGTTGAGCGGCGTATAGATGCGGCGGCGCATGGTGGACGAGCGGCGGTGGGGTTCTCTCGAGTCGCGTCGAGTGTGTGCTATGCGAAAATGTGGTCTTGTCCTCGTTCGTCGTCGTCGAGAGAGTTGCCTCGCAGCGGCCCTCCTCGAGCCCGCTCGGTGAGCCGCTCTGGTGCGCTCGCGAGGGAGTGTCCTGTGCAAGCTAGCTGCAAGCTGTACGAGTGCAACACCAGAGAGGAAGCGCGAGCCGCTCCCTTGTTCGGCGGCCTCGAGCGGGTTCGCACGCTCCTCCTCCGTCCACCTCGCCCTCTCGCTGAGAGCCATGGCCAGTGCGCAAGGCGCTCTTGCAGCACGCACCTTTGCACCAAACGCGTCCACCGCCTCGTCGCAGCCCGATTTCCCCTCCCCACCCTCACGACCGGCCCCCTCCTCATCTCTCGCCCGACCTCCCACCGCGCCGGCACCGCCAGCGCCGCCACGAGCGCACTACTTCCACTATGGGCAGCGCAACGTCAAGGCCCGCATCGACCCCGAGGTCCCGCTCGACGAGATCCTGCGCCAGCTGTGCGCCGCACCTCAACTCGCCGTCACCGAGCCGCCGGCGCTCTTTGCGCTGCGCGAGCGCGACTCGGGCACGCTCGTCACCAAGGACAACATGCGCTCCCTACTCGGAAAGGCCACCACGTGCGTCCTCGCCCTCTTTTCCTCCCTCCTCCTCCTCCTCCTCCTCCCGAGCCGACGCTGACCGTGTGGGGAGGGTGGCCTGCAGGTTCCAGCTCGTGTCGTCGCCAAGGCTCGAGGCCGTCGAGCTCATCGACAAGCTGTCGTCAACCGACCCGGCCGTCCTCAAGCCGGCCACCTTCTCGCTCCGCACCCGCATCCAGGAGCGCGCCTTCCTCGACCAGTTCGTCGCGCGCCGAGGCGTCGCCGCCCTGCAGGGTGTCGTGGGTCGCAGCTCGGGCAACACGCTCGCGTACGCCCTGCTGAGCCTGCAGACGCTCCTCGAGCTCGAGAACGACGGGTGGGGCGGGCTCGACCGCGCGTTCGTCGCTCGCGTTGTCGACATCATCGGTGCGCCCCTCGTCTCGTCCTTTCCTTGTGACGGAAGGGGGCCAGGATACTGACGACATTCTCCTTGCAGCCACCGAGCGCCTGATCAACATCACACGGCCGGCCACCGCCATCCTGCGTCGCCTCGCCTCGCAGCCCATCCTCGCACCCTCCTCGCCTTCCACCTCGGCCGCCGCAACAGCAGCCTCGCGATCCGGCTTCGTCGTCGTCTTCGAGGCGATCCTCGTGCAGCCCGACTTTCTCCGCATCGTCGTCGAGCGCCTCGCGGGCGGCGACGTCGAGGTGACCAACCTCAGCCTCGCCCTGCTCGACACGCTCCTGCGGGGCAGCACCGAGCTGGGCGACCTGCGCCTCGCCGACGAGCTCGACACGCTCGATGCCTGGCGCGCAATCGGCGTGCGTCCCCATTTCGCCCACTCGTCTTTGGGCGTTCGCGCACTGACCCTCGTGCTCCCGCAGAAACTGCTCGACGGCACCAAAGGCGCCGACCTCAACCTCCTCCTGTCGCTCCAGTCCAACCTCGTCGCCTCATTGCGCCTCGCCTTCGCCACGCCTATCGCCGAGGAGCACTTTCCGCACTTTGACCAGCTGTGGATCGCCTCGCGGCTCGACGACGTCGACGAGTCGAACCGGTGGCGCCGACTCGGGTTCGTCAGCGAGAGCCCACAATGGGAGTTCTCGAGGACGGGCCTGCTCGGGCTCAAGGCGCTGCGGCGCTTTGCCGACGAGGAGCAGAACGAGTTCAGCCAGGTGCGTCGCCCGTTTCTCTCTTGCGCTCGTCTCGGCGTGCAGTCGCAGCGTCAGCGTCATCGGTACTGACTCAGGTATCGTGCGCAGACGCTGCAAGATCAAGCCGCACGCCCCGAATCGCGCCGATGCCCTCTCTCGACCCTCTCCAACTCGGCCCTCGTCGTCCTCGGCGACTACTTTGCCCTCGCGTCCTCGTCGACCCCTCCTTCACCCTCGACCTCGCCTTCGCCGTACCTGTTCCGCTTCTACGACCTGCACGCCCTCGTCGTCCAGTTCCTCGTCCGCCTGTGGACCGAGTCGGACGCGTCCCTGTCCGACCTCGAGCGCATCGCCGCACTCGGCCGCAGCCAGGTCGCGTTCGTCCTCGGCCCGCCACCTCAAGTCGCTGCAAGCTCGAGCGCGATCGCGGGCGGTGCGGTACAAGGAGGGGGAGCGCGGCAGGACAAGACGTGGTTCACGATCCGGAGCGAGTTCCTTACGGCCGAGTACCGCCAAGTGCGCGAGCGCCAGATGCGCGAGATGGAGATCGAGGACGACTTGCTCAGCAAAGCGCCCGTGCGGTGCGTCCCGATCTCTCCTCGTCTCGGTCGCCGGATAGATCCTCGAGCACTGACTCGCACGGTCCCTCCCTCGCGCAGCAACCTTCGCGGCCGCCTGTACCTCGAGTCGTTCGAGTTCGTGCGCAACCAGCGCATCATGTGCCTGCACGAGGGCGCCTGGTTCCTGTGCTCGCCGTCGAGCTCGTCGCCGCCGTCGGCCACCTCGTCGCGTCGGCCGAGCGGGTCGCACAAGGTCGGCGCCGCGGCGGGCCACTCGACGTGGAGGTTCTACCGCCTCGCCGAGAGCCGCAAGACGCTGCACTGGCGCGAGGCGACTGAGCGCAGGACGGTGCGGCCGGGGCTTGAGGAGCTGCCCGAGAAGAGTGCGTCGCGCTCGTTCCTCTTCTTTACTTCGCGCACCGGGACTAACTCGCCTCTCTCGCGCTCGCAGTCGACGTGGCCATGATCACGGACGTCGTACCCTCAACCTCGTCGAGCGCCAACCAGCAGCGCCCGCTGCGCGTCTCGCAAGTTGGCGGGCTCGGTCGGCCCGGCTCGTCGACGTGGGCGGCGCCGCCCAGCGGCCCCCCGTCGCGCATCAGCTTCCTGTCGTCCAAGGAGGCCTTCTCGAACGGCGCCAACCCGTCGGCGTCGGCCACGTCGCTCTCGTTCACGCTCGTCGGCGCCCACGGCCCTCTCGCGACCCTCGCCGCCTCGTCGCCGTCGCTCTACTCCGAGTGGCTCGACGGCCTGTCGCTCCTCCTGCCCAACGGCGCCATCTCGACGCCCGACACGGCGGCGTACGTCCAGGCGCTGACCGAGATCGCGGTCAAGGTCAAGCTGCTCGACCTGAGCGGCGAGAGGGTCGAGGTGCAGACGAGGGAGCAGGTCAAGGGGGTGCCAGCGAGCACCGACTTCTTCTACGCCAACTCGCTCTAACGGCAGAGTGTGGTGGGACGGCTCGACGGCGGCAGGTCCGCTCGCGACGAGGAGGAGGGCTGTGCGAGACTTGGTGCAACGACCTCGCCTTGACTCTCTGCTCGTCCGTCCGACGGAGCGATCGTTGTCGAGCGAGTCTCAAGCCTGCCAGAGCTGTCCAAAGAGCGCGCCCTGCCGCGTGTCGCAAGCGTTTGCTCCCCTCGTCGAACCTCTCGGCTCTCGTTCCCCCACTTGCTCGCTCCTCACTCGACGCGCCGCTCAGCAGCTAGCGCCGCATCTCGATCAGCCTCTACAACCACTACCTTCTGCGCCACCCGTACCCACCAGCCCGCCGAGCCGTCCCTGCCTCGCCCCGCCGACCACGCGCTCATCAGCTCAATGGCGACGACGGCCGCCAAGGGCAAGCGCGCGTCCAACTGGCTGTCGAGCGCAAAGGCGGGCCTCAAGTCGCTCGGTAACAGCTCCACGGCCGCCTCCCACCCCGACACGAGCCCGTCTCACTCGTCCTCCTCGTCGTCAGCCGGTGGGGCACGAGGCGCCGGCGTCGAGGGGCCCGTGGGGCAGGCGCGCTCGCCCAAGGGCAAGGAGAAGAGTGTGGACCAGGACGGCGCGGGCGGGACCGAGGACAGGGGGCGACCGGCGGCGGCAAAGGCGCTCGACATGCCCGTAATCCCGCCGCGCAACATCATCGGCGCCGTCGAGGACGAGTGGCCGCTGTACAGGTGCGCCCTACTTTCTCACCGTCGTCTGGACGAGACGACGAAGCTTACAGACACCGGTCGTGCCCGTAGCTGCCGCCCGACGGACTACGAGATCGGTCCCGCCGTCGGGTTCGGCGCCGCCGCCGTCGTCCACCTCGCGTCCTTCTGCCCTGCAGGCGTCACGCCTCGGCCCAAGCCGCTCACGTGTGCCGTCAAGATCATCGACGTCGACCGCATGGCCACCGACGCCGACATCCAGCGCTTGCGCATGTGCGTCCCCTCTCCCTCTTCCTCTCTGGGCTGCGCGAAGCTGACTCGGCCTCACGCGCTCGCAGGGAGACGCAGCTCATGGCGCTCAGCAAGCACCCAAACGTCTTACGAGTCCGAGGCGAGTGGATCGAGGGCCACAAGCTCTGCATCGCCGTCCGGTACATGTCTCACGGTCCGCCCACTCCCCCTCTCTCGCTCTCGCCTCGACCTGTGAGCCTGACTCTCTCGTCGTGTGCCAGGTTCTCTCCTCGACATCTCGCGCTACGCCTTCCCCGACGGCTTCCCCGAGGACGTCATCGCCGCGGCGCTCGTCCAGGCGCTTTACGGCCTCGTGTACCTGCACCAGAACGGCTGGATCCACCGCGACGTCAAGGCCGGCAATCTTCTCGTCGACGGTGCGCACACGTCTGCTCCGTCCCTCTCTCTCTCTCCTTGCCGCGACTGACGCAGCCTCGAGTGCGCGCAGACGATGGCACGGTCCTCCTCGCCGACTTTGGCGTCTCGGCGTCGCTCTTTATCGACCCGGCGGCGTCGATCGGCAAGGCTGAGGGGCAGCAGCCGCAGCAGCAGCAGCCGCGCAAGAGCTTTGTCGGCACGCCGTGCTGGATGGCGCCCGAGGTGGTCGAGCGGCGGTCGTACGACTCGAAGGGTGCGTCCCTCTCTCTCTCTCGCTCCCTCTCGCCCACCTCGCCCGCCTGAGCTCAACCTCTCGCGCTTCGCCGCACACAGCCGACATCTGGTCGTTCGGCATCACGGCGCTCGAGCTCGCGTCGGGCCGGGCGCCCAACTCGCTGTACCCGCCGGCCAAGGCGCTGAGCAAGACCATCATGGACGACCCGCCGACGCTCGACCGCGAGGGCGGCAAGTTTCAGTACTCGCGCGCGATGAAGGACATGATCGACGCCTGTCTGCAGAAGGACCCGGCCAAGCGGTCCGTCCTCGCTCCCTCCCTCTGTCTCTCTCGCCGAGGCCGTACTGACGCCTTTTCGAGCGACGCAGGCCGACGGCCGACAAGCTTTTGCAGCACCCGTTCTTCCGAGGCGCCAAGAAGAAGCACTTTCTCGTGTCGTCGTTGCTCGAGGAGCTGCCGCCGCTCCAGGACCGCCAGCACCGTCGTGCGTCCTCCTCTCTCTCCCTCTCTCGTTCTCTCGCGGTTGCTCACCCTCCTCCTCTCTCTCTCGCAGGTCGCAAAGCATCGCTCGCCGGCATCGACACGGTCGGCTCGTTCTGGAACTTTCAGTCGACCGTGCACTCGACGCTGCCACGTACGCCGACGATGCGCTCGGGCTCGACGACGTCGACCGACGCGGACCCGTTCGCGTCCTTCAGCCTCGCGCCGTCGCCCGTGCACACCTTGGCGCACCGCCGCTCGTCGACGACGGCGTCTGGGTTGGTCGGGCAGGGCGCGGCGCCTGGGCGGGCACGAGAAGCGTCGCGAGGGTCGTCGACGCACCGGCGGCAGGTGAGCTTTGACGCGGGCGATGGCGGAGCCGGAGCGAGGGACGGAGCTGGGTTTGCGCCGAGCGAGGGCGTGCACTTGGAGGAGGAGGGAGCGGTCGAGGAGGGAGGAGGAGCGACGAGGACGGGGGGCCAGGAGGGCGGCGGCGGGGCGGCGGATTGAGCGGGTGCAACTCGCAGGGTGTGAGTGGAGCTCGTCGACGGTGCGAGAGTGCTGCAGAGCGAGTGGTGGACGAGCCGGTGGTGCCGGCTTCACTTTTCGACCTCCTGTCTGCGCTCAGTCCGCGGCGGTCCGCAGCGACGCGGCCTCGTTCGCCGGTTCGTCTGCCGCCTCGGGCCCCGTGTCTTCTCTGGCTCTCGCTCTTTCTCCCTCTTCAGCGCTACTCACTCGACGACAGTGATGGCCCTCGCTCCGCACAGCCGGCCGCCGTCGCCGTCGCCGTGAGCGCGCTCGTCCCCCGGCGCTGCCGCGTCTCTCGCGTCGTGTCCTCGTCCTTCGTCCCGCCTCGAGCACCGCCGGTACACGATCAGCCCGTCGACAATGGCGCTGTCGAACCTCGTCCTCGGCCCAAGCCCTCCTCGCCCGTCGCCTGCGCCAACATCGTCGTCGTCGTCCCTCCTTCCCTCGTTCGGCCGGTTCCTTCCTCCTCCTCACCCGGCCCTCTCGCACGAGTCGCCCGGCCCTCGGTACCACTCGTCGTCCAACTCGCTCGGATGGGCCTCGCTCCGGTCGTCCACCTCGACGCCGTCGACGTCAATCTCGGCCGACAGCCCTCGTCCTCTCGGCAAGCGCATCAACGGCGGCAAGCTCGTCGCGAGGGCGCCCTCGCCGGCAAGGACGCGCCCGGCTCCTCCTCTTACGCACCAGCAGCTGCGCCGCCGTACGTCGTCGCCGGGCCCGGTCGCGCCGCAGCTGTGGACCGACCCGCCGGCGCACGACCCCTCGAGGCAGTCGGCCTTGCCGCCCTCGAGGACGGCCACCATCGTCTCGGCACGCGCACCGTCGCCAATCCGCCGCTCAAGGTCGTTCCACCCGTCGCACGACGAGCAGCAGCACGTCGCGTCTGGTCGCTCGACCTCGTCGACCTCGTCTTCTTCTGGCCCCTCGTCGTCCTCGAGCGCCCACGCCCGCCCGTCCTCGCTCGACGTCCCGGTCGACAATCGTGCGTCCCTGCGTCGCACCCACAGCAAGGTCGAGCTCGACTCGCCTGGCCCGGAGAGCATCCCGCCCTCGCCGACCGCGTCGGCGCACCTGTCGCCCGCCGAGCGCCACCGCACGGTGCGCTCCAACGCGCCCGGCTTCCGCAGCCTCGTGCGCCGCGCGTCGCTCACGACGATCGACGTGCGCGGGCACGACGAGCGCGAGCGCGCCGTCGTCGTCGACGAGGTGCGCCCGAGGGCGACGCTCGGACCGCCGCCGAAATCGCCGCCGCCTGCGCCGCCGACGACGCGCCGCCACTCGCACGTCCTGCAGCGCCGCCCGTCGACCAGCACGCCGCACGCCATCGTCGCGCCGTCGCCGCCGCCGCGCAAGCCGCTCGACTTTCCGCCCGACGACCCTCGCATCCCGCCGCAGCGCCGCTCGTCGTCGTCCGCCGGCGCCGCCGCTCCCACGACCGACGAGGGCCACGGGACTGGGTCGGGCAAGCGCACCATCTTCAACCCGTACGAGCTGAGCGTGCTCCAGGCGCTGTGGGCGCGCGGCATGTACTACCCGCCGCAGGACGCCCTCGACGAGGTCGTGCGCCGTACGGGCATGACCCGGGTCCAGGCGCGCAATTGGTGCGCCCCTCTCTCTCTCTCTCTCTCTCTTCCTTTATCTCTCGCACAGACCCTGACCCACAACGTGCCGCAACAGGTTCGCCAACAAGCGGCAGCGCTCGTCGGGCGAGGAAAAGAAGCGCGTCGCCAAGATGGCCAAGGACATCTCGCTCGCGGCCTGAGCGCCCTCTCCTGTGCGTCCCTCGTACACTCCCTCTTGTCGTACATCGCCTCGAGGACGTCGTCTCGAGAAAAAGGAGCAGCTCAGTGACCCTCTCCTCCCTCGGCCGCAGACCTTCTCCTCCTCAAAAACCCGCCGGTCGGGCCCTTCCTCCTCCTCTCTCGCCGTCTCGGAATGTACTCTCCCCTCCTCGCTTGGTCCTCTTGGGTAGCTCTCTCCTCTCAGTCAGTCAGTTCGTCTGTCTTTGCCTCGCTCGCGACCCAGCTGTCTCTCTCGTTCTCCTCGTCGTGAGAGCCTCGAAAGCGAACAAGATGAGGTTGCACGGGCTAGTCAACAAGAGAGAGAGAGAGAGAGACATGCGAGTACGAGAATGCGATGCGGATGCAAGAAGCCGAGCCATGCGAATGCGAGTCCCTCCCTCCTCCTCGAGCTCCTCCCCTCGCTCAGCCGCTCCAGCCGCCAAAGCCCAGCCCCTCCCACTGCCCGACCTCGAAGCCCTGCCCCTGCCCCTGCTGCTGCTGCTCGCCGACCCAAGGGTCGCTGCGGAACATGCTGAAGAAGGCCGCCGCATCGGTCGCGCTCGAGCCCCTCGCCGACAGCTGCTCGCCGTGCACCTGCGCCTGCGTCTGCGCCGGCGGCGGCGGCGCGTACTCGAACCCGAGGTCGAGCCCGAGACCGCACTCGAAGCCGGCGTCGGCGCCGCTGCTGCTGCCGTCGAGGAGCGAGGGCGCCGTCACGGCCGCAAAGGGCTCGAGCGGCGTCGACGCGAGGTAGGCCGCCGCGAGGCCGCTCAGCGCCGGCGGCGGGCCCGTCGTCGCTGACGACGACATCAAGGAGGGGAAGGCGTGCGGGAGCGTGTGCGCCGCCGGGTACGGCGCGGCGGGGAGGTCGTCGTAGAAGGAGGGGAGGGCCGTGTCGAGGTGGAGCGTCGGGCCGAGGTAGGACGAGCGGTATGGCGCCGGCGGAAAGGCGAGAGAAAGTGCCGCGTCGACGTAGCGAGCCGGCGCCGGGTCGCGGTGGTACTGGGTCGACGTCGGCGGCGGCGGAGGAGGCGGCGCGAAGAAGTCGAACGAGGCCGGCTCGGCGTACGGCGGCTCGGGCGCGAATGCCGTGCGGCGGAACAGCGCAAAGTCGTCCATGATGAACGGCTCCTGCTCGACGGCGAGCGGCGCCGCGGGCGGGCGAGGCGGTCCGAGCGCGGCCGACGAGCGGCCGGCGACCGGCGCGGCGGCGACGACAGGGCGCAGGGCGCGTGGCGCCGAGGGTTGCACGACGGGCGGGCGAGCGCGTGGCGGCGCGAAGCCGAGCTTGGGGAGCTCAAGGCGAGGCGTCGTGGTCGGCGCCGAAGTTGGGAAGGCCGGGAACGACGGGACCGACAGGCTCGGCGCCGACTGGATGTGGTGGGCCAACGCGGGCGGGATCGGGAGGTAGAAGGTGGATGGCGCCGTCGACGTGGAAGGGAAGGACGAGGGCGGCGAGTCGACGGAGCTCGAGGGCGGGAAAGTCGGGTCGTCTGCGAAGGTCGATCGTCAGAAGCGGTACTTTCGCCGAGAGGGAGAGGAAGAGAGTGGAAGACGCACTTTCTCCAGCAGCATCGACGTCCTCGACGTCGTAGACCGCGAAAGGCGCCGGTCCGAGTGCCCGCTCGACGACGCTCGGACCCGCCTCCTCCTCCTCCTCCTCCTCCTCGGGCTCGCCCTCCGGCGGCGCCTCGACCGACACCTTCTCGCCCCAGGCGCACTTGCTGCCCCTGCCGCCGAGCATGGCCTCGAGCTCCTTGTCGGCCGCCGTCGCGTGCACACTCGACGCGCTGTAGAGGCAGCGCACGCCCGAGGCGAGTCGACCCTCGGCGACGGCGCCCTTGATGCAGAGGGCGCAGGCGGGACGACCTGCGAGGAGATGGCAGCCACGCAGAGAGGTTCAGGGGAACATCACGAGAGAAAGAAGAGGAAGGGGGCGCACCTCCGCTGCACTTGAGCTTGCGCATGCGGCCTGTGTGAAGAGCGAGGTCAGCTCTCGAGCGCTCAGGGGGGAGCGAAAGAGTGGGACGCACAAACGGCGCACGAGCTCTCCTTGGTGACGGTCCCGGGCGGCAGCTGCCTCGGCTTGCCCTTGCGCGGACGCGAGAACTTGCGCGACTTGGCCATGGTCGTGAGGTGCGGGAGGAGGCGAGCGAGACGACGAGAGCTGCTACGGCGGCCGGAGAGTGTCAGTCGGTGCGCAACGTCGATAGGGAGGGAGGGAGAGACGCACAAAGATGAAAGGCCTTGAGGGAGAAGAGCGAGGTCGAGAGGATGAAGAAGGAGCGGGCGAGCGCCGGCGAGAGGCTCGCGACCCGCAGCGGCGGGACATCTCCTGGGCTCGGCTCGGCTGATGAAGCGGGGCCGCATACATCGCCTGGCGGACCCTCCTCGGCCCAGGACATCTCGGCGCCCCGATCGCGAGGAGGTCCGGGCGGACGGACAGGGGCTCAGGAGGCTCGACGGCTCGCGAGCGAGCACTCTCAAGCGAGATCTGCTCGTTGGCGCGAAAGACTCGTTACAGGTGCGCTCAGGGCATGGGGTAGTCTAGAAGGGTGGTATAGAGATCTGTGGCCGGTGGGAGAGTCAGTGAGGTGCGAGGGCGGGAGAGGACGAGAGCGAGAGGGAGTTGGACGACGCACCTGCTCGTCCCATCGTGCTGCATGGACATAGGACTGAGTCAGTACGTGCTGCCGCTGAACGAGTGCGAGTTCGAGGCTCGGCGAGGGAGGCCGAGACGAGAAGATGACAGCGACGCACCGAAAGGATATGTCGTAACGAGCTTGGGCGGCCACCGCTCCCACTCGACCATCTCGGACGCCTGCTGCGCCCTGCGCTCGTCGCCGTCGAGCTCGAACGCCGTCGTGTTGCGGTCCTGGCGCGCCTTGTCGTACTCGTCGACGCGGTACCCGACGCTCGCTCGCGGCACGACCTGGATGCGGGCGCCCCGGCCGTCCTTGTTGGGCGTACCGTCGAGGCGGACGGGCGACAGGACGCGCCAGATGTCGCTGCACAGGACGAAGCACTCGCTGTGCTCGTCGCCGCCGCCCGAGCCGGCTCGGAACCGGAGCGAGTGCGGCGGGAGGAACAGGGCCGCGTCGAGGACGGCAACGCCGTTGAAGCACGAGTAGACCTGGATCGGGAGGAGCGACTCGTAACGAGGTCGAGAGGCGGACATGGGGAGGACGGGCGAGGGCAGAGCCCAGTCGCCGCCGGGCTGCTTGATCTCGTAGAAGGGACTGCGGGAGAGGGTCGCGACGCTGTCAGAGCGCTGCGCATCGTCGTACAACACGAGAGGAGAAGAGAGAGAGAGGAGGACGCACAGGCCCTGCATGTCGCGAGCGACCCAGACGTCGTAGAACAGGAGCGGGTAGTCGTCCTCGAACTCGGGGATGCGGAGCTCCTTCCAGTCCATGCCGCAGCTCATGTCGGCGCCTTGCACCTCGTGCTGCAGGAGGATCTCGAGGAGCTCGGCCTCGCACAGGTGGACGTCGTTGAGGAACAGGACCCGGTCGAACGAGCCGGCCGGCGAGTCGAACAGGGGCTCGAGGACGAGGTTGCGCAGACCGGCGAGGCCCTGAATGCGCTCGCCTTGGGTCCACCCGGCTCGCCGCTTCGGGTCGCTGACGATGGTGAAGCCGGCGCCGAGCTGCCGCAGGACCTTGGCGAGGAGGAACAGCTGGACCGGCGTGTCGTCGCTGCTGCCGTTCTCGTACACCGAGACGTGGAACCGCGACGGGCCGAGGGACGACAGGACCGTGTACAGGGCGCGCACGAGGGAGGGGACGACGCTCGCCGAGTCGACCAGGTTGATGGCGACGAAGTAGGTGAGGTGGTGCCGAGGAACGTCGTGCGGCGGCGTCGGCTTGACGGCGTGCGCTCGCCTGCCGCCCGAGCCGTACGACGGGAGCAAGGGCGCGTAGCGGTCCTGCTGGAAGGTGTTGAGGCGACAGGACGGGGTGCGGTGCGCGGCGAGGACAGGGTGGGCGAGGAGGTCGTCGAAGGGGAGGTCGAACGGCGACTTGAGGCCCGCCGGTACGAGCTCCATCCTCGACTCGGAGAACCCTTCGAGCCGCTGCGCCCGTCGCGCCGCTCGTCGGTGCCGCTCGAGAGCAGTGCCGTGCCAACCTCGGTCGACGAGCCACAGGACGACGAGCCCGCCGAGGACGACAAGGGCGGCGCGGCGGGTGCAGGCATGCCGCAGTCGGAGCTTGAGGCGGTCGACAGGTCGTAGCGGGCCTTGTGCGCCGCCAGAGAGTAGCGGCGACGAGCTCATCGGCGGCGAGGTGGGGCGAGGCTGCTCGAGGGTCGCTCAGCCCTCCCAGGCGGCGGGTGGTCGGCCGTGCTTGCTCTGCTTGCTGGTGCGGTGCAGCTGTGCCGGCAAGGTCGGGCTCGGCGAGTGAGAGCTGGCAGTCGAGGTGCGAGCAACTCGCAGCTCCTCCCGCCGCAGCAGCTTCGCCGTCTCTCGTGCTCGCGCTCGCTCGTCGTACGCCAGTCCGAGTGCTGCAGTCTACTCTCGTTGGGATACAACTCGCCTCTGGCCACTCGCCGGGGCCGTGGGCTGGCCGTGGCGGTGGCCAACTCGACGAGAAGGGCAGGGTGCGCCGCCATTTTCTTCAGCTCGCATCTCTCATGATGGAATGCCGCGGCAAGATGGAGCGCAAAGATGTTGCAGCTAGTAAAGATAGAGAAAGAGGGGGAGGACAACAAAGACGAGGCGAGTCGTCTCGCGTGCGGGAAAGTCGAAGGGAGGGAAGAGGGGCCAGGGACGCTGCGACGACGACCGAGGTCGAGACGGCGCTTACTGCCTCTCGCCACGAAGACGACGAGCGAGCTGGATGTCTATGTACGAGCGAGGGGCGAGTCAGTTGAGATCCAGGAGAAGGGAAGGGGAAGGAGGAGAGTGACGGACCCTTGGGCTGGATCGTGACACGCTTGGCGTGGATGGCGGCGAGGTTGGTGTCCTCGAAGAGCGAGACGAGGTAGGCCTCGGCGGCCTCCTGGAGCGCCATGACGGCCGACGACTGGAAGCGGAGGTCGGTCTTGAAGTCCTGGGCAATCTCGCGAACGAGGCGCTGGAAGCTGTGAGGGCGAACGAGAGTCAGTGAGGAGGTTCGACAACGACGACGACGACCACGAGAGACGAGGGACGCACGGGAGCTTGCGGATCAGGAGCTCGGTCGACTTCTGGTAGCGACGAATCTCGCGGAGGGCGACCGTTCCCGGGCGGTAACGGTGAGGCTTCTTGACACCGCCAGCGGCCGGGGCCGACTTGCGGGCGGCCTTGGCGGCGAGCTGCTTGCGCGGGGCCTTGCCACCGGTCGACTTGCGGGCGGTTTGCTGCACGAGAGAGAGGGACGCGATGTCAATCACGAGGACGAGGTGCGACGCTGCGGGCGCTCGAGGGAGAGAGCAGAGACGGACCTTGGTGCGGGCCATTGTAGATGAAGTAGAGGTAGCGAGGGTTGGAGAGAAGAGGCGAAGAGAGCGAGGTGAGGAGAGAGGGGAGAAGAGGGGAGCGAGAGCGGCCGAGGGAGGCGGACCTCCCTACGCGCGGCGCCAAACACTCACAAACAGCGAGAACGAAAGCCTAGTGCTGCGAGACGCTAGTTAGCGAAGCGGATACAGCCTCGATCGGGCAGGTTCGTCGGCGCAAGTCCCGGTGGACGTCCGCATTCACTTGAGCGCGCGCCGGGCCAAAGCGGCCTCGTTCCAGCTTACCTGGGGCGCGCGCCAAACAGTCAAGCGCTCGCAGAACGACCCTCGCCGCCGGCTCGCCCTCTCCCTCTCTCTTCCCTTCACTCCACTCTTCGCCACTACCTCGCTTCGGCACCACCTCGCACTCTCCCCTCTCACCCACCCACCACTACAACACCTCTTCATCATGTCTGGCCGTGGCAAGGGCGGAAAGGGTCTCGGCAAGGGCGGCGCTAAGCGCCACCGCAAGATCGTGCGTCCTCTCCTCCCCTCTCTCTCTCACCTCGCCTCGTTCCTTCACTGACTCGTCCCTCCTTGCAGTTGCGCGACAACATCCAGGGCATTACCAAGCCCGCCATCCGCCGTCTCGCTCGCCGTGGCGGTGTCAAGCGTATCTCTGGCCTCATCTACGAGGAGACGCGCGGCGTCCTCAAGATCTTCCTCGAGAACATCATCCGCGACTCGGTCACCTACACCGAGCACGCCAAGCGCAAGACGGTCACCTCGCTCGACGTCGTCTACGCCCTCAAGCGCGCCGGCAAGACGCTCTACGGTTTCGGCCAGTGAGCCCGTCGTCGCTCGGCCACCGAGGAGGAGGAGGAGTTCGTCTTTCGCGCAGCCTTGTGTTGTCGCCCCCACCCTTTCTTTCTAGCTGCAACCATTGCGCTTTCGTACCATCATCCCCGTCCGCGTTGGCGAGTGTTCTCGTGAGAGCGAGACGAAAGCTTGAGCCTCTCTACTTCGAGCGAGCGCTCTCTTTCGCATGCTCGGCCCGACCACTCTCGAGTACGTCTTCGCGCGCCGACGAATCCCTTCGAAGCAGCGAGAGGGAGCCAGAGCGGAGCGCAGGAAGCCCAGCGTCCGCTCGACGCCGTGCGCGCTCAGGCCTCTCAGTCTGCCAGCGCAGGCCCGAGCGCTTCAAGGCACACGGCCGCGTATCAGCTGACCCGGAGCGACGTGCAACGAGCTGCCGAAGCGTCGCTGCACGACGAGAGCGGCGAGCGAGCGCCGGCTCGAGCAGGCGGACGACGAGGAGCACAAGGTCCGGCTCGCATCGAGCGCTTTCTCCTCATCTCTCGCGAGCACGGCGAAAGCGACGGCACGACGTAGGGGATGCGCAAAGGCGATAAAAGAACAGGGAGGACAAGCCTCGCGTGCCAAAAAGTACAGGTGCGCCTCCTCCTCCTTCCGACTGTCGGCGACGACGACAACGACGACGAGCGAGGACGGCGACTATGCGTCGGCCTTGCTCTTCTTCGACTTCTTCTTCTCGGGCGACGCGCCGTCCTCGTCGCGCGAGCGCTTCTTCTTCTCCTTCTTGGACGGCGTCTCCTCGGCGCCCTCGGCCTTTGCCGCCTCCTTGGCGAGCTTCTTGAGGCGCTTGCGCTCGGCCTTGGCCGCCTGCGAGCAGGAGAGGGTGGGAAGAGGGTCAGTCGTCGTGTCGTGCGGGAGAAGGAGAAGGGGCGGGGGAAAAGAGAGAGAGGGAGCGCACCTCGTCCTCGTCGTCGCCGCCCTTCTCCGACTTCCTGCGCTCCTTCTTCTCCTTCTTCTCGCGCTTGCGACGCGCCTCGTCGTCCTCGCCCGCGACAGGGCCGTCGACCTTCATGACGTCGACGCCCTCGTCGCCGCCAACGCCCGGCTCGACGCCCGTCGGGACGAGCGCGACCGCGTCGGCGCCCGCCGCGTACCCGGCGCCGTTGCCCTTGAGCTCAAACTTCTTCTGCTGCTTGTCGGCGCCGCCGTTGGCCTTTGCGATCGAGCGCAGGCTCGAGAAGCCTTGGCCGGCCTCGAGCTGGCGCAGGCGCGCCTCGAGCTTGACGCGGTTCTCGATGCCGATCGTCGCACCGCCGTCGAGCGGCTGGCTCTTGGTGTCGGCGTCGGCGAGCGCGTCGAGGCGAATCGAGAGCGACGCCTTGGTCGCGACCATGCGCGCCATCTTGCCCTTCAGCTTTTGCGGAGCTGCGACGAGGAGCAACGAGGGTTGGTCAGGGCGAGATCCACGAGAGCGAGGCGAGAGAGAGAGAGAGAGGAGGACGCACCCTGGCCGACGAGCGAGGCGTGGAAGATGAGGCCGTACTTGGGGGTGTCGTGCTTGGTCTTGAGGGCGCGGAACAGGGCCTTCTCGGCGCCGAGGATCTGGACGGTCGACGCGGGCTGCTTGGCGAGCGACACGAGCGAGCCGGCGTGGGCAATGAGGCGCGCGCCGACGAGCTCGCCGACGAGGGCCGTCAGGTTGGGCGCGATGGCGGCCATGCGGTTGCGCAGGTACTCGTACAGCTCGGTGCGGTACTGCGTGATCGAGATGACCTGGTCGGCGAGGAGGTGGATGTGGTCGAGGTCCGAGTCCGAGATCTCGGTGCCCATCGACACGGCCGCGGCCGACTTGAGCGCGTCCTCGAGCTCCTCGGGGAGGACGCTCGAGAAGTCGGTCGTGTTGTAGTTGGTGCGGAAGCCCATGGCCTTGACGACCTTGGCGTACGTGATGTTCTCGGTGATGATCTTGCCCATCTCGGGGAAGTGCCAGCCGTACCACTCCTTGACGCGCATGCCGTAGATGTTGATCTCCTTGTCGAGGTCGTCGAGGAGGGCGATCGCCTGGACGATCATCGTGTCGACCTTGTCCGGCGAGAACTTGAGCTTGTAGCGCGACAGCGAGTGCGACAGGCCGAGCTCCATGGTCGACAGGTCGCGCGGGTCGATGTCGCCGAGGAGCGACGACAGCTGCTGGCGGATGCCGCGGTACAGGTCCTGGACCGACGAGTCGGACACGACGTTGAGCTCGAGCTTCTTGGCGATGGCGCCGGCTGTCAACAGGAGGCGGGACGAGGGTCAGTGCCGTGCGCCCGAGCGACGCGAGGAAGAGGGACGGGGGGACGCACCCAGCTTGGGCTCCGAGACGGCGAGCTTCTCGCTCTTGAGCTTCTTGTTGCCGACGACCTCGTCGGTGAGGAACTTCTTGAGGCTCTTGGAGAGCTTGCCCTCGCCGATGGCGGTCATGTCCTCGACGGCCGACGCGGTCGAGGTGAAGCGGTGAATGGCCTGGAGCTTGACGCTGCGGGCAGGCGAGGTGCAGGGTCAGTGCTGTGCTCTGGCGGTGACTGGTAGGCGGTGCTGCTGCTGCATGCAGGCTGCGTCACAGCCTCGTCGGCCGGCGTGAGGCAGGAGGGAGGAGCTGGTCGCCTGCGAGAGCTCGCCTCGAGTCCCCTCGCGCCGTGGGCTCGTGCGCGACTCGCGGCGCAGTGTCGTCGAGCAGGCACAATCTTTTCCAGTATGCTGCATGCGGCCCAGGATGGCGGGACGGGCGAGAGAAGCGGCTGGACGCACAGGTTGTTGGCGCCCTCCTCGGTCTCAAAGGCCTTGTGGAGGTCCTTGTCGTCGAGCTTGCCATCCTTGACCTTGAAGAGGGCGAGGCCGATCGCAGACTCGTGGAGGACAAGCATCCTGGGCGAGGTGGTGACGAGGAGGTGAGGGCGAGCGACCGAGGCGAGGTCAAGTCGAGCTCGAGGCGGGGGAGCTGGCCGTCGGCGCTCTCACGGCTGCTGGCGGCGATGGTGCAGCGTGTCGGTGGGCTGGGACCTGCTGGTGGGGCAGAACTGCGAGCTGTGCGGGCGACTGGAGCCTCTGGTGGCCGTGAGCGAGCGTGAGCAGCTCGGCAGCGAGTCTCGTCGCTCTCACGGCCAAGTCCGACAAAGAGAGCACCTCGACCCCGCCTGACGATCTACTCGGTGCAAGGAGCACCGTGTGATACCTTCTTCAGTTTTCTAGACCATCTTTCGTAACGGTTAGAGGCTTAGAGGACGAGATTGAGAGGGTGTCTCCGGTGGTCGCCTCGTCGCCTCCCTCGCTCGCCTCGCTTGACCGCACCCTCGCCCCGCTCGTCTGTACTCTACGCGTGCAGCTCGACCGCCGCGACCTCACCCGGCACCCCCATCGACCGCGTCGCACCCGCCTGCCTCGCTCCCTGCGCCGGCCTCCTCCCCCTCCTCTCCTCCTCCCCCTCCTCCCTCATCTCCCCCTCGCTCTCGACACCCATCGACTGCACGCCGCCATGTCCCTCTTCTGCTCCATCTCGGGCACCCAGCCCCTCCACCCGGTCGTCTCGACCAAGTCGGGCCACGTCTACGAAAGGACCTCGTCCTCTAAGCCCTCCAGGACAACGACGGCAAGGACCCCATCTCGGGCGAGCAGCTCACCGCCGACGACCTCGTCGATATCAAGACTGGTCCGTCTCCCTTCCTCTCGCTCTACGCCGCCTCCTCCCTCCCTCTCCCCGGTCGAACCGGCCCCGCCCCCCTCGTCGTCGACCGACTCGCTCCCAGTATGAACACCGTGGCTGACCTACGTCGAACTCCCGCACACAGCTCCGTCGCAGCCGACCGCACCGCCTCGCGCCCCGACCTTCACCTCGGTCCCGTCGCTCCTCCACACGCTCCAGCAAGAGTGGGACGCGACCATGCTCGAGTGCCTCAACCTCCGTCGCGAGTCGGCCGAGCTGCGGCAAGAGCTGTCGCACGCCCTGTACAAGGAGGACGCCGCCATGCGCGTCCTCGCCCGCGTCAGCCGCGAGCGCGACGAGGCCCGCGAGGCGCTCGCGAGCGTAAAGGCGACCCTCGGGCCGGCGTACCAGGGCCAGGGCGCAGAGGCGGCGCAGGGCGGTGACGCGCAGATGGAGGGTGTCGAGGAGCAGCAGGAGGCCAACTTGCCCGCCGACGCCAAGAAGCGCGTCGAGCAGACCCACGAGACGTGCGTCGCCGCGTCCTCTCTCTCTGAAGCCCGGGACGCCGCTGCGCGTCCCAGCTCTTCTCGTGATGTGCCGGCCTGACGAACCTTGAACATGCACAGGCTCTCGGCAACCCGTCGCAAGCGCAAGACGCCGCCCTCGGCCGCGACGGCCGACGAGGTCAAGACGTTCGTCCAGGGCACCACCATCCCTTCCCTGCACACGACCAAGCCGCCAGGCATCGCCGCTCTCACCCTTGCCAAGGACGGCGACCTCGTCGTTACCGGCGGGTGCGTCCTCTCTCTCTCTCTCCCCTCGTCGCACCTGTCCGCCGACTCGTCCTGACCTGCCCTCTCTCGCCCCTCGTTCAGCCTCGACAAGAACGTCATCGTGTACGACCGGTCGACGAGCAAGATCGTCGCGACGCTCAAGGGCCACACCAAGAAGGTGACGGCCGTCGTCGCGTCGCCGTTGGTCACGGACGAGGGCCTCCCGTCGTTCATCGTATCGTCGTCGCTCGACAAGACGGTGCGCGTGTGGACGCCCAACGGCAACAAGACGGTGTACGGCTGCACGGGCAACCTGTCGCTCGGCGCCGAGGTGCGCCAGGTGGCGCTGCACCCGACCAACTCGCTCGCCGTGTCGGTCCAGGGCGACGGCACGTGGGCCATCCACGACCTCACCGGCGGGGACAAGCCCGAGACGATCCTCACGGGCGCGCTCCCCGCCGACGCGGCCGAGGGCACGAGCAACACGGCCGTCGCCGTGCACCCGGACGGCATCATCTTTGCCGTCGGCTCGTCCGACTCGCGCATCCGCGTGTTCGAGACGCTCACGGGCAAGTGCGTCGCCGCGTTCGAGGGCCATTCGGCCGAGCCCGACGCCAAGGACGTCGTGTCGCTGTCGTTCTCGGAGAACGGCTACTCGCTCGCGAGCGCGGCCCTCGCCTCGGCCCAGGCCAAGGTGTGGGACCTGCGCAAGCTGAGCTGCACGGCAAGCATCGACGTCGAGCAGCAGCCGGTCAACGTCGTCGCGTGGGACTACACGGGCCACTTCCTCGCCGTCGCCGGCGCCGACGCGCGCGTGTACGCCAACAAGACGTGGGCCCTCCTCGCCAAGAGCGACGACAACGCGGCAGAGCTCACGGGCGCTCGCTGGGGCAAGGACTCGAAGGAGCTCGTCGTCGCCGGCATCGACCGCACGGTGCGCTTCCTGTCGGCGCCCGCCTCGGAGTAAGGGTGTCGCGGTCGAGCTGGGAGGACGCGAGCAGGGTCGAGGAGGAGCGAGCGGGTCGAAAATCTGCGATACCAAGCTGTTCGTTACACTGTGCGCCGGTCTCGAGAGCAGCTGCGAGCTTTCGATGTCGTCGTAAAGCCCGCGGGCGCAGCGCAGAGGGGCGAATCGAGGAGCCTGGACCGTCGACGAGCGTCACCGTCGCCGAGCGAGGGGAGCTCTCGCTCTCACCCTCTCGTGCGCATCCCTGCGCCCTCTGCACAGCTCTACAGCCTCGCGACATGGCACAGAGCAGCCCCCCGAGCGACTCGAGCGAGCCCGTCCTCGTCTCTCGCCCTGCCTCCCCACACCTCGTCGGAACCGAGTGCGTCGTCCACCCTCTCTCTCTCTCTGGCACCGGGTCCTGCACAGTCCTTCCTGACGTGCTCCTCTCGCCGTGAAGCACCTCGACCACCGCCCCGACCTCTGGCCAGCCCGGCCTTTCGCCCGCCGTCGACTCGTCCTCCTCACCCGCAGCCGGCGGCGCCCCGTTCACGGCCAAGGCGTCCCACTTGTCGACCGCGTCGCCTGCGCCACCGGTCCGCGTCGTCAAGGACACGGCCTCGGAGACGGTCGCCGCTCCGACCCCGACCGCGGCCAACACGACGCACGGCCTCGGTCGCCCCGGCGAGGAGCAGCGCGCCCACCTCGAGGCGCCGGCCAAGGTCCTCGGCGGCGCAGAGGGCGTCGTCGGCGAGAGCTACGGCGTCCAGCCCGAGTGGATCGTCAAGGTGCGCAAGGACCGCGCCGGCGCGGGCGCGGGCGCAGATGGCGCGGCCGGCCAGGACGAGACGGTCGTGGGCCCGACGACCGACTCGAGGTCGCTCCCGGACGGCGCCGTCGGCAGCATGACGCCCGTCGACGAGGACGACGACGAGGAGGCGGCCGGGCGCAGCGGGAGCGGCAAGCCCAAGTGGTTCAAGAAGGTCAAGGACGGCCTGTCGACGGCGGCGGCCAGCATCAAGGACAAGGCGTCCGACGCCGGCTCGATCACGTCGTCCAACGGCCGTGCAAGCGGCGGCGGCGGCAGCTCGATCCTCGGTCGTGGGCGGGCGCGCTCGGTCGGGCAGCGCTCGACCGTCAGCTTCGACGAGGGCGTCACGGGCGGCGAGGACGACGACGAGGCGACCAAGGCGGCGGCGACCAAGATCGTCACCGACCACGAGGGCAAGCCCGTCCCGCTCAACGTCGGCGCGAGCACCGAGGGCGCCACGCCGCCGAGCTCGTCGCCCGAGGGCGCCGTGCCCGCGCCGGCGCCGGTCGCAGGAAACGCGAGCGGCGTGAGCGCAACGACGAGCATCAAGGACAAGATCCTCGAGAGCTTTGATGCCGAGGTGCGTCCCTCTCCCTCTCCACACTTAGGAGGACCGTGCCCTGACCTCGCGCGACCTTCTCGCAGCCGGCGACGACGCAGGAGAAGTTCCACTCGATGTTCAACGAGCTTCCCGAGGACGAGGAGCTCATCGAGGGTGCGTCCTCGCTCTCTCTGTACCGGGCCTCGACGACCCTGACGTCTCGCTCGCCCCGCAGACTACCGCTGCGCCCTGCAGCGCGAGATCCTCGTCCAGGGCAAGCTCTACGTCAGCGAGCACTTTCTCTCGTTCCGCGCCTCAATCCTCGGTACGTCGACCTTCTCCCATGTGCGACGTCGTCGCCGACATGCACTGACTCGTCTTGGCCGGCGCAGGCTGGGAGACGACGCTCAAGATCCCGTGGACCGAGATCGTGTCGATCGAGAAGCGCTTCACGGCCAAGATCATTCCGAACGCCATCGAGGTCCGCACGCTCCACGCGACGCACACGTTCTCGTCGTTCGTCGCCCGTGACGCCTCGTTCGCGCTCGTCGTCGCCGTCTGGAAGCACGTTCACCCCGAGGGTGCGTCCTCAGTCTCTCTCTGCCCTCTCACCTTTCCCTCCACTGCTCCTTCCAGCCTCGCCTCCTTTCCCTTGAGCCCGGCACCGTGTAGGACCTCGAGACTGACCCGAATACCCGACTCGCAGCCGACCAACTCGAAGCGGCGTCGCGCAAGGCCGCCAAGGCCGAGAAGCGCCGCCTGCGCGCCCTCAGCTCGGCCGCCGCGAGCACGCGCTCGGCTCCCGAGCTCACGAGCGACACGGACGGCGACTCGGACGCCAAGAGCGAGATCACGTTCGAGGACGAGCACGGCCACAAGAAGCGCCACCGGTTCAAGCACACGCTCGCGGCGCTCAAGATCGGCAAGCTCGGCGGCAGCTCGTCGGCGTCGACGTCGTCGGCATCTGCGCCTGCCGGCGGGCCGACCGAGGCCGAGAAGGTCAAGGCGCAGGCCCAGGCGGGCTCGGGCGCGGGCGCGGGCGACGGCGCGCACGCCGCGACGTCGTACGACGGGCCCGAGTTCAAGAACGTCGCGCTCGACACGGTGCTCCCGACGAGCCCGGCCTTGGCGTACAAGCTCTTCTTCACCGACGCCGACTTCCTCAAGGCGTTCATGGAGGGCAAGGAGGGCCTCAAGGGTGCGTCTCGGTTGTCCTCTCGCTCTCTCTCTCTACCTCGTGGGCTCATGTCGCACCGTCCTCGCTCGCAGAGGTCGACATCGGCGCGTGGAAGCCGGCCAACGGCGCGTGCGAGGAGCGCGACCTCACCTACCTCAAGCCTCTCAACGCTCCTGTCGGGCCCAAGCAGACGCATTGCCTCATCCACGACCTCAACGAGCAGCGCGACGACGACTCGGTCATTGTCAACCTGACGACCACCAAGACCCCCGTGCGTCCTCGCTCGCCCTCCCTCCCTCCCTCTCTCGAGGCGACTTTGCCCTGACTCTGTTCCCTCTCGCCTCTACAGGACGTTCCCTCGGGCGACAACTTTGCGACTATGACCCGTACGGCCTTCACGTGGGCCGAGGGCGGCGGCTGCCGGGTCCGGGTCACGACCGAGGTCGAGTGGACCAAGGTCAACCGGCTCCTGCGTGGCGTCATCGAGCGCGGCGCCGTCGACGGCCAGGTCGGGTACCACAAGGACCTCGAGGCGGCCGTGCGCGAGCACATTGCCGCCAACCCGGACGAGTACGCCGTCGCCGGGAGCGCCCCCGCCGCCGCACCGGCCTCGGGCGTCAAGAGCACCGACACGGCCACCGCCGAGCGCTCGTCGTCGTCGGCCGACAGCCGCAGTTTCCTCGACTCGGTCCTCGACCCGGATCGCCTCGTCGTCGCGCTCCTCGTCGTCGTCGCCATCCTCGCCTTCTCGAACCTGTTCACGCTCGTCTCGCTCCGCAAACACGCCGCGGCGGTGCGCGAGGCGCGCATCGGGCACCCGGCCGAGGTCGCGAGCGCCGTCGAGCGGGTCCTTGGGCAGTTCAACGCGGCGCATGCGCAGCGTGCGAGCGGGTCGGCTGGTCACGGTCCGAGCGGCGAGGTGGCGCAGCTCAAGGAGGCGCTGAGGGCGCTCGAGGGCCACATCGAGGGCGTGCTGAGGGACGTTGGGAGGGCGGTGGGGACCGTGCGGGAGCTCGCCGACCGAGCCGAGGGCGTCAAGGGCATGCTCTGAGCGGGACGAGGACGACCTTTCTATGTGTACCACCATCTCTTCTCGGTTTCACTCGTTCTCTCGCCTCTATCTCTTACTGTAGCATTATGGGCTAGCACTGTCGCACTGCAGATCGCAATCCGTCTCGTCGTCGTCGGTGAGGCTCGGGGAGAAGAGTCGGCGAAAGCGGAGGAAAGCCAGGACTCGCGCCAGCTCGGAGCGCATGCTGGGGGCACCTGGGACGGTCGCAGGTAGAGACGAAAGCCACCTGTCACTTCACACAATGGCTTGCAGTCGTTGTACGGAGCCAGTCGTCGTCGAGAGAGCGAGACGGAGGAGGAGCCAGCTCTCGCCCTCATAATCCGCTCCAGCTACCAACGCTGTACGAGCACGACAGCCACTCGAGCACCGACACACACCGCTCAAGTGCTCCCTCGGCCGCTCAAACGCCTGCCTGAGTCGATCCAACACTCGCGCCGACCTCGTCACCTCCGACCCTCGTCCACCATGCAGCTCGAGGCGAGCACCTCGCTCGGCGACGCACCGCCTGTCGCAGAAGAGGCCATGACCATCGACTACGACCTCGACCCGGCGCACTCGGCAGAAGGAGGCGACGCCGAGATGGGCGACGACCATCACCCTTCCTCGCCCACCAAGAACCTCACCGACCTCGCCGTCCTCGAGGCCGACATGGTCGACGACGACGCGCTCGCGCAGCACAGCGCTGTTGGCGACACGACCGTCCTGAACGGCGACGCCGAGATCGAGGACGCCGCCACCTTCCCTCCCTCGTCCTCCACCCTCGACGACGTCCCCTTCTCCAGCATCGACACTGCCCCCATCCCTGCCTTCTCGTCCGCCCCGGGCGCGTCCGCTGCCTCGCTCGCTCCCGCCGACGTCGACTTTGCCGCTGCCGCCGCCGACCCTACTCTCGCCCCCGAACCCGCATTCTCGTCTTCCGCTCCTGCCGCCACTCCCGCTGCACCTGTTGAGCCAGCGGCGACGGTCAACGCGGCATTCTCGCTCGGCGACGGCGGCGCAGCCGTCTCGGCGCTCGAGACGCTCGACGAGGCCGAGCCCGCCGGCGAGCTTACCCCGCCCGAGCCGTCGACCACCGCCGAGCTTGCCGAGGAGCTCGACCTCGTGCCAAACGGCGACGAGGCGACGTCGATCGAGGACCCGGTCGAGGCGGTCATCGTGACGGCGGCGCACGAGGGCGACGACGCCGACTCGCAGCGCGAGGACGCCGACTCGCAGCGCGAGGACGGCGACGCCACGGGCGCCAAGGCGGCTGTCGAGCAGGGCGATGCAGCGTCAGTTCCGTCGCCTTCGCAGTCGCAGGGCGTGTCGTCGCGCCCGCTCGTCAACAAGGACCCGCTCCTCGACGTCGAGGTACCTGTGCGCTCGCCCGCCAACCCGTCGTCGTCGTCCTCGCGCGGCGTGCCCGCCGTCTTCCTGAGCATCGGCGCGCCGCACGGCTGGACGACGTACAGCCTTTTCCACGCCGAGCGTCGCGACGCGGCCGACGACGAGCAGGACGAGCACGTCAAGGAGGACGACGTCGAGCTGTTGCTCGGCGACGCGGCGCAGCACTACCTGTACTACGAGCCGCTCGACGCGCTCTTCGGCGCTTTGCGCGCGCATCTCGAGTACCTCGGACACGATGGCGACGAGCTCGTCCTCGAGTTTGACGAGATCGGCCTCAGCATCACCGAGGTGCGTCCGCCTCTTCTCTCCTCTCGTGCCTGCTCCCTCTCGTCGCCTCGACACGGACTGACCGTCGCTCTTGACTTGCAGGACAACGTCTACGCCCACCAGGTGACCCTGTTCGACTTTGACCGCATCCACACGGGCTGCCAGATCCCGGGCCGCCTGCACGCCAACCTTGCGACCCAGCCCCGGTTCTCGAGCGGGTTCAACGCGCTCGCGCAGCACATCGCGCTCGGCTCGCAGAGCGAGTCGGTCGAAGACGACGGGGGCGAGGGCGAGGAGGCCGAGGGAGGGCCCGTGCACGACGGCGAGGAGCCGGCAGAGGGTGAGCCGCTCGAGGACGAGGAGGAGGACGCGGAGCACGACGAGTCGGGCACGTTGGAGGGCGACGATGACGAGCTCGAGGAGGCGCAGGTGGCTGAGGGAGAGCCGCTGCCGAGCGGCGCCGAGGAGGTCGGTGGGGCAGGAGGAGACGCTGAGCAGGCGGAGGAGGGGGAGGAGGACGGCGAGCTCGCCGAGGGGCCCGCAGACGACCATGACGGGCCCGACTCGGAGCTCGTCGACTCGCGCGACGACGACGACGAGCCCGTCCAGGACGACGCGCAGCCCGCCGAGGACGAGTTCGACCTCGAGTCGGCGCTCGCCGAGCTCGACGGCGACGACGTCGTCGCCGTCATCGAGGGCGCGCAGGAGGACCTTCTCCTCCACGGCGTCGACGGCGGCGAGCCGGACGAGGCGCTCGAGGCGCCCGCGCCCGAGACGGAGCAGGACGAGGACGGCGCCGAGTCGTCGCTCGCCGCCGCGGGCCAGTCGGCCGACGCGACCGAGGACGGTCCGTCGCAGGCGGCCGAGGTCGAGCAGAGCGTCGAGGCTGCGGGCTCGCTCGAGGAGATGCCGGGCGCCGTCGCCGGCGATGCCGCGGCGGGCCCGGTCAGCGTGCCCGGAGCGGACGAGCCTGCCTCGGCGCCTGGAGCGACCGACGAGGTCTCGTTCACGGCGACTGCCGTCGAGACGTCTGCGCCTGTCGAGGGGCAGGCGACGTCCACGGCCGACGGCCCCGTTGCCGAGTCGAGCGAGCTCGAGGCGGCGGCACCCGTCGCGCCGAGCGCTCCTGCCGACCTTGCTCCGGCTCCTGAGCTTTCTGCAACGGGTACGCTCTCTCTCTCCATATCTGCCCATCATGCGCGTCGTATTGACGACGCTCCTATCGCGCAGCTCCTGTCGACGACCTCGAGAAGCCGGCTGGCCCGGCCGACGTCGTCATCGACTACGACGACGCGTTCGACGGCAGCGCAGAGCCTGCGCCGTCGGGCGACAAGCTCGGTGGGTCGCCCGAGTCGAAGCGCACCAGGGACGACGACGGGCAAGACGCTGAGGGAGAGGAGGCGGCTGGCGGTGCGTCCACTCTTCTTTCCCCTTTCCCTTCGCTCCTTCCTGCGATTCCTAACGCTCTACCACACCCACAGACTCTAAGCGTCCTCGGCTGTCCGATCCCGTCGACGCCGCCTCGTCCTGAGCGTCGCTCGCCCGGCTCGCCTACCGACCACCTCTTCTTCCTCACGCCGCACCGCACCGCAACTTTTGCCGACTACCTCGCCTTTCTTTCGCCGTCCATACCACCTCCTTCGTCCTTCGTCGTCGATACCCGCCTTGTACATCAGGCGTCCACCTGCACCACCCGACTTGGGCGACCTCGGCCGACCGTCCCGACTCGCACGGGCCTCCTTCCGTCCAAGGTCGCGCCGCCTCGCCTCGTCATCGTCCAGGACGACCTCCTTCCCAGCTTTTCTGGTTTCCTCGTCGGTCTCGTCGTCCGTCCTGCGCCGAGCGTTCGTCCCCTCGTCGTCGTTTCCCCCAAGTTCCCGCTTTCCGCGACCGCCGTACAGTCTCTCGCCGGCGCTCAACGCTCGACAGGTAGTCCGGCCCTTTTCCCGACTCGCATCCCGTGAGCTGACCCTGCGCGCAGCGTGTACGTCTCTGTCGGGCGAGGGTCGGAGGAGCGGGTTGGCGGGCGGCCGAGGGCGCGAGCTGTATTTCCGGTCTTTGCGGCGGCAACGGGCACTCTTTACGTACACCATCCCCCGCTCTCTCGATGTTCCGGCGAGCGAGTCCGACTGAGAGCGAGAGCGAGCTGGCGACCTTCTCAAATTCGACGAAAGCGGACCTCACTCTCTCTCGCAAGGAAGAACTCGCCGAGGAACAGCTAGAGATGCGAGTTGCAGCGACGACACGTACAGAGAGAGAGAGAGAGACCACGACCAAGCTATGCGCGCGCGCCGTCGACCGCCCCCGCTCAAGCCTCTTCTCCGCGCTCGCGCTCGCCCTGCCTCGCCTCCTCGCGCCCCTCATCCTCGCCCTCGTCATCGAACGACGCACTGATGCTGAGCCTCGACGCGCGCCTCGAGCCGAGCAGACCCCCTTGCGGGTACGACACGGGCGGCGGCGGCGGCGGTCCGAGTGCCGGACTCGCCCTCCTCCCCGGGCTGCGGCTCGGGCTCGACGTGCCCGTCGCCGACCCGGGCGGGCTCGGCAGGCGCTCGAGCATCTCGCCGGCGGGCACCTCGCCCGAGAGGGCCGGGAGCGCCCAGGGCGCGACCGTGCCCGAGTCGCGCACGCGCTGGTCGAGGACGTCGTCGAGCGCGAGCTGCGCCGCCGGGTCGAGGCCGTCGCCCGTGCTCGGGAGCTTGGCCCCGTTGCTCGCGTCGATCCAGCGCAGGACGGCGCCGAAGCGCAGGTGCTGCACGACGGGGAGGCGGTCGAGGACCTCGGCGCGGTACAGGCGCAGGAGGCCGGCGTCCTCGTCGTCGGTCGAGGTCGACGCGGGACGGGACGGGTCGTCGTGCAAGTGGAGGAGGGTCGTGAGGAAGAGGTAGGCGATGCGGTTCGGCGAGGCGTTGGGCGGCGAGAGGAGCGAGGCCGGACGCTTGGACGGGTGGACTGCGCGGTGAAAGGCTGTCAGCTCTCGCTCGGACGTCGCGCCTGACACAGAGAGGGAGAGAAGGGGACGCACTGCGAGCTTGGGACGCGCCAAAGTGGTACACGAGGTGGCCGTGCTCGTCGAGCCCCCACACGCCGAGCTTGCCCGCCGGCTCGAGCTTGAACCCGCCCTGCACCTTGCGGATCAAGGTCTTGTAGTCGGCAAAGACACGGCGTGTGAGGGCAGGCTCGTCGGCGGCCGAGACGAGGCCGACGCGGCGCAGGACGAGGAGGTAGGCGAGGAACGACAGCTCGTGCCCGGTGCCGTAGTCGAGGCGCTGCGGCGAGCCGAACGCGGCGACGAGGTGGGCGCGCAGCTCGGGGAGGGCGATGGCGTGGTTCGGGTCGACGACGAGCGTGCGGTGCAGGTCGGCGGCGGCGTGTTCGAGTCGGTCGAGCCAGGCGACAAAGGCCGTGCGGCTCGAGGTTGGGGTGGCGCTCGCGTCGGGCTCCTGGATCCACGAGGCGGCCTCGCCGAGGAGGTGGACGACATGCTGAACGGCCTGCGGTCGTCGGAAGAGTGCGTGAGCGAGGCGTACGCGAGAAAGAGGAGGAGGACGTCGGGGCGCACCTTGGAGAGAGGCTCGGAGACCGGGTGGGTGCTCGCGACCCTGAGGCGCTGGATGAAGCGGTCGATCGAGTCGTACGCGTCCGAGCGAAGCCAGTGCTCGAGGTCGGGCTGCGCATAGATCTTGCGGACGGGCGGGTCGACGGCGGCTGAGGGGAGCGGGTCGAGCGTCGGGAGGTCGGGTGCGGTGAGCATGGCGGGTGGAGGGCTGCCGCTGGGCTGGGTCGAGGTGGGTGCAGAGCAAGAGAGAGAGAGAGCGGTGGAGAGGGCGGGAGAGGCGAGAGAGAGCTCGAGGAAGCCGCAAGAAGACGTCGGGCCCCAGTTTTTGCACCGCCTCGCTCCCCCTCCCTCCTCCTCCTCCCTCGACGCGCCCCTCATCTCGCCCACGCTCACTCGATGTGACCTACACAATGCCACACACGCTCGACCACACCCCCCAGGGCTCGCCCACACCTCAGCCCGACTCGGCTGCCCTCGCCCTCCCCGACGTCCATGAGCTCGCCTGCTTCCGCACCTCGCCTCGCCCATGCCCCAACCAACAGCTCGTCGATCAGCTCAAGCCTCTTCGCGAGTGGCGCTTCCTCCAGCATGGCAGTGCGTCCCGACCCTCCTTCCCTCCTGTACCGCGCGCAGCGGCGCTGACACCTCGTCTCCTTCCCCTGCAGCCGGCGAGCCCGAGGCCATCAGCTACGCGACGGCCGTCAGTGTCATCATCGGCACACCCTTTGTCATCACCTCGGCCGACCAGGCTCGTGCCCTGCCAAAGGTGCGGCCCCCTCCTCCCTCTCGACCCCTCCTCCTCTTCATCCCCAGCTCACGCTCTCACCCGCGCCACAGATCGGCCCCAAGCTCGTCGTCAAGATCCAGGAGTACATCGACAAGGGATTCATCCAGGAATCGCGTCCGTCCCACTCTCGCTCTCGTGCCTAGCAGGCCCGGGCTGACCTCTCTCGTTGACGGCCCCCCCTCTCACAGGCGACGTGGAGCAGCTCGAGCGCTTCAAGGTTCTACGACTGCTCACGACGGTTCACGGCGTCGGTACGTCGACCCTTTCGCCTCTTGTTGCGGCCTCGCCAGGACTGACCTCGAGCACTCGGGCGCGAAACAGGGCACGCGCTCGCCAACAAGCTGTACGACGACGGCACACGCACGCTCGACGACCTCCAGGCCATGCTCAAGGACCGACACGATATCCTGCGCTACATGCGGTTCCATGCCGACCTGCAAGAGCCGTACGTCGCACCCTTTCCTCCTCTTGAGCTCCCTCGAGGCCGACCTGACCTTTCTCTGCCTTCGTCTCGCAGGGTTTCGCGCACCGAGGTCGAAAGTGTGCGAGACTTTGTTCGCCTTCAAGTCGACAAGGTGCTCCCGGGCGCACATCTCGAGCTGTGTGGCGGGTACCGTCGCGGCAAGGCCACCTCGGGCGACATCGACATCCTTATCACCTTTCCTCACCAAGACGGCCTCGAGCGTGGCTTCCTGCGCCGCCTCGTCGACCGTCTCGTCAAGAAGGGCCTCGTGCCGCGCGACGGCGGCGTCCTGAGCCTCACCGAGGCCGGCTCGAGCCGCACGACGTGGGCCAACCGGCGCGCGTCGCTCGGCGACACGCTCGACAAGGCGCTCGTCGTGTTCCGGCACCCGGCCAACGGGACGACGCGCACGAGGGACGTGTGGAGGAGGGTCGACCTCGTCGTCGCGGCGTGGCCGCACTGGGGCCCGGCCGTTCTCGGGTGGACCGGGTCGACGCAGTTTGAGCGTGACTTGCGCAGGCACGCGGGCAAGCTGTGCGTCCCCACCTCTCTCTCTCTTCTCTCCTTCCTGCACTCTTCGAGGCCGCACAGCCAGAGGCGCAGCACGTGCGGCCACGCGCAGAAACCCTGACTCGCTCGCACCCTCTCCCCTCGTTCCCTCGTCCTGCGCAGCGGCTACACGTTCACTCGGGCGGGATCCGCGACAAGGAGACGAACGAGCACGTCGAGGCCAAGACCGAGCGGGACTGCTTCCGCCTCCTCAAGCTCGAGTGGATCCCGTGAGCCCTGTCCTCCTCCCGACGGCGCGACTCCTTCGCGAAGCGGGACTCACCTCGAGACGCCGCTCGCAGGCCGCACTTGCGCAACGCGGACCCATGATACGCCGATTAGCCCTGTGCGCGCCGCAAGGACAGCGCCTTTCTCTCTCTCGAGCCTCCTCGCAGTCGCCCCTACCGCTCTCTCGCCTGTCGGGCCATTGTAGAATTTGCGCGACGAGCGCTTGTTGTTTGTAATCATGTCGTACTTGCGCCTGTACAAGCGAGATCGAACCAGAGAGCGAGGGCGCAGCACCTTCTCGTCGTCGTCGTCGCCGGCGGAGGAGAAGGCTCGCTCCCACCGCCTCGCCCGCTCCCACCATGAGCGACGCAGCCGAGAACCCGTTCGTCGAAGAGACGCTCTCTGACGACCCTGCGGCCCCATCCTCGCCGCCCGCCGAGCCCTCATCGTCCGCCGAGGCCGCGCTCCCCACCTCGTCCTCATCTCCTCCCTCGACCTCGTCGGCTCCCGCACCGCCCACGACCGCCCAGGACGCCCAGGACGACGACGACGCGCCTCTCGCGAGTGCTGCGTACCCGTTCTCGGCCGACCCGTACCCGCAGGACGAGCCGCTCCCGCCGCCCTCGTCGGCGGCGGGGATCGTGACGAGCGAGCAGGAGGACGTGCGTGACGAGGGGGCGGGAGACGCCGCGAGGGAGCAGGAGGGGCAGGAGGACAAGGCGCAGACGCAGCCGAGGGTCTACGAGCGCACGAGGAGGGACGCGATCCAGGTGCGTCCTCCTGTCCAGCTCTCGAGGCGGCGAGGGCACGGCTGGGCGGCACGCTCTCTGTCGTGGGAGTGCGCGCTCGGCCTCGTACCGTTCGCAGAGCGAGCTGACCCGCTCGGATGCCCACTCGCAGATCGTCGACGCGCTCAAGACGAGCGAGGGCGCCAGCTCACCCTACATCGTCTACTGCATCCGCTTCGAGGTGCGCCCCCTCTCTCTCTCAGCCGTCGTTGCCACAACCGCACGAGCTCACCTTTGTCTCTCTCGCGCAGAACCGCGACGTGCGGCGGCGGTACTCGGACTTTGTCTCGCTGCGACAAGCGCTCGCGACGCTCCACCCGTGCTTCATCGTGCCGCCGCTGCCGCCCAAGAACACGCTCGCGTCGTACGCCGTCGTCGGGACGCACCCGTCCAAGGCCAAGGAGGACGCCGCCCTCATCGCGCGCCGGCGCCGCATGCTGTCGACGTTCCTCAACCGCACGCTCGAGCACCGCGCGCTCGGCACCGACCGCGTCTTCCGGCGGTTCCTCGACCCCGAGACGCCCTGGGTCGACGTCCTCCACTCGCCGCCGGTGACGCTCGTGCCCAAGAACGCTTTGCGCGCGCCGGCGAGCGACCCGACCGACCCGGACCTGCTCGCCCTGTTCGCCAACCTCCCGCTCCCGTCGTCGTCGGCCGCGCTCCAGCACCCGGACCAGCGTTTCCTCGACAGCGAGGTCTTCACGAACAAGTTCTCGGCGCATCTGAGCGGCTCGATGGAGAAGGTCAACCGGCGCCTGATGAAGCGGTGGACCGACGCGGCGGGCGACTGGGGCGAGATGGGCGGCGGCTTGAACGGGTTTGCGCTGCGCATGGGCGAGGATGGGTCGGGAGGGCTCGACGAGGCGACCGAGAAGGTCGGCATGGCGGTCGACGCGAGCTACACGCTCACCAACTCGATGGTGCGTCCTCCTCTCCCTCGCCCTCTTTCCCTTTTCCTCGCGCGCCTCACTGACCCCTGTCTCTCTGCGTCCCTCTGCAGCTCGGCAAGTGGGAGCAGGACTTTACCGAGCCGCTCCAGGAGTACACCCAGTTCTCGAGCATCATCAAAGGCCTCCTCAAGTACCGCCACAGCAAGCACCTCCAGTACGAGGCCGCTCGCGAGCTCCTCGAGTCGAAGCGCGCCACGCTCGAAGAGCTCGAGCGCTCCGAGCTCGAGGCGCAGCGCCTCGAAAAAGCGCTCGAGCGCGTCCGCATCGTCACGGACGACGGCGGCTCGGACCGCGCCACGTCGCCGCCGCAGGGCGCCGCCGCGCCCGTCGGTGGAGCGGCCGAGGGCGCAGGCGCAGCGACGGCGTCGCTCCCGCCGCTGCCGAGCTCGAGCGGCTCGTTGCCGGCGTCGCCGCCGGCGAGGAAAGGCGGCGGGCTCCTGAGCGCGCTCAGCCACTCGGTCAAGGGCTTCGTCGACTCTGACCCGGAGGCGACGAGGCGCAGCTCGATCGGCAAGACGCGCGAGCAGATCAACCAGGTCCGTCCACTCCCCTTTCCTTTCCTCCCTCTCTCGCCCCTCGGACCCGCACTGACCTCTGCGCCCTCCTGCCGCAGCTCGACGACGCCATCAAGGCGCTCACGAACGACCTCCGGTTCGCGTCGTCGACGATCCAGGGCGACCTCGACCGGTTCCAGCGCCAGAAGGTGGGCGACCTGCGCGAAATGTGCCTCGACTTTGCGAGCTTCCACCGCGAGTGGGCGGCAAAGGTGCGCTCCCTCTCTCTCTCTCTTCCCTCTCCTCCTCGTATGTTGCCGCCTCCTGACTCTCGTTGCACGTGCGCAGAACCTCGCCATGTGGGAGGAGGCCAAGGGCGCCATCGACGCCATCATGGACGACGACTGAAGGTCGTCTCGCCCCTCTCCTCTCTCTCTGCCCCCTCGCTCCCCTCCTTGTTCCTCTCGTACACCCTCATACCCCTCCTTTGTCTGTCTTCTTCCTTCGTGCGCATCGTCCTGTATGTCACTCGCGATTCTCAACCGTCAAGCCTGGCGCGAGCGAGAGGGTCCTTGCGGCTCGCCGGCCGGCGAGGGCTCGAGGCCAGTGAGCTCTTCTCTTTCTCGGCTCCTATATCTCTCTCCTCTCGCTCGACGAGAGCCGCAAAGAAGCGACAGGCCTGGGACAGGGTTTGTCATTGCGCCCAAGGTGCCCTCGTCCCGCTCGGACCGCCCTCCTCCACTCCTCCCGCACGCCCACCGCCACTGCCCCTCTCGAGCGCCGCGTCACTCCCGAGCCCGACGCGCGGCAAGACCCCGAACGGCGAGCTCGCGGCCGCTGCGCCGCCCTGGTCGGCGACCGTAGTTGTCGACCTTGGCGGCGGCGCTGTATGCGGGGCGCGCGAGGGGAAGAGGGTCGGGGGCTGGAACGAGGTGCGAGGGGCAGAGGAGGTCGAGGGCGGGAGCGGGAACGTTGAGGGGTGCTGGCGGCGGGCAAAGGCGCTCGAGGAGGGGGAGTGGGAGGAGGAGGAGGAAGAGGTCGAGATGGTGGTCGAGGCGCCGAGGCGCGACGGCGGCGGGAGCGGGCGCACCCCGCCGTCGAGTGCGCCACTCGTCGCGGCCCAAGGAGCGGGCGTGATGCCCTGCGCGAGGCCCGCTTCGTCCCGCTCGAGCCCGTCCTCCCCCGCATCCTCCTCGCGCCCGTCGCCCGACGACGGCAGCTCGTCGCCGCCGTCCCGGTCGACCCACCGCAGCGCGACGTCGCCAAAGCGGCAGTGCTGCACGACGGGTACCTTGGCGAGCACCTCGGCGCGGTACATGTCCCACAGGCCCTTGGCGACTTTGGCGAACGAGGGCACGGTCGTCGCGATCTGGTGCAGGAGCGGCGAGTGCTCAGCAAAGGGCCCGCGCTTGAGCGTGTGGATGTGCTGGATCGACGAGAGGAAGAGCGAGGTCGGCGCGTGGGTGGCGAGCGTGGACGGCGAGAGGATCGAGGAGGGCCCGAGCGTTGGGTGGCCTGCGAGCGACGACTCGGGAGGGTCAGTCGGTCACGCCATAAAGACGACGTCAAGCGAGACGTCGGATCGACGACGCGAGAGAGAGAGAGAGAGGAGGACGCACCGACGAGCTGGGCCGCGCCAAAGAGGTACACGAGGTGCTGATGGTCGTCCAAGCCCCACACGCCCTTGCTCCCCGCCGGCTCGAGCCTGAAGACCCTCTGCACCTCGCGCACCGTCTCGATGTACTCGTTGAAGACGCGGAGCACGAGGGCGCACTCGTCGCGCTCGGAGAAGACGCGCGCCCGGACGAGGCACACGAGGTAGGCGACGAACGACAGCTCGTGTCCGGTGCCATAGTCGAGGCGTTGCGGCGAGCCGAACGACGACAGGAGGTGGAAGTGGAGTTCGGGCGTGACGGCGGCCTTGAGCGAGTTGGAAAGGTCGGGAGCGAGGGCGAGGAGGGCGTGCTGCAGCTCGGGCTCGGCCTGCGGAGGGGGCGCGCGTCAGGTTCGGGTCCACACGACGTCGACGCTTGAATTGAGAGAGCGGACGGACCTGCTCGACGGCTACGAGCCAGTCGCGGAAGGCCTTGTTGCCGAAGCGCTGCGGGCTCGTCTGGAGCGGCACCTGGGCGATGCGGGCCCTCTCGCGGCGCAGGAACGCGACAAGGAGCGATGTTGCCTGTGTTGGAGTTCAAGTATCAGCTGTGCTCGCAGCCAGAGAGGACGAGAGAGCGGGGCGCACCTCGGACTCGAAGCACGGGTGGTCGTTGGGTCGGGCGACGACGGCAGTCGTTAGGCGGAGGATGGTGGCCTGGAGGCGGTCGTAGGCCTCACTGCGGAACCACGGGGCGAGGTCGGCGTCGGTAAAGATCTTGCGGCCAGGTGTGCGAGGCGAGGTGGGGCAGCTCGACGACGACGACGAGGCGAGGAGCGCGGGCACGATGGGAGGGGCTGCGGGTAGCCCCGGGATGTTGTGCTGCATCCCTCCACTCCTTGAAAGCGTGCAAGCCGTCCACGCAAGCCCGTCGTCGGTGTGCGAGACGCGACGAGAGCTCATCAGCGACGTCGAGGTCGGCCACCTCTCTCGGAGCTCGTGCGGCCCTGGTCGGACTCGGGCAGGCTCAGGGGACCGTCACAGTCACTCTCGCGGTCTCTCCGCCGAGCCTCGAGCTACCGACGAGGCTGTCGCCGCCGGCTCCCTTCGCTCAGCTCGCCTCGCGCTCCTCTGCTCTCGCCCGCCTCGCCCTCAGCCTCGAGCGGCCCCCTCGAGCGCGCCATGAGCGACTGCGGCTCATCTGCGACCCCGTCGCTCAGCCCCACGCCGCCCCACGCGCTCGCCGTCGCGCAACAGCTCCCGCAAGATGTCGTCGCCCTCATCGCCCACCACCTCACCGTCGACGACTCTGAGCACCGCCACGACACGCTCGAGGACCGCCGAGACGACGCGAGGAGCTTCGCGCGCGTCTGCAAGGCGTGGAGAGCGGCGGGCACGGCGGCGGCCTGGCGCGAGGTCGAGCTCTTCCTCGGCATGGCGTTCTGGGTCGGCAAGCATCTCGAGACGTACCCACACCTGTTCAAGCACGTCGAGTCGATGAGCGTGTCCCTGTCGTACCTGAGCATCGCGCGAGCCGACGACGAGTCGCAGGACGTCGTCGCCTCGTGCCCTCGTCTTTCCCGCCTCGAGCTGCGCGTCGACCGCCAGGCGGGCTCATACCTCCAGGCGCTGCAAGACAAGACCGACCTGACCAAGCTCGTCGAGGTCGTCATCCAGACGGTCGACATGTCGTGGCAGTCGTGGCATCACTACGCCACCTTCGACCGCCTCGTCTCGGCAAACCTCGTGTTCGCCTTCGTTCGCGCTTGCCCCAACGTGCGGCGCTTCGCCTACATTGGCCACCAGGAGATCGTCAACGAGACGGCCGACGTGCCCCGCGGTCGTCGCATCAAGCTCGACGAGCTCACGCTCGACATCAAGGACACGAAGCTCGACTCCGAGACCGGCCGTCGCTCGTCGTCCATCCGCAGCAGGTTCCTCCTCCAGTTCGACCTCGGGCGCCTCGTCACCTTCAAGGCACACGTGAATCTGCGCGACGGCGACAACCTCGCTGCGCTCGACCGCATGGTCAACCTCGAGACGCTGCGCCTCGTCGACGACCACGGTCTCGACGTCGCCGCCCTCGACGCGCTCGGCGCGCGCCTCGTCCGCCTCGTCAAGTTGCGCGACGTCGACCTGTCGGCCGCACCCGAGGTCGAGTGCCCTACGAGCCCGGCCGTCCTCAAAGCCGTCGAGCGCCTCTTCAAGGCCCTCCCGGCGACGGTCGAGCGCCTCAGCCTGTCGGTCCCGCTGCCCGAGCCGCTCGCCGAAGCCTTGCTCGAGGGCAGCCCCGGCCTCGAGCACTTCCTGTCGCACGTCTACGACCCGCTCGACGTCCGGCCCGAGGCGAGCGAGATGCACTGGCGCAGGACGGTCTACGTGTCGGGCGACGAGATGGAGCAGCTCGACGTCGAGGACAACGAGAGCCTGTGAGGGAGCGGCACAAGGTGCGCCCACCTCTCTCTCGGTCTCGCGCGACCTCGTTCCTCAAGCGCTCACGCACGCTCCCCTTGCGCCGCAGGTCGCCTTTCTCGGGTCGGGCGGGACAGGAGCGTGGCAGGGCTTGCTGGAGCTTGACGTAGCGTAGTCTGGGTGCAATGTCTGTGCGAGGGCGACGACAGGCGAGCGCGAGAGCGAGCGAAAGAGGAGCAACGACTTGGCGAGAGCCACTTGGGCGAGACCTGCTCGCGCCGATGCTGCAGCACGTCGTCTTGAGTCTCTTGCACGTCGACAGCACACGCCGAGAGGGTCGTACGAGCGAGGCGACGAGGCGCAAGCAGAGAGAGCGCGAGCGAGGCGAGGCTTCGTGAGCTGCAAGGGGTTCGAGCGCTGCTGCAGCTTCGACTTGCGCTCGACAGCCCGCTCACGACTCGCTTTCGTTCTCTCGCAAGCTTCGTTCTCGTTCTCGCTCTCGCTCTCGCTCTCGCTTTCGCACGAGCAGCTCGTGCTCAGGGGAAACTCCTGCCGAGCTCGCTGGGCCGCACGTCTGCGTCGCGTTCCACCCTCGCATCCCTCCAGCTCTGAGCCCGTCTAACCAAACAGCCTCAAGCTCCCGACGTCGATCTGCCCTGCCCTCGGCGGCGCGACATCGTCGAGCGCCGGGTCGAGCGCCGGTGCGTCCGCGCCCTGCTGCTGCTGCTGCTGCTGCGGGAACGAGCGGCCGAGGAGCGACGCAAAGAGCTCGTCGACTTGCTCCTCGTGCCAGGTGCCTGTGGGCGACGAGGGAGGGATGTCAGGAATCGTGCTCGGGCTTGGTTTGCGTAACAGGGGGAGCGAGGCCGAGGTTGAAAGGAAGGGCAGAGAGAGAAGGGAAAAGAGGAGAGGAGGAGGACGACGACGACGAGGAGAAGGAGAAAGAGAAAAAGAGAGAGCCCAACTGACCAGCCTCGATGGGGATCATAAAGTTCTGCACCTTCTCGTGCACGTGGTACCGGATCTTGCGCCCTTTGCTCGCGCGCGTGTCGACGTTCTTCTTGACCTTCTTGCCGCGTGCGAGGGCCGTCGCGTGGCGCAGCTGGGTCAGGGTGGCGTCGTCTGCTCGAGGGCGAGTGCGGGTGCAGGTGCGGGTGAGGCGAGACGAGGAGGGGAAAGGTGGGGAGGGAGCGAGAGAGGAGGGGAGGAGAGGCGAGGAATGCGGGGAAATGAGAGGGCGAGGATGACAAGGTCAGTCACGGTTCGCAAGGAGCGACGGCACCAAGTCAGATGCGACGTCGACGACGGTGAAAGGATAGGCGAGCGAAAGAGGAGAAGGAGGGGAGGGAGGGGACGAAAGAAGGAAACGGAGAGACTCACCCAGGTCGAGCATGCGCGACTCGACGACGTCGCGCAGGAGCTGCTGGTAAAAGTCCGAGTCGTCGAAGCACTCGGCGTCGACCTCCTTTGCCGCGCCGCCCGCCTTGACCCTGTCCCCCTCGAGCGCGACCTCGGCGCCGTCCTCGACCGCACCCGCCGCCGCGTCCGCCGGCCGCCCAACGACAGCCCCCTCGCCCCTGCGCACCCTCGTGCGGCGCACGAGCCGCTCGCGCTCGCCTGCTGCGCCCGCCGCGCCGCCCGACGACGCGAGCGCGTGGTCGATCTGCGCGAGCGCGTTCTGGTTGACGGCCTTGAACTTTTTGTCCTTGGCGAGCGCGAGGCCGGACGCGGCGAGGACCTTGTCGGACCACTTGGACACGGTCGTGCGCAGGAACGGGTCGAAGCTGATGTTGAGGGAGCGGCCGGGGCGGGGCGGGAGGGAGAGGGGGCGAGGTCGAGGTGGCGAGGAGGGGGTCCGTGCGGCGAGCGTGGGGGAGGCAGGAGGTGCAGGGAAATGGACAGGAGAAGGAAGAGTGTCAGTCTCTGCAACCGTGTGCGGCGCGGGCTCGACAGCAAGCCCGAGGGACCGGGTCGCAGGCAAGAGTAGAGGGGGAGAACGAGCGACGCACGCAGTCTCGAGCGCAGCCAAGTCCTTGAGCGTCTCGTCGAGGTACGCGCCGGCATCGTCCGACGTGCGCTTGCGCTTGCGCGTCTGGCCAAAGTCGGCCGCGAGCTCGACCTTGTCGTTGGTCGCGAGGAGGGTCTGTGCGGCGGGAGGCGAGGCGAGGCGGGGCGGGGCGGGGCGCCGTGGGGCGAGATGTGGCAAGGCGACGCGATAAGAGAAAGAGAGAAGAGAGCAAGGGAGAAAGAAGGAGGTGTCAATGACCGTGCGCGAGAACGACGAGGCAAAAGAGAGAGCGAGCGGACGCACCTCGCGCAGCGCAAACAGCTCCTCGCTCAGCTCGCCCACCTCGTGCAGGACCTCGTCGCGCTCGTTGGCGACCTCGGCGAAGAGCGCGTCGGCGCCGTAGGCCGGCGGCGGGAGCAGGTTGGCGGCCGCGACGGCCTTCTGGACCTTGATGCGCGCCTCGAGGAGCGAGTCGCAGAAGGACTGTGGTTCGCGGCGAGGTGGGCGAGGTGCAGGAGGAGAAGGGAGAAGGAGAGGGTGAAAGAGAGGGTGAAAGAAGGCGTCAGTGGGCGCTTGAGGAGGGACGAGAGGGACGAAGGACGGGGAGGAAGGCGACGACGCACCAGCTGCTTCTTGACGTCGCGGCCCTTCTCGACATCGGCCGACGCGGCCTGCTTGAGCTGCTTGACCATGGCGCGGTCGTCGTGCGTCTTGGCGTTGGAGCCGGCCGGCGCAGCCGGTGCCGAGCGACGGGTGGTCGATGCTGGAGGCGCCATCGACGCGTCCTCGTCGTCCTCGTCCTCGTCCTCGTCGAGCTCCTCCTCCTCGTCGTCGTCCGACGCACCCTCGCCCTCGAGGTCCTCGAAGTCGCCCATCTCGTCCTCGTCCGAGTCGTCGTCCCCGCTCAACTCGCCATCGAGCTCCTCGTCCTCCTCCATCTCGTCCTCCTCCTCGTCGTTCTCGTCGTCGTCGCCGTAGAGAGCTGCGCGACTGCCCTTCTTGCCGTCGTACTTGGTGTCGAGGACGGCCTCGCCGCGCTTGCGGAGCTTGCTCGGGCTGCGGGACGGTCGGGGGGTCAGCGAGGGCGCGCACAAGGTCGGGCGAGGGTGGGGGGGACGGACCCGACGTCGACGTAGTCTGCGCGAGCTGCGTCTGCGGAATCGAGCGGTGCCGAGTCGTCGGCGTCGCCTGGAGCTGGGGTGCGGCCGTCGGCGTAGGTCGCGTAGGCGTCCTCGGGGTCAAAGTCTGTGGGCAGGGAGACAGTGAGCGAGGGTCGGTAAGGGCAGGGACGAAGTGGGGCGGACCTTGAGGAGCGGGCTGGGAGATCTGGGCGAGTTGCTGAGCGAGGGTGAGCTCTGGAGGAGGAGTGGGGCGAGGTCAGTCACAGGTGCGGGCGCGAGGGGAGTGGCTCGATTGGGAGGCTAGAGCTCACTGGCCATGTTGTGGGACTGGCGAGCTGCACAGCCGTGTGCGGTGAGGAGCGAGAGTGATCAAGCCGGGCGAACGAGAGCTCGAGCTCGTCGGCGATGGAACCAACACCGCCTCTCGCTCACCCTCCCTGACAAGCTAGCCACAAGCCATGCAGTCAATCGCACTACCCGCACTGCGCCTCGCCGCCACGCGCCGCACCCCTCGCCTCGCCCTCGCGTGGCCCTCCCCCCTCCCCCGCTCTCATCATCACCCTCGTCCGCTCCACTCTACCGCCCTCCGCCTCGACGAGCGACCAGCCTCAGCCTCACGCCCGCAAGTCCCGCTCAACAGTCCAACCGGCACCCCGATCGCCCAGATCGACCGCCGCCTGCGCATCACCTTCACCTGCACCGCCTCGCTCCCCTCACCCACCCCAGGCGCCGACCCGACCCCGTGCGGCCACCGCAGCTCGCACGAGTTCAGCAAGCGCAGCTACGACAAGGGCGTCGTCATCGTACAGTGCCCGGGCTGCAACAACCGCCACCTCATCGGTCCGCTCCCTCCCTCGTCCTCTCTCTCCCTCTCTCTCTCCCTCATCGCCCCTGACTCTCACTCCCACCCGCAGCCGACCACCTGCACTGGTTCCACTCGACGCCCTCGCCCGCTCACCCGACCGGCCTCCCCTTCGACCCCTCGCGCCCCAAGCGGGCCCGCACCGTCGAGGACCTCTTGCGCGAAAAGGGCGAACAGGTCCAGTGGGGCGCTCCGGCCGGCGAGGGCGGGCAGCTGAGGTGGCGCGTCAGCGAGAGGACCGAAGACGACGGCGGCACGACGGTCGAGGTCAAGCCCGTCGACGAGGGCGACGCCGACACGGGCGTCACGCTCGGCAGGCAGGACTAGACGCAGCTGTAGACCCGGCGGCGCAACCCAGAGCTGTACATAGACGTGCTCCCGACTCACTCTTTCGCGGCGAGAGAGACTCATTCTTCTTCTCGCTCGTCCTCCTGCTCTCGCACGCCCCGCTCTCGCTCTCCCGAGCTCGCTCGCACGCTTTGCAGAGAGAGGGGCATCTATCTGCGTCTGTTGCAGCGTCCCTCTAGTCAAAGCGGCGCACGCGCCTTTTCCCTTCTCGTCGTCGTCCTCGCGCCTCGTCCCGTCATGCTCCTCCACCTCGGCCTCGAACCGCTATGTACACGGCCCCTCTCTCTCGCTCTGCTACCTCACTCACGACGCCCGCTCAGCTCAGCTCAGGACGACGACGACGGCGCCGACGCGTCGGTCGCGGCGACCGAGCCGCCTCCTGCCGCCTTGGTCTTGGCCGCCTCGTCGCGCTGCTTGCCGAGGATCTTGCTCGAGACCTGCGGCGGCGGGCGAGTGGCGCAGAGTCGGTTCTGGGGCAAACACGAGAGGGAGAGAGAGAGAGAGGAGGGACGCACGTTCTTGATGTTGAGGTCTGCGCGCTGGATCCCGAGCTTCTTTGCGCGCTCGTACGCGACGAGGGCCTCGTCGAGCTCGCCCGTCGCCTCGAGGACGGCGGCCAAGTTGAAGCACACCTCGCCGTCGTCCGGGTTGACCATGAGGGCCTTCTGGAGGTGGTCGAGCGCCTTGTCCGGCTGCGGCGGCTGGCTCAGGATGTAGGCCGCGCCGAGGTTGGTGTGCGTGTCGGCGAGGATGACCTGGGCCGGCGTGAGCTCGGGGAGGGGCGCGAGCGGGTCGGGCAGGGTCGGCTTGACGCCCGTCGGCGTGTGCGACAGCGACAGCTCGAACGACGAGATGGCCGACGCGAGGTCCTGCAGCTGGTACCTGCGGGTTTTGCCGGGTCAGCTCGACGCGCCCCTCGAGAGTGCGCTCAAGAGGTGGACGCACTGGACGACGCCGAGATTGTAGTAGCCTGTGTGGTGCGAGGGCGTGAGTCTCGTCGAGGTGCGAGTGCGAGGAGGAGGACGAGGGCGCACCGATCGACGTCTGCTTGATCTCGACGCTCTTCTTGTAGTGAGCGAGGGCGGTCTGGAAGTCGCCCTTGGAAAGGGCGTCGGTGCCGTCGTCGAGCTCGTGCTGGGCTGCAACTTCTTGAGGGTCCATGGTGCTCGAGTGCGGGGTCGTGCTCGACGCGAAGCCTGTTGCGGGTGAGGGGGAGCGGGTCAGGTCTCGAGTGTGCGTGCGTGTGTGTGGGCGAGACGCACGCTGGGCGAGGCGAGAGGGAGGAGCTCGAGTCGAGGCGGTCGAGGTGCGAGGGAGGACGGCGGCGAGGCGAGTAGTGGACGAGGGGACTGCGAGGTGGGACGAGTGGCGGGATGCGGTGCGGGCGAGGGTGCGCAGCATCTGGCGAGTGCAAGGATGCAGTGCGAGGTCCAGCTGGTCGTCGCTGTCGTCGTCGTTGTCATCGCCTCGACGCTCGTTCGCCGGACCTCTCGGAGAGAACTCACCCTCTCTCCCCTCCACTCTCGCCTCGAGCACAGCAGCATCACCTCATCACCATGCTCTCTGCCCTTCGCACCTCCCCCTCGGTCCTCCTCCGCTCGGCCGCCACCCGCCCTCTCGCCTCCCCATCGGCCCTCCGCCTCATCGCTCAGCGCCGCAACCTCTCCGACGACGCTCGCCGCAAGATCGACAATGTGAGCCACACCCATTCTCCACCTCTCTCCAACCCGAGCTCACCCACACTCCAACCCCAACAGGTCGTGTCGTCCAACCCGCTCGTCCTCTTCATGAAGGGCACCCCGCAGATGCCTCAGTGCGGCTTCTCGCGCGCCGTGTGCCAGATCCTCGAGGTCAACGGCGTCCCAGAGTCCAAGATCGTCGCCTTCAACTGCCTCGAGGACCAGGAGCTGCGCGAGGGCATCAAGGAGTACAGGTGCGCCGCCCACCCTCTCTCTCCCCTCAGCCGCCCTCTTCTCCTGCCGCCCACACAGCCCCCCCCCTCCCCACTGACCCCCTTCTGCCCCCGCGCAGCTCGTGGCCGACCATCCCGCAGCTTTACCTCGGCGGCGAGTTCGTCGGCGGGTGCGACATCGCCCTCCAGCTGCACCAGTCGGGCGAGCTCGAAAAGCTCCTCGTCGAGCAGGGCGTCATCGACGCCGACCCGAGCGACAAGGTCCAGGCGGGCGATGCCGCGGCCAACAAGTGAGCGGGACGAGCGAGGGACCGAGGGGGCGAGGGAGGGGAGCGAGAGCCGACGAGGTTGTAGACCGGCGCGCATACGCAGAAACTCTCGGTCGTTGTACATGTCCATGTCGACCCGGCACGAGAGAGGCGAGAGCCCCGAGAGGGACGAGCCTCGCTGCGGGCCGGACGAACGACGAGGCCCGACCGCGGCTCGTGCGCGAGAAACCGACAGCCGCTCTCACTGGCCAGCGCTCGCCGAGCCAGGCGCAGCTCTCGAGAGCCTGACCGAGGAGACAAGAAGATCGTGGCTGCGTTGCGGGTGCGCGACGAGCCGTGCGAGGTGCGGTGCGAGGGGTGCAGGGCGTGCGAGGTCTACTGCGGATGCGGGAGGCGCGAGGGTATGTCTATGTGCGGCGGGCCGGTGCGGTGCGGTGCGGTGCGCGAGGCAGAGTCGAGGCGACGACGAGGGAGGGAGGGAGGACGAGGGCCGGGGCGGGTCGAGCGGCAGAGGGCGGTGGGCGAAGACGACGCGAGAAGCCGTCAGGGCGGCGCGTCGTGCTCGTGTGCGGCGTCGGGCTGCGCGAGTCGAGGTCAGGAGTCTGCTCGCAGAGAAAGAGAGAAAGAAAGAGGGAGAGAACCGGCCGACGCACCGTGACAAGCCCCTGCTCGAGCGCGCCCCACTCCCTCTCGCCCTCGTCGACCCACTCCTCGACCCGCCTCAGCAAGCCCTCGCGCCACGCCCTCCCGCCCTCGCCGGTGCCCCACGTGCGCTCCATCGTGAGCCCGACAGCGCGCGCAACCGTCCGCCGCGCCTTGCGCTCCGTCGTCATCGTCGCCGGCACTGGCAGCCGCCGCTCGGGCCCCTCGTGGTGGCGCACGGCGCCGGCGCCGGCACAGCCGGGCGGCGGCGACGCACGCTGCAGGCGCGCGACCCAATCGAGGAGCCAGTCGAGCCGGGCGCGCACGTCGTCCTGCGCCGCGAGCGCGCCAGGCTCGGACCCGGCGTTCGACTCGGCGAGCAGCGCCGCGCGCACGAGCGCGCCCGCGGCGTCGACCCGGCGCAGGAGCGGCTGGTCGGCTCGCCCCTTCTGCGGGAGCTGCGGCTGCTCGACGCCGGTCGCCGAGCCCGGCGGCGGCGAGAGCGCGAGCGCTCCGAGCGCGGGCTCGTGCGGCCCGCCGCGCAGCGCCGCGTCGTGCTCCTTGCACTGGAGCAGGACGTCGCACGCATCACGCACGGCGTCGAAGCGCGGTATGGCGTCCTTGCGCGCCGGGTTGGCCGGGTCGAACGCCCCGCCGAGGGCGAGGAGTGCGGCGCGCAGGACGTGCGTCGAGAGGCCGAGACGGCGGGTCGAGGGTGGGACGGCGGGCGAGGGAGGGATGCGCGACAGGGTCGACAGGGTGACGGAGAGGAGGGTGTGCAGGCGTTCGAGCGGGGCGAGCGGGTCGTCGACCGCCGACGAGGAAAGGTGCGAGCGACGGCGGCCGTGCTGCGCGGCGGCGAGCGCGTCGAGGTGCGCCGAGGCGAGGCGGAACAGGACGGACGACTGGCGCAGGCGCAGGCGAGGGAGCGCGGTCGTGGCGAGGAGCGGGTCGGATGCCGTCGAGTGCGTCAGGTCGAGGAGGAGGAGGTACAGCTGCGACGCCGACGCGAGGGGCGAGGCTGCAGGTGGGACGTAGGTCGAGGTCGAGGTCGAGGGACGAGGGGAGGAAGGGCCGTCGTGCGACCGGGCACGGACGAGGAGGAACCGGATTGCGATGTGCAGCACCTGCGCTCGCCGCTCGAGCTCGACCCACTCGGGCCGCCGCGACGACGGGCCTGCTCGTGCCGCTGCTCGAGCGACGTCGACAGAGGGCGCGGCGAGAGCGTCGCCAAGCGAGGCGACGAGCCGCTCGACGTCCTCCTCGACCTGGCGGTACAGCGGGTCGTCGAGCTCGAGGTGCTCGCTTGCCTCGAGCCGCTCGAGCGACGACTCGAGGAGCGCGAGCGCGACGACCTCGCCCTCGTCCTCCTCGGCCGCGCGCAGCTCGTCCATGAAGGCGCGCAGCTGGGCGTGCACCCGCTCGGCGCGCGACGGGCTCAGCCTCGGCGCCGCGTCCTCGACGCGCCGCTGCAGCGTGCCCATGCGCCGCGCGAGGAACGCGAGGACGTGCGACTCGCCGAGCCGCTCGTCACGCCGCTCATCGCCACCGGGCTCGTCCTCCTCGTCCTGCCGCGCCGTCCTCGCCCGCACGTACGCGTCCCAGTCCGCCTCGCCGCGCTCGTGCGCCCCGACCCTGCTCGCCCGAAAGGCGCGGTACAGCCCGAGGAAGCGCTCGAGAGCCCGTGCAGGGTCGGCGCCCGCCCGGAGCCGCACCGCGAGCGACTGCATCCACGCCGGCTCGGCGTCTCCCCGGTCGAGCCCGAGCCCGGCGCCGAGCCGCAGCGCCCTCGCCGCCTTGCCGTCCGGTGGCTGCGGCTGCTGGCTCTTCCGCGACAGGCGGAAAGCGCGCTTGGCGGCGGCGTGCGGCTCGAGCGAGAAGAAGGCGCGGTCGAGCTCCTTTGCGCTCGAGACGTCGCCGAGGTGCAGCTGGAGGCGCATCGTTTGCGCGACGAGGTGCACGACCTGGCGCTCGATCCAGGGCGGAAGCTGCGGTGCTGCGCCCTCGAGGTCGTCGTCGGCGCGCGCCTTGCCCTTGCCCTTGCGGTCCGAAGAGGCGGCGGGGGCGGCGGCGGTCGTGGCGGCCGCAGCGGCTCTGGCGCGCGCGTGGCGGAGGAGGGCGTAGATCTGGGCGCACGCTGTGCGGCGCTGGACGAGCTCGTGTTCGAGGTGGGTCGACAGTTGCTGGCGGAGCGGCGGTGGTTTTGCGACCGGGTCGGGGCGAGCGAGAGGTCGCAGGAGGTCGCGGACACGCTGCACGGTCGGCCACACCGAGTCGCGGTACTGCTCGAGGCGCTCCTGGCTCGTCGAGGGCTGTGGGCGGGCCGAGGGTTTTCTGTTGCGGCGGCGGTCGAGGCGAGGAGGAGATGGAGGTCGTGGCCGCGGCGCAGCAGCTGCAGCCGGGCGGGGAGGGTCGGGAGGGCGAGGTACGGGTACTGGAGCCCATCGCTTGACGCGCATCAGGCTGCATCCACGACCGCCCAGCTCTACGAGCGAGAGCCAGCCAGCTCGCCTCCGCCTCGCGCTCCGAGTCCTCGTCGCCAACTCAACCTCGCGCTCTGGCGCTCTGTACATGCAGTCGCTCAAGAAGCACACTGAGAGAGCCTCACGAGAGAGCGCGCTGCGTGCGCCAAGCTCTGCTCTGCTGGTCCGCTTCCTCTCTCGAGCGTTCTCGCTCCGGCTCGAGCACGGCGAGCAGTGTCTGTGTCTAAATGCAGCGCCGATGACCCCAACCAGAGCGTCGAGCTCCCTCGCCGCAGCCGCACGCCGGCGGAACCCGTCCTCCTCCTCGTGGACGAAAGCGCTCAGAGGTTGAAGAGCTTCTTGAGCTCCGCCTGCGTGTCCTCGGGCTTGGTGACGGCGTGGCCGATCGTGCGCGGGTCCTCGTAGATCTCGTAGTCGTTGCCGCCTGCGAGGCACGGGCGGAGAAAGGGTCAGTCTCGAAGGCGAACGAGGCGCAAGGGCAGGAAGGAGAGGAGCGAGGCGACGTACCCTCGAACGTCTTGTCGCCGAAAAAGTGGATCTCGTTGAAGCCCTCGGCCTCGACGTGGCCGAGCGCGAAACGCTTGTCCCAGCCATTCGGGCTGCGGGAGGGGGATACGAGGTTAGGGGCGCGCGCGGGACCAAGGCGACGGCGAGGACGCACAAGACGTCGAACGAGATCTGGCCGCCGATCGAGTAGGTGAGGTTCCAGTCGGGGAACTCGGCCTTGAGCGCCTCGATGAGCTTGGCGCGGACCTTGTGCTCCTTGTCGTACTTCTCGAACTCGTCGCGCTCGTTGACCCTGCAAATGCGAGCGAGTCAGTGCAGGCGCCGAGAGGGAGGGTACAGGAAGAGACGCACGAGGCGTTACGGCCGATGGGCGAGACGCTGCAGGTGAGAGAGCAAAGAGGGTCAGGGCCGTGGAGAAAGAGAATGGGGGGCAGAAGGACGCACTTGACCATGCCGTTCCGGAACTCCATGAAGGTACCGCTGCATCGCCGTCAAAGGGTCAGTCACGGCTCATCGTGAGGACAAGGACCGATGGGACGCACCGCTTGATGGGGATGTCGAGGTCGGCGATGTGGTGGAGGACGAAGCGGACGAGCTGCTTGTACTTGTCCTCGCCGAGGTACTTGATGAAGCTCTGGCTCTCGAGCGGCTTGCCGAGCTTGATGGCCGTCAGGCCGTTCTCGGCGAAGCAGTAGTCAAAGTCGCCGGTGACTGCACAAGAGGGAAGGGAGGAAAAGAGAGTGTGAGCGGGCGGTACACCGAGGGAGGGGGACGACGGGAGACACGTCGAGAGGGGGACGCACTGTCCTGGCCGTGGATCGCGAGCTGCTCGGTGATCTTGGCGAGGTCCGAGCCGCCGACAAAGCCAATGACAGCCTTCTGGCGGACCTGCTTGAGGACCTCGAGCATGGCGGGCGAGGCGGTCTGCGAGCAGGGTGCGACGAGTCAGCTCCTGGCGGGCAGTGCGAGGAAGAGGGATATGGACGCACGCGACGGGCAGGCGAAAGGGTGCCGTCGACATCTGCAAGGTGTCGGGGGAAGTGGGCGAGGAGGAGAAGGTCAGTCAAGGAGCTCGAATCGCGCTCGTGGACCTGCTGCCGCCACTCCATGGCCCTCGAAGAAGCTCAAGATGCACGGCGACCCGCTTGGCGCGTCCTGCGAGCCGTGTAGGCCCGCCCGGAAACCCCTCTCGTCGACGCGTCCAGGCGTGGCCCGCTCCTCGAGCTGCGGCGCCCCTGCTGCGCCCGCTACCAGCCGTGTGGCTAGCTGCGGCACATCTCGCGGCTGCAGAGCGCGCCGTACGCCGGCTGCGCGCTCGGCGGGAGAGCGGACGCGGGCTCGTGCAAGTTGGCGAAGTGGGCGGGTTCCTCCTCGAGTTGGCGACGGGGACTGACCGAAGAGGCAGAGGATCTCGCCCTGGGGGCGGCTGGCAAACTCGGCGGTGGCAGGCATGGTGGGAGAGAGCGACGGTGGTGGGTGTTGGTCGAAGAAGGAGGAGGAGGAGGTCGACCAGCTCGAGCGATGATCGGCTTTCCGCCACGTCGCAGGCTCGACGTGGAGCAGTCGGGCACGGCGAGCGCTGTACAGAGCTCGCACAGACGCGCGCACAGCCTCGCCGAGCCAGCTGGCGAGACGGACTCGAGGAGTGCGCAGCGCTCGTTCCTCGCTCCTTCTCTCGCTCGAACGCAGTCGTGGACAGCTGTACATTGCCGCGAGAGCGCACTCGTCCGTCCCGGGACGCCCATGCACCGTCTCGCCCGACCTCGCTGCCCAGAGGGCGCGCAGAGGGCGGCTACCAGCCCTCGCGAGGCAGCTTCCTCGCCGCCTGCCCGAGCGCGTTGATCGTCCACGCAAACTTGAAGTTGGGGTACGAGATGGCGGCATTCTTGTTGAAGACTGTGTGCGAGATTCGGGCGTCAGGTTCGAGCGCTCGAGAGGCGAGGGAGGAATGAGGGAGAGAGTGAGAACGGACCGCCCTCGATGCTCTCCTGCGCCCACGAGCCGTCGGGCAGCTGGCGCGACATGATGAGCCTGCATCCGGCGCGGATAGGCTCGGGATCCGGGTACTGCGCCGTGAGGAGGGTGATGACGGCTGCGAGGGAGAGAGGTGCGAGCTCGTCAGTGCTTGTCGCACAGGCATCTGATACTCGCGCTCCTCCACCTCGTCGGGAAGAGAGCGCGAGAGGAAGAGCGAGAGGGGACGCACCCCATGCCGTGTTGACGACCTGGCTCTTGGCGTTGTGGACGTACTCCTCGGTCTCGCAGCTCTGCAAGGTCGACGACAGTCAGCTCGGCGAATCTGCCGAGCGCGCACGAGAGAAAGAGAGAGAGAGGTCGGGCGCACCTTGTAGCTCTCGCCCCACCCGCCGTCGTCCATCTGCTTGCCGAGGATGAACGCGCACGCCCGGCGCACGGCCTCGCTGTTGCCGTACGTCTCGCCGGCGAGCGCGAGCGACTCGATGCTGAACATGGTCGCGTAGGTGAAGCACTGCGGCGAGGTCGAGGGCGTCAGTCACCGGGCTGAGAGAGGGAGAGAGAGAGAGGGAGAAGAGGACGTACGATGCCCCAGCTGCCGTACCAGCTCCCGTCGGCGCGCTGCGCCGTCTTGATCCACTCGATGGCGCGCCGGCTCGCCGAGTCGATCTCGGCGCGGCGATAGTCGGGGTACTTGCGCTTGAATACCGAGAGGGACGTGACACCTGCGGCGCCGGGAAGGAAGGGGCATGAGCGAGATCTCGAGGAGGGGGTCCGAGCGAGAGCGAGGGAGGGAGAGAGGAAGGACGGCGGGACGCACAGGCAGTCGTACACTCGACGTACGGGTACTCGATCATGATGTTGGCAAAGACCTCGGCCGGGTTGAGGAGCTCGAGGAGCGGGCTGCCCCGGATGAGCTCGTACGACGCGAAGCCGCCGGCCGGGTTCTGCAGGCTCAGGATCGTGTCGACCGAGGCGCACAGGCGCTCACGCGTAACGAGGGTCGGAAGGTGCCTGCAGGAGAGGGGAAAAGTCAGCTCGGGAAGAAGGACCACGAGAAAGAAGGGGAGGGAACGAGGACGAGGAGGGAAAGGAGGACGCACGACAGCTCTTGGAGGAGCAAAACGCTCTTCATGCCCTCGGCCGTACAGTCGCTGACGGTGTAGCCCTGCTCCTTGGTCGAGAACGGCCACGCGCCCTCGGTGCGGTGCCGGAACGCCTCGCGGTAGTGCTTCGGGTTGGTCTGGATCTGGCACGCGTCGAGCCACTCGAGGAGCGACCGGGTCGAGTCGGCGTTCTCGGGCAACGACGCGAGGCCCGACTCGCACACGGCTTGGGCGATGAACGACGCGTCCCACAGCTGCGAGCCGTTGGTGCCCGTCATCATCATGCCGTCCTTGGACATCCACACTGCGCACACGGTCGCTCGCTCGTCAGGGTCGTGTACGACGAGGAGAGAGAGGAAGGCGGGACGCACTAAAGTCGCGGATCTTGACGAGGTGCTGCTGGAACGCGTCGCTCTCGGGCCCCTCCTGGATCCACCGGCAGCTGCGGGCGCACGAGCAGTCAGTCCCGCCTCGACATGGCCGACGACATCGAGACAGAAAGAGCGAGAGAGACGCACAGCATGTTCATGGCCTTGCTGACGGGCCCTACCGTCTGGAACGCCGTGTTCTCGTCCTCCATGACGACAAGCCGGTACGCCCGGTCGAGCGCCTTGTTGCGGACCCAGCTCGGCGCGACGCGGTCGTACAGGTCAAACACGGCGAAGCACGCGTTGGCGACGCGCGAGTGCGGCGCGTACACGTCGGCCGCCGACACGTTGTTGCGCAGGGAGGGCCAGTTGATCGACGAGTACGGCTGCGTGTAGAGCTCCTGCGGGCCCGCGAGGGGAGCGTCAGGGCGGCTCGCTCGTCGGTATGAGGGCGAAGAAGGACGAAAGGGGAGGGGAGAGCGAGCGCGACGCACCTCCCTCAAGCTGCGGATCAGGTCGTCCTCGTCGGCCTGGAACCCTTTGCCGGCGAGGAAGCCCATCGGGATGTAGACGTTGCGCGTGTGGATCCACCACCGCCACGGGTGGACGGGGAGCCACTCGGGGAGGAGCCACAGCTCGGCCGGGGTCGGGTTGAGGCCGCGCCACGAGTGGACGTTGAGGATGGCGAGCCAGAACTTGCCCCATCTGCGCACGAGAGAGTGGGTCAGGTTGGTCCGCGACGTGGAGTACGAGAGAGTGTAGGACGCACGAAGGAATGCCCTCGCAGCCGCCTGCGGGACGAGGATCGGATTTACGAAGGTCAGCGAGAGGTCGGGGAGGGGAGGGGGCGAGAACGAGAGGAAGGGGAGCGCACCGAGCTTGTGCAGGGTGTTGCGCGCGCGAACCATCATCGGCTCGTCAGGCCCGACGCCGAGTAGGCGCAGGACGACGTAGTTGAGCCCGGTGCCGAACACGGACGAGCGCGCCTCGAAGTGGCTGCGAGGGCATGCGGCGAGTCAGTGCAGGCTCGACCGTTCCGGTCGAGGGTCGAGGACCGCGAGGGGACGCACATGCCCCAGCCTTGGTCGTCGTCGCCGCCCTTGCGCTGCAGGTTGGCGAGGTACCGAGCGATCTCGACGCGCCATTCCTCGGGGACAGGGGTCTTGGTGACGTAGAGCGCGATGATGATGCCGGGGAGGAGGAACATGGGGCCTGTGTGCGTCTCGATGTCAGTCTCGGCGGGTACGAGAGGTGGCGAGAGAGAGGGAGGAGAGCGCACCGCCGTACTCGCCGCTCCAGTGACCGTCGTCCGACTGGAGGCGCTTGTAGAACTCGAAGCCTGCGGGTTCTCTCTCGAGGTTCAGTAGGGACCCAGGGGGAGTAGGAAGAGAGAGCGGGGCGCACCCTTCTTTGCGGCGTCGAGAGGAGAGCGGGCGGGAGCTGGGTCGACGCCCTTGAGTGGGAGGTCGAGTCCGAGCCAGTAGGCGGCCTCGTCGGTCTGGGGCTTGTCGCGCACGGCGTGGTCGTCTGCACCCCACACGGTCTCGTACGGTGCGGCCGTGTGCGAGTCTTGGTCGCGGCGGTAGAGCCAGACGTGACGGCCGCCGTCGGTCGCGGACGAGAGGCGCCAGCGAGCGGGGTCGGTGTGGCCGAGCGGGCCTGGAGGAGGGTAGGCTCTTGGGGTGGCGGCGGTCATGGTGGGCGGTCGCTCGAGTCGGCTGAGCGAGTGTGGGCGGTGTGGAGCGAGGGAAGAGGCGAGCCGAGAGGGGGCGCCATCTGCTGCCTCGTTCGACGTTCGCTCTCACCGTCTCGCCCAACAGGGACTCGGTCTGACACCTTGGACCTACTCGCCAAGCTCTTGCGCCCACCTCGAGCCCGCCCTCGCCCTCCCCCGCCTCGAACTCGCTCTTGTCGGCCCCCCGACCTCCTCATCACCTCGAGCCACAACAAGCTGCCACTCCCTCGCCATGGTCGCCCGCGACGAGCTCCTCCTCGTGTTTGACCTCACCTCGACCCTCCTACGAGCCGGCCTTGGCGTCCTCGACCTCATCCGTGGTCCCCTCATCGTGCGCCCTCCTCTCCCCTCTCCCTCCTCCGCCTCAGAGCTCACCCTCTCTCGCCCACCGCCCGCAGGAGCTCCCGACCCGCGTTGGCCGCATGGCCGGCAAGTCGGGTACCCGCGTCGAGGACTACCTCGTCGGCGCACAGCTCGCAGCCGCAGAAGCCGTCACGGCCGCAGGCGGCGCCCGCGACTTCGACATCATCGACCCCTGTCGCGTCGACGACCGCACCGGCTTCGAGGTCACCGACTGGAACGCGCTCGAGGCCGTCTTGTGAGTCCCTCTCACCGAACCCAGCCCGTCTCTCGTGCGCGCAGACCCTCGGACCCTGACGCACCTCGTTCGACGCAACAGCCGCTACGCCATGCACACGTCCCTCCAGCTCCAGCGTCCACCCCTCGCCCATCCCGTCGTTCTGTCGCTCCCCTCGTCCTGCCCGCCCTCGACCGTCGACGGCCTGCACCGCCTCCTGTTTGAGCGCCTCCTCCTCCCGCAGCTCCTCGTCGGCACCCGCCCCTTCTTCGCTTCGGGCGCAGCCGGCGCCCTGTCGTGCGTCGTCCTCGACCTCGGCTACCGCGGCGAGGGCTCCGAGATCTCGGTCGTGCACGACAACCAGGAGCTGCCCGGGCCCTCGGGCCTGCGCCTCGCCCATCTCGACGAGGGCGTCTGCGACGACTACTGCGCCCTCAAGCTCCTCGAGGCTCACCCGGACATCCCGCACCAGCTCGCCACCGCCGCGGGCCGCCCGAGCGGCGCCGACCTCGCGCCGGGTGAGCTCGCCCACGCCCTGCGCCGCATCGTCGGCGAGCTCAAGGTGCGCGACTTGATCGGGCTCGAGAGCCCGCTCGTCGCCGGCCTCGGTGCGTCGGCGAGCGTCGGTGCGATTGGCGGAGGCGGCGTTGCGGGCGTCGACGGGCTCGAGGGCGAGGACGGCAGCTTCGACGTCGCCAAGGCCATCGTCGAGGGCAAGGTCAACGACATTGTCAAGGGCGGCACCAAGGGCAAGGGCAAGGACAACGGCTCGACCTCGGACGCCGAGGGCGACTTTGTCGTCGTCGCCAACCCGTTCGCGCCCGCTCAAGCCGCCGCCGCCGCACCAGCTCCCGCCGCCGCCAACGGCGAGACGGACCTCACGGCGCCCGTCGCACCGGCCCCAGGGACGACCCTGCGTCTTGGGCCCGCCCGCCACCGATACCTCGAGCCGCTGTTCCGCCCGTCGCTCATCGCGCAGCTCGCGCCGAGCGCGTCCCCGGCGGCGGCCCAGCTCGGCCTCGGCGAGTACGAGCGCTTTGCGCACCGCGCAGACGGCGTCGACGCGAGTGTCGCAGAGGCGATCGGCGTCGCGCTGAGCGCCGTCGAGGACGCAGAGGTGCGCGCAGCCGTCGGAGAGGCGATCGTCGTCATCTCGAGCGGGCGCATCGCGAGCAACCGGGGTGCGTCCTCCTCCTCTCCTTGCCCTCTCGTCATTCTCTCGATCGTCGCACTTACGCTCTCGGACCGACGAAAACAGCGCTCGGCCCGGCCTTGATCCCGCTCCTGTCGCCGTTCCGCTCGGACCTCGCCGCCGGCTACGACGCCGAGGGCCAGCCCCTCACGCGCCCGATGCGCTACCTGCGCGCGCCAGAGTACTTTGCCAACTTCAAGGAGCGGGCGGGAGAGTGGATGGTGTACCTCGGCGCGTGCGTCATGGGCAAGGTGCGTCGGCGCGCTCTCTCTTGTTGCCGGCTCTCTCTCTCTCTCTCGAGAGCGCCTCGACTCACTTGGCGCGTTTGTCGTGCAGCTCCTCATTGGCGACTCGCAGTCCAAGCTGTTCATGGTGCGCCCCGTCTCTCTCGCCCTCACCCTCTCTCTTTGCGCCCTCTGTCTGACCCTCTCTCGTCCACCAGACCAAGCAGGACTACGCCAACTTTGGGCCCTCGTTCTACCGCCAGCTCGACCCGATACAGGCACAGTAGACGTCGTCGCATTGCAAAGAAAACCCTCTCCGTATCCTCGAAACAGAGAGAGAGAAAAGCCCGCTCGCCCTGTTCACTTCTTCTTCTTGCGCCGCGCCGCCGCCTTGGCCGCGCTCGGGTTCCTCGGCACCTGCGGAGCCTGCGGACCCTGCATGACGCCGAGGCTTGCGCCGGCCATCTCGCTCTCGGGCCCGGCCTGCTCGATCTTGTCGCGCAGGCTCAGGGCCGCCATGAGGTCGTTGAGCTGGTCCTTGAGCTCGTCGACCTCGGCGCGCACGCCCTGCGTCTCGGCCGTCTGGGCGGCCATGTCGCTGCGCAGCGCGGCCAGGTTGCGCGACAGCGACGCCGTCACTGCGCGCTCGGCGTCGAGGTCCTTCTCGAGCGCGCGCCGCGCTTTGACCGCCTCGGCGCGCTCCTTGCGCCGCTCGTCGCTCTCGTGCGCCGCGTCGCGCCGCACGCGCTCGAGCTGCGCCTCGACCTCGCCCCGCTCGCGCTGCGCCCGCTCGCGGTCCCGCTCGGCCCGCCGCTCCGCCTCCTTGGCCGCGCCCCGGACCCGCCCGAGCTCGAGCTCGAGCTCGTCACGCTTGGCCTCGCTGACGCGCACGCGGTCCTTCTCGCGCGCGAGCTCCTCCTCGAACCACTCGCGCTGGCTCGCGAGCTGCGAGCTCATGAGGTCGCCGTAGCTGACGGCGAGCGCCTCGAGCTTGTCCTGCTCGACCTCGGCGTCGCGCCCGGGCCCGGCGCCGGCCGCGGCCGAAGCAGAGGCGGCAATCTTGAGGCTCAGGTCCTCGGTGTCGGGCGTGGTTGGGCCGGCAGGACGCGAGGGAACGGGGAGGGAAGGGAGCTCGATGAGGCGGCCGTCGTTGGCGGGCGACGAGTCGGACGGGCGCAGGCGGATGAGGCGGTGAACGTACTCGTCGTCTGCAGGCGACGGAGAGCGTGAGCTGACGTAAGAGAGAGAGACCGTCGGGTCGAGGAAAAGAGAGAGAGGGACGCACCGAGGTACGACCAGATGCGCCCGGTGCTGATCTCGAGCGAGTACCTGCGTCGCCGAGAGAAGCCGTCAGTGGCCTGCGCACCAAGGTAGACGCGCTCAGAGAGAGAGCGAGGGACGCACGAGTGGCCCGTCTCGCCAAAGTGCGAGTGCGCGTGCCCGCCCTGGTAGCGACCGCTGCGCACGACGCACGGACCTCGTCAGTTCACCTCGTCCGAGCGAGAGAGGGAGAGAGGACGAGCGCTCGACGCACCAGCCGACGTTGCCGCAGATGACGCAGATCCACAGGTTGGACGGGCTCTGGCACACGGCGCACTTGGCGTCGCTCGCCTCCGAGGCCGTGTTGCGGCGCTGGCGCGCGTTCGAGTAGCGGCAGACGGGGCATCTGTAGACGAGGGACATGGTGAGTGGCGGAACTACGAGCCACACGTAGTCGCGACAGAGGGCGAGGGGAAGAGAGAGTCGCCGACGCACCTCGAGTCGCGCCACCGCAAGAGGCACGAGCAGTGGAACGAGTGGCCGCACAAGACGCTGACGAGGCCGCCGTTGGCCCTCGCGTCGAGCGTGTCGAGGCAGACGGGGCACGTCGGCAACTCGACGAGCTCTCGGCCCGACACCGGGTCGATGGGCGGGCTCGCGCCGCTCGTCTCGCCCGCGCCCGAGAAGGTCGGGAACGTGAACGGCGGCGTCGACGTCGCCTTGAGCTTGACGCTAGAGATGGACACGACGTGGCAGATCGCGCTGTCCTTCGAGTCGTGGTACGGGCGGCCGTCGTACATGCGGCGGAACTCGTTGGCCTTTGCCGCGTCGTGGAAGCGCACGAGGACGAGCGACCGGTTCGGCGTCGCGTCGCGGAGCATGCGCACTTGCTCGACGTCGTCGAGCGCCGGCGCGATGAACTCGAGGAGGGCGGCCGCGTTGAGGACGCCCGGGACGCTCACGAGGCCGACGGCGCGACCGTCGTCGTCCTCCTTGGCCTTGCGCTTGTCGGCGACGGTGCTCGCCCCGGCGCCGAGCTCGCGGTACAGGTGGATCGTGCCGAAGAAGAGGTCGGTGGTGCCGCTCGTCTCGGAAGGTCGAGACGGGTCGCCGCCAGTACCGCCGCCGCCGCCGGGGAGGTTTGCCGAGGCGAGACGAGGCGAGACGAGGGGCGCCATGCCGCGAGGTGCGGGATGGTAGATCGAGTCGACGTGGAGGGGGCCGAAGCGGAAGTCGAGGACGGCCTTGTGCGAGGCTGCGAGAGGGGTGGTCGTCGTCGTCGAGGAGGAGGAGGGAGGAGGAACGAGGCCCTTGGACGGCGTCCACAGGTCGGCGGTCGCGATGGCGGGAGGGCTCGCGAGGCCGAACGACTCGGACCAGATGCGCGGGGGCGAGAGGGTGTCGGTGGCGGCGGGTGGACTGGGGAGGGCCGTCGAGAGGCCGGCGGCCGAGAGGGTCGACGGGGTGCGGGTGTCGAGCGGGCGGGTGGTCGGGAGGCGCGTCTCCCAGAAGGGCTGTCGGGTCGAGGGAAGGACGAGACGCTTCTGGACAGCGCGCAGTTGCTGGTCGAGGGCGGGAGGGAGCCTGGTCGCGGTGGTCGGGAGGAGTGGGGAGGTGTCGTGCGACGACGAGGCGAGCGATGGGTGCGTGTGGTCGAAGCACTCGATGCTGACGGCGAACCTTGTAGACTCAACGGCGGCCGGCACCGGCATCCATGCGCTGTGGACGCCGAGCGAGGGAGGACCGACGACGACGAGGAGCGATGAGGGCCGCGAACGAGGTCCAAGGCGGTGAGGCGCGCCTTACGGTCGACTGCTGGCGTGCGACTGATCTCGAGGCTGCCTCGCACTGCGACTGGATGTGCAAATGGCGCCGAGAGTGAGCGAGGTCAAGGTGCGAGAGCTGCACCGCCCCAAGACTCTGCGACGAGGCTCGCCTGCTCTGCCGAGCAGTCTGCGTGGCTCTCTCTCTCTCGGTGACAAGACTGGAGCTGCAACGATTAAAGCGATTGGCAAAGAAGCGCCTCGCCCCCGAGTCCCTCGAACCTCCTCCTCCCTCGAGACGAGCCCTGCTCGCTCCTCACCGGCGCATGTACGTGTCTTGCTGCCCGCTGTCGTACATCTGCCCCTGCTGCTGCTGCTGCTGGCCCGGGTGCCCCTGCGGCCCGCCGCCCTGGTGCTGCTGCGGCGCGTGCTGCATGTACAGCTCGGGCGGCGGCTGCGGCAGGCCCATGCCCGGCGGCGGCTGGTTGCTCATGTGCTGCAGGTGCGGCGGCGGCGGCGGCAGGTGCTGGTGCTGCGGCGACAGCATGTGCATGTCCTCCTGCCCGGGCGGCGGCTCGCCGTAGTGCGCGCGCTGCGCCGCGTACGGGTCCTGGACCGACCGCGGCGCCGCCGACTGGTAGTGGCCCGGCGGCGGCGGGAGGTGACGAGGCTGGCGGGGCGACGAGCTCGGCGAGTGATGCGGGTGAGGGTACGGGTCTAGCGGATGAGGAGGGCGGTTCGGGTTCGGCTGCGGGCGGCGAGCGCGAGGTCAGGCTCGTTCTGCAGGAAAGGTAGAGGAGGAAAAGGAGGACGCACGAGCTGGTGCGTGTAGCCGAGTGCTGGCGGGGGAGGGTACGCCTGCGACGGCGCGTACCGCCCGTTCATGCCCGGGTGCTCCATCATGTCCTGGTACTCGCGCGGCGGGTGCATCGGCGACGGCAGCTCGCTCCCCATGCCCGACCGCGGCTGCCCGTAGCCCGGCGACGGCGGGTAGTCGGCGAGCGAGCCCGGCGGCGCCTGGTTGAGCGGGTGGACCCGGTGCGGCGACGGCGGCATCTGCTGCATCTGGTCCATGGCGCCGTGAATCGTCGGCGTCGGCAGCGACGACGAGCCCGACGGCGCAGGCGGGACGATCGGCGCCGGGCGGGCTTTGGTGCGAGGACGCTGTTGGCGGGTGCGGAGCGCGATCTGGCCGCCGTGCTGCTTCGAGTTGGCCTCGAACGGGCGCTTTTGCGCGGCGGGCGGGAGCGGCAACAGCGGGCCGTCGGGCGGCGGCGAGATGTAGTTGCTCGTCGACTCCTCGTCAGGGTCGACGGCCTGCGAGACATAGATGAGGAGGAAGGGTGTGTCAGGAAGGCCGAGAACGACGAGGTGATAAGAAGGGGTTCGGGCGCACCAGGCAACGCTGGATCAGCCTCTGGCCCTCGCTCGGCGAGCCGTCGGGGTTGGCGCCGACGAGAGGCTGGAACTTGGTCGTCGTGAAGGTGTAGACCTGCGGAGGAGAGCGAGTCGGCGAGTTGGCCCTCGAAGGGGACGAGTGAGAGAGTGGGACGCACGATGCCAGTCTCGGACACGACGAGGAGCAGCACCTCGGTGCCCGTGAGCGTCGCGAGCTCGTAGGCCTGCGCACGAGGAGGAGAGAGTCAGCTCGAGGCATCGAGGGGGATGAAAGAGAAAGCGAGGGCGCACCTTCTTCATGATGCCCGCCTTGCGCTTCGAAAACGTGATGTGCCGCTTCTCCTTCTTCTGGATGTACTCGATCTCGATCTTCCTCCTGCCCTTGTCCGGGTCGACGCCCTCGCCCGCCGCCTCACCTGGTCCCTCGGCGCCGCTGCCGCTCCCGCCGCTCGCCGCACCGCCGCCGCCGCCGCCAGCCACGGTCGCCGTACTCGCCGCCGCACCGCGAGCGCGAGCCGTCGTGCGCTGCTTCTTCTTGGGCGCAGCGCCGTCGTCGTCGTCGTCGTCGTCCGAGCCGTCGGCGGTCGGGTCGAACGCGACGATGGCCGGCGCGGCGCCTCGCTGCGGCCGCGTCGACGAGCGCGTGGTCGGCGCGTTGGCCGCCGGCGCAGAGGACGAGTCGGCGGGCGACTCGACCGAGACGGCGGGGAGGAGCGAGGACGAGGAGGTGGACGGGTAGTCGAGCGAGGTGGGAGGAGGGGGCGCGCCGCCCTGCTGCTGAGAGTCGGGGAGGGGCGCGCCGGGCGAGACGGGCGAAGGGTTGGCGTGGGGCTGCTGGGCGAACGCGCCGGGCTGGGCGAGGTAGGGCTGGGACGATGGGCCGGCGTGCGGCGCAGGAGGGGGCGCAGGCGACGCCGAGGCGGGTGCGGGCGACGCGTCCATGGCGGGCGTGCTTTGTCGCTCGTCGCGGGTGGTACTGATCTCGCGCGGGCGCACCTCCCAAAACGAGGAACGGACGGGGTGGAAGGAGAGACGGAGCGACGAGAGCGACGGCTGCCGCTGGTGCCGGGGGCTCGAGAGGGCGGGAAAGAGGAAGGTGCGACCGCGTCGACCGTTGCAAGCACGCCTGCCTCGCTCGGCTCCGAAGGTGCGCGACGTGTCCTGCCGAGCTGGGGAGGTTGCGCGCGGGCTTGGTTGCGGGCGGGGCGGGCGGGGGCCGCGCTCGTCCCGTTTGGGCAGAGGTCGGCGAGCGAGGGAGCGAGGGGAGGAGGCGGGCGAGGCGCGCGGGCGCAGGGCGCGGTCGCGGTGCGTGTGGGAACTGGAGGCTGGTGGCCTTGCCCGACTCGACAGTGCGCGGCCGCTGGCTGGCTCTCGCGGGAGGTCGAGCGAGGGGTGGAGGGCTCGTTCGAGGAAGGTGCGAGCTCGCACTTGCCTCGTTGAGCGAGAGGTTCTCGTCCGGCTCGCTGCGGTCGCCTTGCTTTGCAGCGAGTGCTGGCGACGTTCAGGAAGAGCGTGTGCTGTGCGCTGTCGTTGTGCAAGGAGGAGAGCTCGAGCTCGAACGCCCAGCAGATCTCCGCTTCGCCGAGCGATTGATTGCAAACCGCGCCGCGCGCTCCGCCCTGTCGCAGAGCTCTCACTCGCCTCGTGCGCGACGTGCGAGACTCTCCCTTTCGCTCTCAGAAAGCTCGAAAGCCGTCGTCGAGCGGGTGCGACGAGCTCTCCTCGGCCGCGCTCGAGCCCGCTCGAGCCCGCTCGACGACGAGTGAGAAAGACGACGCGCGAGGTTGCAGGTGATGCGAGAGAAGAGTGTGACATAGACAGGGATAGAGAGAGAGAGAAAGAGAGACGTGGTCGGCGTCCAGGTCGTCACTCGACGAGGGACGACGACCGCTCGACCTGGATCGTCAAGTCGTCGAGCCCGCCAATGGTGCTCCGCAGCGCTCGCCGCACCTTGGCCGTCACCTTGTCGACGTCGGCGTAGTGGAGCGGCGCACGGCCTTGCTGCGCCGAGTAGTCGCCGGGAGCGGGCGCGAGCTGGATGCAGATCGAGCCGACCATCGACGACGGGTCCTTTTGCCAGAACCGAGGCTTGGTGTACGACGCGACGCCCTCGATGCGCTGCACCTGCGAGTCGACGAGAGGAAGGAGTGCGTCAGGGGCGCACTCGAGAGGGAGAGAGAGAGGGGAGAGAAGGGAGCAGGGACGCACCGCCGAGAGCGCCTTGCGGACGTCGGCCTCGGTCTCGTCGCCCATGTCCAGCATGAGCAGCTTGCCCGAGTCGACGACGAGCGGCACGACGCTCGCAAAAATGAGGACCGCAATAAAGATGGACGCGAGCGGGTCGAACCCGGTCCAGCCGTATCGGTTGATGAGGAGCGTCGAGATGATGACGCCCACCGAGCCGAGCGTGTCGGCCATGACGTGCTGCGCAACGAGAGTGAGGTCAGGGCAGTCTCGGAAAGATAAGAGGAGGGAAAGAGAGGACGCACGAGGAACACGCCCTTCATGTTGTGGCTGTGCCCTCCTCCCGCCGCGCCGGGCTCGTCCTCGTCGTCCTCGTGCTCCTCCTCTGCGCCGCAGCCCTGCTCATCGTGTGCATGCGCGTCGCCGTGCGAGTGCGAGTGCGCCGACGCAGGACTCGCGTGCGAGTGCGCGTGCAGCGACGGCGAGCGGGCGTGGGTCGGCGAGGTCGCGGCCGAGGGCGAGGCGGCGTGCGAGTGCGAGCGCTGATGCGCCGAGCGAGTCGGCGTCGAGTGCGAGTGGGCGTGGGCGTGCGAGGCGCCGTTGTGCTGCAGGGTACGGAGCGGTCAGGGAAGAGTGAGGGGAAGGGGAGGAATTGGGGAGGCGGACCGAGTGCCCGTTGTGGCCGTGCGTGTCCTCGTCCTTCTCCTCCTTGTCGGTCAGGAACGGCGTCGACCTGGACCGTACTGGCGTCTGCAGGTGGCGCCAAGAGTCAGTGTGCGCCGCCGAATCGAGGCGAGAGCGTGAAAGAGAGCGCGGACGCACGTGGCTGTGACCGTGGCTGTGCCCTCCTCCTCCTCCTCCGCCGCCGCCGTGCGAGTGCCCGTGATGCCCATGCCCGGTCGCAAACATGCCGACGAGGTTGACGGCGAGCCCGACGGCGCTCACCGTCAGGAGCTGGCCCGTGTTCATCTCGGGCGGGTCGATGAGCCGCTCGACGGCCTCGAAGACGATGAAGACCGAGATGAGGCACAGGAAGATGCCGTTGGCAAAGCCCGAGAGCGTCTCGACGCGAGTGTACCTGCGAGGGAAGGGGGGCACGTAAGTTCGAGTCCCGCTTTTGTGCTCGAGAGGCTGAGGCTCACCCAAAGGTGAAGACGTCGTTCGAGGGCCAGGTCGCCATGACGCTCGCAAAGAGGCCCATGGCGAGGGCGAGGCAGTCGAAGAACATGTGGATCGCTGCAGGGCGAGAACGAGAAGGTGAGCTCGAGGACGCCGAAAGGGAGGAGAAGTGGGGCGTACAGTCCGAGATGAGGCCGAGCGAGTTGGTCCAGATGCCGTACGCCATCTGGACAAACATGTAGGCGAGGTTGAGGCACAGGAAGAAGTAGATGCGGCGCGACTCGGGCGAGGCCAGGATCGACTTGATCGTCGAGCGCAGGTGGCGGTAGAAGGTCGACAGGCGCTGCACGAGGGGCTGGTTTGGCGACGAGGTGCCGGTCGACACGCCACTCGAGGCAGGTACGACGGTGGCGCGAGGGTCGGTCGAGGCGATGTGCGAGATGGCTGCCGGGCCGGAGGGCGGGTTCAGTTTCCGGTGCGAGGGCGCTCGAGGACAGGAAAGGCGAGGGGAGCGCACCGTTCCACGCGATGATGCCGACCGCCGCTTCTCCCAAGCTGATGCCGCGGCCGAACCCGACGTAGCCGATGAACGCGGACGCCGAGGCGGCGATAGGCCACCCGGAAGTGAGGAGCTTGGCCGGCGGGAAGTGCGCGAGGAGCGACCGCACGAGGAGCGGGTCGCCGACGATAAAGGTGGCAGACAGGAGGAGGATGCCGAACGTGTCGAGCGAGAAGGAGGCGTCCGGGGTGGCGAATGAAGAGGGAGAGGAGGAAGTCGCGCCGACGCTCGAGGCGGAGGACGATGAGGCCTGCGCGGCGCCGCAGGGTTAGGGCTCGGTCTCTCAGAGAATGAGGGAGAGCACGACGTACGAGGAACGAGTGCAGAAGGGCGAGCGCTCCCGCAATTGCGGCGGCGAGGGATGCCCCGACGGCGTGCATCCTCGCCTTTTGTCGCTCGTCGCCGTTGTGGGCCGCAAAGATCTCGGCGCGATGCCCGGACGACAGGAGGTGGAACAGGAGGTAGACGTAGCCCGAGCGGCTCGCGTTGGCTGTGTCGGTGGAAGAGTCAGCGCAGGTTGACGAGGGCGAGGAGGGGGTTGGTGCGAGGAGAGGACGCACAGGACAGGGTCGAGTCGGCGAGGTAGGCTATGACGACCATCGCGGCAGTCATTGCAAAGGCATTGCTGCGCTCGACGGCCTTGCGCCCGCCGGCCTTGACGAACGGGAGCCCACGAGCCCACAACGGCGCGAACGACGTGAGGAGGATGAAGCTGCGGATGCGGGACGAGTCAGTGCGGCTCGATAGAGGGAGGCAGACTGCGTCGACGTACCGGAGGATGCTGATGCGAGAGATGGACAGGAAGGCGCAGAGCGTCTCGAGCGCGAAGAAGACAGGGTAGAGCCGACTCGGCGGTTCCTGCGGACGGGGAGAGAGGCGGGTCAGTGACGATGCTCTTGCTGGGCGCGATCGACGCATAGACTCGTGTGTGGTGCTATGTACGACCGGCGCGTCTCGAGTGCTGCCCGTGTGGCCGCAGCGCGCGCCGAACGAGTCGGGAGGAGAGTGTGGGGGAAGGAGCTCACCGTTCTCGCCTTGCTGCCCCTCTGCTGCCCAGCCGACAAGCTCATCGCCAGCAGACCGACTGCTCCAACAGCCTGCACGAGCGCCGCGAGCGTCCAGGGCGACCGGCCTTGCGCGAAGAGCCAGTCCTTTGCGACATGGAGGGCGAGGGCGAGGAGCGACTTGGACAGGAGGACGGCGAACAAGAGGTCGGCGGGTAGGGAGGTGGCGTTGCTGCTGCAATGCAGGTGTCAGGTGGCCCGCTCGTGGGTCCAGAGAGGCGCGCGAGGGACGAGGAGCGCACCCATGTCGGAGCTGCGAGAGGCTCACGCGGCCAGCCCGGCGAGGGTCGTACGCCTCGACATAGCCGCCGTTCATGCCACTGCGGTCGGTGCAAGCAGTCCTCGCCCTAGCCGAGAGCGGTGCGGTGGAGAGAGCCGGCGCGGTTCTCCTCGTCGCGAGCGCGAATCGTTGTCTCGCCGGCAGCCGAGTCTCGCTCCCACAGCGACGCGCCGTGCGGCTCACCAGCGTGCTCCAGTGCTATTGCTACACGTGGACTGTCCCTCCCTTAGGCTGAGCCTGAGGCGGACTCGGCTCCTCTCGCTCGCACGTTCCTGCCGCTCGAGAGCGGGCACAGAGCAAGCTCGCGACAGACGAGAGACGCGCCGAGACTGCGCACACGACAAGCGGTACACATTGCACGCACGGCGACGACAAAGCTGCTCAAGCCGGGCGCGCCCTCCTCGCCCGCTCGGCCCTCTCTCCCGCTCGTCCTCACGCCCTCTCCCTCTTCGTCGCGACCACCCTGAGCACCTCCTCCATCGGCATCGTGAGCGAGTGGCGGTACCTCGGCGTCGGCTCGGCGCACAGCGGCGTCTGCACCATGGGCGTCGTCGCGAGGTAGTCGGGCGCAAAGGCGAGGTCGAATGTGCTGAAGAGGGCGAGGAGGACGGCAACCGACTCGAAGGTGGCGAGCGTCTCTCCTGCGAGCGAGGATGCGCGGTCAGGACGGGCGGTGAGGAAGGAAGTCGAGGAGGAGAGGGCGACGGACCGAGGCAGCTGCAGAGAGGCGGCCGAGGCGAGAGCTGGTCAGGATCCACCCTGACGAGAGAGGGGATACGGAAGAGAGAGCTGGACGCACCGCCTGAACCCGCCGTTGAACGCGTGCAGCCTCGAGTCCATCTTGAACTTGCCCTCGTCGTCGAGCCAGCGCTCGGGCCTGAACTTGCCGGCATCGTCGCCCCAGATGGTCGGGTCGCGCGCCTGCAGGAAGTCGCACCAGGCGACGTGCTGCGCGAGGACGAGACGAGAGATGTGAGCTGGTTCGACGGGCAGGCTCGCTGGACATGTTCGAGGTTGAAGGAGGAAGAGGCATGCGGCGACTCACGTCGCCCTTCTCGATGCGTGGCCCGTTCGCTGCAGGAGAAAAGCGAAGAACCGTGAGCGTGTTCTCGGAGGCAAAAAGGCCCGCTCGGTCGTGCAAAGAGCGCGAACGAGTCGACGAGGAGGGTCGAAAAAGGGGAACGAGGATGCACGGATGAGGTCGTCGCCGAGCGCGGTCCACGAGTTCTGCAGGTGCGCGCATGTCAGTATGCGTGACCGTGGGTCGAGAGGGCGAGAGCGATGCGACGCACGTTAGACACAGCCGGGTGGAGCCGGACCGTCTCCTCAAAGATCGCGCGCGTCCAGTGCATGACCTTGAGCTGGTCGAACAGGAGCTGGGTCGGGTCGTCGAGCGCGGCGGCCTCGGCACGGATGCGGTCGACGAGCTCGGGGTGCGACAGGATGCGGAAGACGGCCCACGAGAGCGCCGAGGCAGTCGTGTCGCGGCCGGCGAGGAGAAGGTTGATGACAGCGTCGCTGCGACGTAGGGCTCGTACACGGTGAGCTCGACGCCCCGCTTTGACGTACGGAGATAGGCGACGACGGGCAAGGGAAGAGGCTTGACGCACCGGAGCTGGGCCTTGGACAGCTTCTCATCGTCGGCGCCGCGCGAGCGCATGTACAGCGCGAGCAGGTCCTCGTTGCCGTCCGTGTCCTCGCGGTGGGTGTCGCACATGTCGGGCTTGGCGAGGCGAGCGTCGATGATGGCGTCGGCAAAGTTGTGGACGACGCGCATGCTCGAGTGCATCTTGGCGGCGGCGCCGTTCAGGCGCTCGGTGATGAACCAGAACGGGCTGCGCAAGGGAAGTGCGTGATAAGGCGAGAATACGTCGACAGAGGACGAAAGGACGAATGGGGTTGACAGGGGAAGGGAGGACGACGATGAAAGTTAGTTTGGGAAGGTCGGAAGAGGAGGCGAGGGGCAGAGGGGAACTAGGCGACGCACTTCTGGAAGCGCTTCTGCGTCTCGACCTGCACGTAGTCGAGAGCGACGCCAAACTCGTTGAGCTCGCCGTCCTTGGCCGCAAGAAGCGCACCCGGGTCGGTCGAGAACGCCATGAACGTAAAGGCGTCGAGCGTGAGAGCGAAGAAGAGCTGCGACAGGGGGACCTCGCCGGTAGCGCTCAGGTGGTCGACGACGTCGAGGAAGTGAGCCGTCGAGCGGTGCGTCGACGTCGAGATGATGCCGCGGTAGGTCGAGTTGGTGAAGAGCTTGGCCGAGACTTTGCGGTGCGTCTGCCACGCAGCGCCATCTGCGGGCGAGTGCAGACATCTGTCAGTGTGTCCTGCCGAGAATCAGGAACGTACGAGGAGCGTGACGCACCCGAGACGAAGATGCCCGAGCCAAAGAGAGCGCCGAGGGTCGAGCGCTGCGCCTCGCCCTTCTCGTAGTTGTCGAAGCGGGTCTGCAGACGTCGACAGCGTAAGCCGATGACCCTCGGTACAACGGAGGCACGAGGGGGGTCGGGAGGGAGAGAGGGGAAAGGCAGGGGACGCACGCGCTGGATGTGGTCGAGGTGCTCGGGGCGCTCGAGGAGGATGAAGCGACCCATGGCAGGCAGCGTGAACGTGATGCTCTTGCTCGCCGCGCCCGACTGCTGACGCTCGATGAACCGCTGAATGACGCCTGTGGCGTGAAGGGGAGGAAGATGGGTCAGTGTGGACGGCGCGAGAGGTCGAGGGCCGGCTCGGCGAGGACTCACCCTCGGGCGCACGGTCGATGTTGCGGAGGCTATCGATGAGGCACCCGAGGAGCGGGAGCTCGACCGGGCTGGACCACAGGTCGGGGCGAGGGCGAGTTCCGACGGCGCGAGGGTGCTTGAAGACGCCCGCGTGTGCGACGAGCCCGAGGGCGAGGATCGAGACGGCGGCGACGAGGACGGCGAGTACGAGTGTCTCGACAGCAGGGAGGAACGAACCCATGGCTGCGCGTCGAAGTCGAGTCGAGCGGGCGGACTGGAGGAGGAGGAGAGCGGCAGACGGGCTCGCGAGCTGCCGCTGTCGCTCGGGTGCGGGTCGCTCGTGGCTCTCGTGACACGAGTCGCTCTCTGCGTGGGTTCTGGGTATCTCCCTCGCTCAACGAGTGCGCGCTGTGCTCGCCACGACGGGAGGGAGGAGAGGCCGGAGCCGACAAGCCGCAAGGGCTCTCGGGGCGTGCGCTCGACAACGGACAGTCTCGCAGCTGCTGTGGGCCGACGTAGAGCTGCAATGCATGTCCCGCGAGAGAGGTAGACGAGGGCGGTTGTGGCCGAGCCTTGAGGACGAAGCGGTCACTAGTCAAGTGCACCTCGCTCCTCCCACACCCACTGTGCTGCTCTGATCCAGCCAGCCAGCTCTCGAGCGTACCTTACTCGAGTAATCCCGCCGAACTCTCGCCGACCAGAGCCAGTGCCGCCTTGTCCCGCTCTCGTCGTCGACCCCATCTCTCCCGACTTCCTTGCTCTCGCTCTCCCTCGACTTCACCCCGCTCAAGATGCGCATTTCGGACAAGATCAAGAAGGCAGAGCGTGAGGGTCGCCCCTGGTGGAGCTTCGAGTTCTTCCCGTGCGTCCCTCCCCTCTCCCCCTCTCGTCGATCTCGCCTTCGCCGCCCGCTAATCTCCCTCTCGCCGCTGTCGCTCGCAGGCCCAAGACGTCCGAGGGCTGGGTCAACCTGTACGACCGCATCGAGCGCATGCAGCAGCTCGGTCCCATCTTTGTCGACATCACGTTCGTCCGCCTCTTCCTCCCCGACCCTGCCCACCCAACGTTCGTGTCGAGCTGACTCTCCTTTCGCGCAACAGCTGGGGTGCAGGCGGCTCGACGTCGGACGCGACGACGGGCTTCGTCAAGACGGCGCACTCGGAACTCGGCCTCGAGACGTGCATGCACCTGACCTGCACCAACATGCCGACCGAGATGGTCGACCAGGCGCTCAAGGTGCGCTCCCTTCTCTCTCCCTTGGCGAAGCTTTTCCCACCCACGTTCCTGACCACGTTCGTCGCCCTGCAGGAGGCGTACGACTCGGGCTGCCGCAACATCCTCGCGCTGCGCGGCGACCCGCCTCGCGGCGTCGAGGAGTGGAAGCCCGTCGAGGGCGGCTTCAACCACGCCATCGACCTCGTGCGCCACATTCGCAAGAAGTACGGCGACTACTTCGACATCGGCGTGCGTCCCCCTCTCTCCCGGCGCGGCGTGACTAGAACGATCCGGGAACTGACCCGCTCCCTCTCGACGACTTGCAGGTCGCCGGCTTCCCCGAGGGCCACCCGCAGAGCGAGAGCCCCGAGGCCGAGATCCGCCACTTCAAGGCCAAGGTCGACGCGGGCGCCAACGTCGTCTTTACGCAGATGTTCTACGACGCCGACGTTTTTATCGACTGGGGCCGCCGCCTGCGCGCCGCCGGCATCACGATCCCGATCGTGCCCGGCATCATGCCGATCCAGACGTACGCCGCCTTCAAGCGCCGCACCGACTTCGCCGGCACGATCGTGCCCAAGGAGCTGTGGGACATGCTCGAGCCAATCAAGGACGACGACGCCAAGGTGCGCGAGTTCGGCACGCGGTACGTCGCCGACATGTGCCGCAAGATCCTCAACGCCGACCTCGGCATCCACGGCATGCACTTCTACACGATGAACCTGTCGCGCGGCACCGAGATGCTCCTCGAGGAGCTCCAGTTCGTCGCCATGGCCGACCGCGTCAAGCCCTTGCCGTGGCGCGTTTCGCTCACGCAGAAGCGCCGCACCGAGACGACGCGCCCCATCTTCTGGTCCAACCGCCAGCGGTCGTACTTGACGCGCACCCGCGAGTGGGACGAGTTCCCCAACGGCCGGTGGGGCGACGCCTCGTCGCCCGCGTTCGGCGACGTCGACGCGCTCCAGCTCGCGCTCCCGCACAAGCCGCAGGACGCCGTCAAGATCTGGGGTACGCCGCGCTCGCTCGGCGACATCTCGGCCCTGTTTGCCCGGTTCTGCCGAGGCGACCTCAAGGCCCTCCCGTGGAGCGACCAGCCGGCCGCCAAGGAGACGAGCTACATTGCCGAGCAGCTCGCCAAGATCAACGAGCTCGGGTTCCTCACTGTGCGTCCCACTGTTCCCCTTTTCGCGCTCTCGTCGTCGCCGCCCTCGGACTCACCCTTTCCTCCTTCCCTCAGATCAACTCGCAGCCTCGAGTCGACGGCGTCTCGTCGGACGACCCTGCGCTCGGGTGGGGCCCGATGAACGGCTACTGCTACCAGAAGGTGCGTCTCTCTCTCTCTCGCACGGTCGTCGTCGTCTCGCGCACGAGCCCGTCGACTAAACTCTCGGACTCGCTCGCGCGCAGGCCTACCTCGAGTTCTTTTGCCCGCCCCAGCACGTCGAGGCGCTCCTCGCCATCCTCGACAAGGCGCCCTCGATCACGTACCACGCCGTCAACAAGCAGGGCGAGTTCCATTCCAACACGGCCCCGGGCCCCAACGCCGTCACCTGGGGCGTCTTCCCTGGCGCCGAGGTGATCCAGCCGACCGTCGTCGACTCGACGGCGTTCCAGGCGTGGAAGGATGAGGCGTACGAGCTCGGCGCTCAGTGGGCCCTCCTGTACCGCGAGAGTGAGCCCGAGACGCACAAGCTCATCCAGGGCATCTTTGACGAGTTCCACCTTGGTGCGCTCGCCTCTCTCTCTCTCTCTCTCTCTTCCCCTGTGTCGTCACTCACGGTCGAGCCTCGCCCTCGCAGTCAACATCGTCTTCAACGACTACCGCAACACAGACGACGACGCCGTCTTCAAGCCCTTCTACGAGCTCGCGCAGCAGAACGGCGTCCACCTTAACGGCTCGTCGACCGCCGCCACGACCGACTAGACATCTTCGTCGTCGTCTCGACCTCAACTGTCCATACCTCGCCTCGCCCTTTTCGCCGCATCGTCAACCGAGACGTCGTCCTCCTCCCTCTTTCGCCTCTCTCTCTCGCCTCGCAGTATCGTCTCTCGATCTTTTAGTCCATCTTCGTGTTGCCTTCAACAGGGCTTTCCCTCTCGTCGTCGTTCGTCTCGCCCTCAGTTCAACCACCCCCCCTTTCCCCTGTATCGACTTCTCAACAACCTCGGTCCCGCATCAACTGCATCTTCTCCCTCGCACCCTCCTATTCCTCCTGCGGCTCCCTCCCCTCTCTAGACTACCCCCTACCTCACTCTGCGGCCTCGTGTCCAACCACGGCCCTCTTGTTACCCTCCCCTCTCGCGACGAGATGACGCGCTCGCACCCCTTCTCTCTGGAATGCCAGCTCGCTCGCTCTCAGGACCTGTTGCGAGAGTGAGAGAGGCAGATCCTGCAGTGCAAGCAACGCGACGCACAGCACAGACAACAACACGGCGGACCCGCGAGCCTCCTTCTCCTCCTCGCCCTTTCGACTATGGACAGTTCCCTTCCCTCCTGCTCCTCGATCCCTCGCTCACCGCGCCACGCCGATGACCCTGACAGCGCCCTTGGAGTTGACGGGCCCGATCCCGCCGGCGACGAGCGGGCCGTCGTCCCACTTCCAGCGCCACCCGGTGCGGTCGAGGTGCTTGGTGACGGCGGGCGCGAGGATGGGCGTCCCGCCGCGCGAGTGGCGCCCGACGCCCGTGATGATGCGCAGAGGCTCGGGATGGGTCGCTGTGTTGAACGAGAGGGAGCGAGGGAGGAAAGGGGAGAGAGAGAGGGAAAGAGAGGGTCAGTGCGGCGCGACGAGGGGACCGAGAGAGAGAGAGAGAGAGAGCCACGCACAGTCTCGAGCGTTGGACCACCACGTGTTGGTCACCTCGTCGACAATCTTGAGCGCGTGCGCGAGGCTGAGGCCGTGCAGGTCGACGACGTTGGCGCCCGTCTTGGTCCTGCAGACGCGCGAACGAGCGTCAGTCTCCAACCACGTCTTGAACTCGCGCTCCCCGACGCTCGACGGCGGCGAGGACAGCACGAGAGAGAGAGACAAGAGAAGGAGGAAACGGACAGGACGCACCTCCTCTCGCCGACCGCGGCCCTCGCGGCGCGCTCCTCCCACTTGCGCCTCTCGCCGTCAAACTCGCGGCCCCTGTCGGCCCAGAAGCCCGCCGCGCCCCTCTCGCCCATGCCGCCGCGCTGAAAGCTCCTCGCCGCCGTGCGAAACGCGTCGTTGCGCTTGGCGAGGTACTCGAGCGCGAGCGCGTGGCACTGCTCGTGCGTGTACCGGTCGTCGGACCCTGCGGCGGCGGCCGCCACGGCGTGCGGTGCGCGCATGGACGGCGTGCGGGTCGGGGTCGACACGACGGTGAAGCCGTCGGGCGTCGTCGTCGTCGTCGTCGCAGCGAGGGCCGACCCGGCGCCCGGCCGCACGATGAGGGCCGACAGGGGCAAAGGGGCGCCGACGGCTTTTTCGAGGTCGGCGATGAAGCTCAGGAGGTCGAGGGCGTCGCTCAGGTCGCCCTCGGTCGCGCTCAGGAGCGCCTCGAGGTGGTCGTCGCTCGCCTTTGCGGCGGGCACGATCAGGCGCAGCTCGTTCTTGCGCGCGACGCCGCCGGCGAGCGACTCGAACGGGCGCTCGCGCGCGAGTTGGACGAGGAGGACGGCGACGGTGCGCGCGAGGCTCGAGCCGTGCGCGTGGTAGGTCGACGTGATGCGCGCGACCGAGAGGTGCATGGCGGCCGCGAGGAACGACGCCTGGCTCGAGATGCTCGCCCACGCGTTGGTGCTCAGGGGCGCGTCGGCGAGGGCCGAGAGCGAGCCTTGCGGACGGTGCGTCGCCGCCTTGGCGTACGACACGTGGGGCGTCGTCGTGAGCGACAGCGACTGGGCCGCCTTGGTCGCCACCTTGTGGCGGCGGCGCTGCTGGCGGTCCATGGCGGCGATGCCGTCCGGGTCGGGCGCTGGCGCGTTCTCGGCCGCGGCGGCGTCGGCGTCGGCCTCGGCGAGCGACGTGATGAGGTCCTGCGACAGGAGGTCCTCGATGAGGCGCTCGAGGTCGGCCGGTTGGGCGGCGAGGCCGTCCTCGGTCGGCTCGAGCGACTTGACCTCGGCAATCTTGGCCTCGAGCTGGGCGAGGTCGATGTGCGGGAAGACGCTCGCGAGGAACGCGAGCGGGTCGTCCGACACCTCGTAGTCGAACCCGCCGTCGGGGGCGTCCCACACGAGGCGCGGTGCGGCGGCGCCGTCCTCGTCGCTCGTCAAGCTCGCCGGGGCGTGGTGGTCGTCCCAGAAGCGCGGGGCGTCGGCGCTCGATGGGCGAGGGTCGGCGCTCGAGCTGTCGTCATCCAGGCTCGAGTGCTCGAGGGCGCTGCTGAGGTCGCTCGCGGTGGCGCTCGCCGGTGCGCGAGGTCGAGGTTGAGCGGTGCGCGAGTCGACGGGCGAGGCGTTGGACGACGAGCGGGTGCGGTCGAGGCGGAGCGAGTGGTTGGCCTGGTTGATGATGGCGAGGAGCTCTGCGCGCTCGTCAACAGGAGGGCGAGGGTCGGCTGTGTCGCTGTCGCGGCTGTCGGGACGGCGAGGAGGGTCGCGGCCGGAGTCGAGGGCGAGTTCCGAGTCGTGGTCGACGAGGTCGGCCTGATCGGCGAGCGACTGGAGGGTGGAGCGAGCCTGGAGCTCGTCGTCGTGCGAGAGCGGGTCGGCGTAGTCGGAGAGGATGGCGTGCACGAGTGCCGAGTCGAGTGGAGGCGAGAAGGCGGCCTGCAGGGAGGAGGAGACGATGTCATTAGTTGAGGGAGATGAGGAGGAGGAGGTTGGAGAGGGGGCTCACGACGAGGCGGTCGGTCGGGGATGGCTCGGCCATGGTGTGTCAAGCTGTGGGTAGCTGGTGGTGGTACTCTCTGCCCAGTCGAGCGAGGGCGAGGTGCGAGAGCGGGAGCAAGGCGCGCGCTCGTCCTCGTCTCGGCTGTAGACTCCTCTCGCTCGCGCACCCACGAGTTCCCTGTCCACCGAGCACCACCAGAGACCACTCTCCCACCATGTGCCGCCCAACCCAATGCGCAGTGAGTCCCTCCCCCTCTCACCTCGCTCCCCTCCCTCTCGCGTGATCCCTCAGCGGCGAGCCGACTATCTCGCACCCTCCACGCACCTCGAGCTGACCCCTGCTTGGGCCCACCAGAACGACGACTGCGGCAAGACGACCTGGTGCGCCCGACCTGTCCACCGCCCCCGTTCCCACCTCGTCCCGCCTCCTCCAAGCTGACATCTCGCCTCCTCCTCTTTCTCGCAGGATCGGCTGCGGCCTGCACATCCCCTACGCCCTGCGCGACGTCGCCCCTGAAGACGTGTGTACCTGCGACAACCACAACCCGACGCCCCTGCCGCCTCGAGTCGGCCCGCCGCCAAACTACTCGGGTTGGGAGACGGCGGCGCGCGCCCAAGAGTGGTAGCGCCTCTCGCGGTCGAGACGGACCATGTTGTTGTAAAGCAGTTGCCCCATCAATCAGCTGCGGCAGTAGAGAGAGAGAGAGGGCCGACGACGGAGGCGGAGGCCGAGGTGGGCAGCAGCGCCGGCAATGTCAACCCATCGCCTCTCTCTCCCTCTCCTCCTCCCCCTGCACCGCTCAGCAGCAACTATGTGCCTCCCCACTACCTGCGCTGTGCGTCCATCTCTCCCTCCTCGCTGCCCCCGACCTCCTCCTCCTCCTCCACTTCCCCTCGCCGCCGCCGCCCCACGCGCCGCCCTCTATTGCCGACCGCGCCCCTCTCCCCCTGGGGGCACGCCTGCTGACACGCCCTCGCTCCTACAGAACTCGTCCTGCGCCAAGATGACCTGGTGCGCCCCTCGCGCTCTGTCTCTCCCCCCCTCCCTCCCCTGAGTCCCCTCTCCTCGAGGGCGCCGATCCTCCCCTCTCTCGCCGCAAGCTGACCCTCTTTCGCGCACCCCCGTTCCCACCAGGTGGGGCTGCGGACAGCACATCCCGACCGTGCGCGCCCAGTGCCCCTCGGACGACCAGTGGTGCGCCTGCGAGCCCCACAACCCGGTCGAGCCCGCCAACGTGCCCGCGGGCAAGAGCTGTGTGCGCTTGAGCGAGGAGGAGAGGCGGCAGAGGGAGGGCAGGGCGTAGAGGTGCGCGCGCGGGCGAGAATGAGAACGAGGGGGATGTTGTGCTCTCTCCTCTTTCCGAGAGACCGAGAGAGAGAGAGACGGAACCGCTCTCGACTGGGACGCCGCCACAAGAGACAGACCCTGGTATACACTGCGCGCCTCGCTCGCCCGCCTCTACAGCTCGCCCTCCCCCCGCTACTCGAGCCGCTCGAGAAACTCGAGTCGGTCGAGGATGACCTGCTTGCTCGTCTCCTCGACCTCGCCCGCGAGGAAGCACTCGTCGAGGATCGCGTACACCTTGTAAAAGTTGAACACGAGGTCGAGCTCGCACACGTTGCCGAAAAACGCGTCTGTGGGCGAGGGCGGACAGCGGGCGCGAGGGTGGGCGAGGGGCGGGCGAGGAGGGCGAGACGAGGGGAGGAGGGGCAGGCAGAAGAGAGCGTGTCAATGACCAGATCAGAGCGTTCCAGCTGCGCGAGGTGGCCCGTACAAGACGAGCCAACTCGCGCAGCACGCGCTCGAGAAAAGAGGCACCGACCGACTCACCGAGGACCTCGACAAAGAGGTGGATCGCCTCGAGCCACACGAGCTCGTTGTCGTTGGCGTCGACGCAGAAGCTGAAGAAGAGGCCGGCGTAGCGGCGGTACACGAGCTTGTGGTTGCGGAACTGCGCCACGACGGGCGGACGAGGGGGAGGGGAGGGCAAACGCGGCGTCAGTTCGGGGCGATGCACGAGAGGGCCAGCTCCACCGCTCCCAGCACGAAAGCTGAGAGCGACAGGGCCTCGCCGAGACCGAGAGAACCCCGAGGGGAGCGCACCTCGACAAAGTTGCTCTGGTACTTCTGGTCCCTCGGCGCTATCGAGCGGTGCACCTCGCCGCGTATCCGCGCCTTCTCGTCCTCCTCGTACGGCACGTAGAACTTGCTCAGGCGCGTCTTGCCTTGGCGGTTCTGTCGACGGGACCGCGGGCAAAGAGTCAGCGACGTGCGAGGAGGGGGCCCGAGGTGGGGGAGGAGAAGCAAGGGGGGAGAGAGAGGAGGGGACGCACCTGGACGAGGATGAAGCGGATCATGAGGGCGCGCTGTGGTCGCTCAGCAGGCTGCTGCGACGCTCTGGCAGTCGGGTAGGGCGAGAGGGGCGGTGCGGGCGCAAGCCGAGGAGGGAGGTCGCTTAGAGTGTGAGGTGGAGCTGCCTGCAGACGACTGAGGGGGTCAGTTCTGCGGCTCTCCTGTGTCACGAGACTCCAGTTGGCCCAATGAGAGGTTAGACGCACCCGTAGAGCGTGTTGTCGGTGAGGTGGGTCTGGGGGATGACGAGGAGCTGATGAAGACCTTGGGGCTCGCTCTGGCGCGCTTGGCGTGGTAGCGACTGCTTGAGGGTCGTTAAGGCGGTATTGCGCGGCGACTGAGCAGTCACAGAAGCAGCCCTGGCGGGAGGGGCGGTGTGAGGAGGAGGAGGAGCGTTGTCGTCGTCCTCTCGCTCGAGGTCGACTTCGTTTGTCCTCACCCGGCTCCAAGCGAATGCTCGTGCGCTCGTTCAGCAAAGCGCGCACTCCTGCACACCTCAGCCGCACCGCCCTCGCACCCACCCGCACCACTTCGCCTCCTCGTCCCCTCGGCACTTCCCCGCTCGCCCATCCACACTCGCCCCGGCAGTCCCTGTTGCCCAGCCAGCAAACCCGTACCTTCACCTTCTCGCACCGTCGCACCCAGCCCTTCGCCATGGCCGCCGCCGACCCGTCCAACTACCCTCAGCCGCCCGTCCGGCCGCCATCGTGGTCGTCCTACACCCCCGAGCTCGTCACGTCGTCGGTCGACAAGGTCCTCGACGAGTCGACCGCGTTCCTCGACAAGCTCGTCGCCATCCCGTCGGCCGACCGCACGTTCGAGTCGGTCGTGCGGCCCCTCGCCCTCCAGTCGGCCGAGGCGGACCGCAAGATCGAGCCCGCCCTGTTCCTCCAGTACGTGCACGCCGACCAGGCCATGCGCGACGCGTCGGTCGAGGCCGACAAAAAGGTCAACGACTGGTCGCTCGACGCCCTCACGCGCCGCGACGTCTTCGAGGCGCTCCTCGACGTCGAGAAGCACACGCGCGACCACGGCGTCGCCCTCAACGACGAGGAGAAGCGCCTCCTCGACCGGCTCGTCCTCGAGCGCAAGCGCAACGGCCTCGGCCTCGACGACGACAAGCGCACCAAGTTCCTCGAGCTCAAGAAGCGCATCACGTCGCTCGAGATCGAGTTCCAGAAGAACTGCAACGAGGAGAAGGGCTTCATGCTCTTCACCAAGGAGGTGCGTCCGCCTCTCTCTTTCCCTCGTCGTGCTCGAGAGTCTGCGTCTGCGGGCCCGTCGGGAGCGTTACTCGAGGTCCGAGCCCCGACTAATTCGACCTCTTCTTCGTGCGCAGGAGCTCGACGGTCTGCCCGAGGAGGTGCTCGAGGGCTACGAGCAGGTCGACGAGGACGGCGTCAAGAAGTACAAGGTGCGTCCGGCCACGATCTCCCACCTTCTCGCTCGACCTGCCGGTGACTGACGCTCCCTCCCTCTCGGCCCACGCAGGTCACGCACAAGACGCCCGACATCATCCCGATCTTCAAGTCGGCGCACGTTCCCGCGACCCGCAAGCGCGCCAACCTGAGCTACGAGGGCAAGACGCTCCAGAACGCGCCCATCATGCGCGAGCTCGTGTCGCTGCGGCACGAGGCGGCCCAGCTCCTCGGGTACGCCAACCACGCCGAGTGGGTCCTCGAGGTCAAGATGGCCAAGAACCCGCGCGAGGTCGGCGCGTTCCTGCGCGACCTCGAGGACAAGCTGCGGCCGCTCGGGCTCGAGGAGCGCAAGAAGCTGCTCGAGCTCAAGCGCGAGGAGCACGACAAGCGCGGGCTCGCCCAAGACGACAACTTCTACCTGTACGACTACCGCTACTATGACCGGCTCTATGTTGAGAAGACGCTCGACCTCGGTGCGTCCGCGTCTTTCTCGTCTCGCCCACTCGGTCCGCGGCGTACTGACCTGTCCTCCCCTTGCGCGCAGACGACGACGTTCTCAAGCAGTACTTCCCGGTCACGCACGTCGTCACCGAGGTCCTGAACGCGTACAAGGAGCTGCTCGGCGTCGAGCTCGTTCCCGTCCCGCGCACCGAGGAGGCCGGCGGCGAGACGTGGCACCCTGGTGCGTCCCCTCCCTTCCCTTTCCTCACGTCATACCGATGAGCGCGAGACTGACTGCGCTCGCGTTCGGCCTTGCACGCAGACGCCGACATGTACGCCGTCTGGGAGGCGGGCCGCGCCGGCGACAAGGACTCGTTCCTCGGCTACATGCACCTCGACCTGTTCCCGAGGCCGCAAAAGTTCTCGCACGCGGCGGTTTTCCCCCTTTTTCCCGGCTGGACGGACCCAGCTAAGGGTCGGCAGTACCCGGTCGTCTCGTGCGTCCTCGAGTCGGCTCGACCCTCGCTTTCTCCTCCTCTCCTCGCCCCTCTCTCGCTCGGCTTGCTGTCCATGCACACTACTGACAAGGCTTCGTGCTCGCAGCATGGTCGCCAACCTGTCGAAGCCGAGCGGTGGCAAGGAACCCACGATGAAGCGTGCGTCGCTTCCCCTCCTCCTCCTCCTCCTTCTCCCTCGTCCCGCCGCGCCGCCCTGACACCTCCTCCCCCTCGCACAGACAACGACGTCGTCACCTTCTTCCACGAGGTACGCTGTCGCCGTCTCGCTAGAAGAAAGAGTCTTTGCGCACGAGCCTCTAGACTAGAATCGAGCCCTGACCTTTTCCTTGCCTCCCTCGACGCGCAGATGGGCCACGCCTACCACGGCCTGCTCTCCAAGACCCAGTTCGCTCGGTTCCACGGCACGGCCGTCGCGCGCGACTTTGTCGAGGCGCCGTCGCAGATGCTCGAGAACTGGACCTGGACGCCGTCGGTCCTCAAGCGCATCTCGTCGCACGCGACGCGCAAGGGCGAGGTCCTGCCCGACGCCCTCATCGACAAGCTCATCCAGTCGCGCAACGTCAACCAGGGCCTGTTCAACCTGCGCCAGCTCTTCTTCGCCAAGTACGACATGGCGCTCCATGAGGACAAGCACGCGCTCACGACCGACGAGATGAGCAAGCTGTGGTGCGACTTGCGGGAGGAGACGAGCCTCGTCACGATTGGCGACGAGGTCGTTGGCGGCCAGTCCGGCTTTGCTCACATCGCCGGTCCGTCCTCTTTCCCCTTTCCCCTCGAGGCTCGAGAGCTCCGACACTGACTCGCCGTCGTCCTCCCTCCTTCAGGCGGCTACTCTGCAGGGTCCGTCCTCCTCCTCTTCCCCTCTCTCGTGCGATGCACTCTCTTGTGCGACGCGAGGGAGCGCGTTCGGCGGCAGAGCGACGCCTCGACGACTGACCTCTCTTCCTTTTCCCCCTCGCCAACGCAGGTACTACGGCTACCTGTACTCTCAGGTCTTCAGCGCCGACATGTACGACGCCGTCTTCGCCAAGGACCCGATGAGCGCCGAGGCGGGACAGCGCTATCGCAAGGAGATCCTCGAGGTCGGCGGGTCAAGGTGCGTCGACGGTTCCTCCCTCTCCTCTCTTCCTCAAGGCGTCCAGCCGAACTCGAGACCGGTCACTTACGCTCACTCTCGCGCGCACAGGGACGAGATGGACTCGCTCGTCGCGTTCCTCGGGCGCAAGCCGACGAATGAGGCGTTCCTCAAGCACCTTCTCAGCGGGCAGTGACCGCTCTCCTCGCCTTTCCCGAGTCTGCAAGCAGTCGCAATGCATCTATGCCGTGTCTGCCGCTGTCGAGAGGCGCCTGCTTCACGTACGCACTCAGAGAAGAGCTCGTTTGGCCGCCGCGAGCGGGATGCGCGTGCGAAAGCGGCTCGCTCTGCCTCTGCCCTGGCTCTGGCGACTGAGCTGAGCCGCACAGTTCATTGCTGAGCTGCTGCGATGCTAGGCCGGCTGCACCGCACGGCACTGGGGCGGTGCCGCCTACCCGTCAGCCTCATCGCTTCGAGGCGACCTCCCCTTCTGTTCTCGACCTCACCACCTCGTGCGCTGTCGACGCGCCCTGTACCGGCCAAGATGTCGAACGCGGGCCACCCCGAGGCCCGAGCAGCGCTCGCCGCAGCCCTCCCGAGCCTCGCCGCCGGCCTTCCGCCAGCCCCCGTCGTCGCCGACCCGACCTACCTCACGCACAGCAGCGCGCACGGGGCGACACACTGGAAGTTCGAGGCGCCTGTCGAGCATCCCGTGCAGGACTACGAGCGGCTCGAGGTGCGCCCTCTTTCTCCCACCTCGCCCTCGTCCTGCCCACGCCCCACCGACTTGTTCGCTGACCCGTTCTCTCGTCCCACAGCACGTCGGCGATGCGCTCCTCGGCGCAGAGGTCACGCTCATGGTCCACGAGGCGTACCCTCAGCTCGTCGTCGGCGTCCGCTCTGTGCGTCCCGCCTCCGCCTCCTCGCCCTCCTCGAACCCTCCGCTCGAAACTCGGCCGCCGCACCAGGCCTCACTCTACGCCCACCTTACTGACTCGGTACCTCTCCTTCGCAGCTGGTCAAGTCGAGCCTCGTCGAGAACGAGCTCCTCGCCCTCCTGTCGTCCGCCTACGGCCTCCCCGACCAGATCCGCACCGCGTGGGCCCAGTCGTTCTCGCTCCGCGCCAACCCGTCGGTCCGTGCGTGCGTCTTCGAGGCCTACCTCGCCGCCGTCTACGAGGAGCACGGGCACGCCGTTATGAGCGCGTTCGTGCGCGAGGTCTTCAAGCCCCTGCTCCCTGTCGCTGTCGAGGCCATGCGCGAGGTCTACGTGCCGCCCTCGGCGCCGGTCGCCGTCCCCTACGGCGGCCTTGTGCGCAACCCGGTCAGCGCGCTGTACGAGTGGACGCAGCGCGGCGCCCGTCGCTCGCTGAGCTGGGGCGCGCCCGAGGGCATTGGCCCGCCGCACTGCCGCACCTGGTCGATCCAGCTCTGCGTCAAGGACGGCGGCGAGTCTGTTTACCACGAGGGCGTCGCCGACACGGTCAAGGCCGCCAAGCATCTGTGCGTCGCGCGGTCCTCCTCCTCGAGTGCGTCGGGCGGAAACTGATGAGCCTCTCCACGACGCAGGGCAGCGATGCTCGCATGCGCCGAGATGGACATTCTCTTCTAGTTCTCCTACAGGTGCGTCTCCTCTCTCAACGACTGCTCGAGAGCTCGGAGGAGGCGACCTGACCCTCCCTCTTTCCCTCCCTTCCTTCTCCTCGATCCAGCCGATACCCGCCGTGCCTTTCATACCCCGCCTCGCCGACCAGTTTCCTGCAGTGTATCTTCCTCTCTTCCTCAGTCTTGCGCGTCAGCTTGCCGCTGTCTCGATCGCCTCGAGCTCTCGAGCGCTCGCGCCTCCTCAGGCCGCGGACTTTCCGCTCGCCTCCGGTCCGTCGGCGAGCGGCCTCGGCCAGCTCGACGGCTCGTCGCTCTTCTCCCTCTTGCGCTTCACTTCTCTCGCGACCTCGACGGGCATGGCGGTCGGGACATACGTGCACCGGCAGGAGGCGGCGAGGGTGCAGGAGAAGGCCGACGACCACCTCGCGAGCTGGATGACTGTGCGCCCCTCCTTCCCCTCCTCCTTCTCTCTACAGCGGACATGACACCCTCTCGCACAGAACGCAGAGCTTTTCGAGTGCCTCGCCATCATCACGGCGCTCTTCTTCCCGCCCTTGAGCGTCTTCCTCGAGCGAGGCTGCGGCGGCAGCTTCCTCCTCAACGTCCTCTTGACCTTCCTCGGCTTCGTGCCCGGTCTCGTGCATGCCCTCTACGTCCTCTGGAAGGTGCGTTCCTCGCTTCCGTCTTTCTCCTTCTCGACGAGCCCTAATCCGCGCCGTCGCAGGACGAGTCTGCCTACACGTCGCTCCCCTCCTCCTACGCCCGCTCGACCCTCGCCAACGCCAACAAGGAGCTCACAATCGGCGAGATCCTGCGCGCTGCGAGCGACGAGGAGGCCGAGGAGCGCCGCAAGAAGCGCGGTGGCGACGTCGACGAGGGGAGCGGGTTCGGGCGAGGGCGGCCGCCGTCGTACCGCTCGACGGCCCGATCGTCGCCGAGCGACAACGATGACCCGTACGAGGAGCGGTATGGGCGGCAGGCGCAGATGAGCGAGAAGAGGCGAGGGAAGCTGCCGTCGAGGGGAGACTTGAACGTCTGAGGCCTGCCTCATGGGCCGTCGGCCTGCAACGTGCTCTCGTTCGCGCTGCACTCGTCGAGAGAGAGACCCTGAACAGCTTGTCGCGAGTCTCGCTCGCTCAACGTATCTCGGTGCCCGGTCGCCGACAGCGAAAGCGACTCCCAGCCGGCTCGGCTCTTGCTCTATCGTCTCGCCCGCGCCCTCTCGTTCTGGCTCAGCAGCCACGGGAAAGCTACCGACAGCCTGTTCAGCACCGCTCGAGCTCCCGACCGCCGGCACCATGTCGTCCGAGCCCGCCTCGGCTCCGCCCTCCCTCGCTCCGCCATTCGACCGAGCAGGCGCAGAGGCCAAGGTCAAGAAGGCACAGGACCTGTGGAACAGTGTGCGTCCCGCTCTCGCTCTCTCGCGCAGCCTCTCGAGGGAGGGTGGACACGCAGAGCGGGCGGCGATTCTGAATCTCATCAGTGGGGCGGGCAAACGGCCCTTCTCATGGGTTTCTGAGGGCTCTGGGCGGGTTTACGGGCAGCTCTGACACCTTTCCTTGGCCTACAGATGGACCCGAAGAAGGTCGCGCTCGCCTACACCGAGGAGTGCGTCCCCTCTCCTCGTCGTCGACCTCCTCGGGTGCGAGAACGAGCGCTCACTCCCTTCCGCCCACAGCTCGATATGGCGCAACCGTGACCAGTTCTTCCAGGTGCGTCCCTCGCCTCCTCTGAGCGTGGAAGGACGGCGCTGCGGGGCATCCTCCCTGCGGCGAGTCGAGCGCGTTCTCGTCGTACTGACCTTCTCTTGCGTTCCTGCAGGGTCGCGCCGCCATCGAGCGCTTCCTCGCCGACAAGTGGTCGAAGGAGACGCACTACAAGCTCAAGAAGCGGCTTTTTGCGTTCAACGAGAACCGCATCGCCGTCCAGTTCTGGTGCGTCCTCCTCTCCCTGCGCGAGTCGGGCCAAGGCGACGCAGCTGATCCTCCTTTCTGCCTCCCATCCCTCGCAGGTACGAGTACTTTGATACCGACGCCAAGGAGTGGCGACGGACGTACGGTCTCGAGCACTGGTGCGTCGAGCTGTTCTTCGCCGTCCCCATCTCTCTCGACCCGTCGCGTCCCGACCCCCCCGTCCCCTCCTTGACTCTTCTGTCGTGCAGGACCTTTGCGCCGGACGGCCTCATGCAGAAGCGCCACATGAGCGGCAACGAGGTCGCCATCTTTGAGGCCGAGAGGTGGTTCAAGGACGGCGTCGACCCAGACGACGTCGACGTCTCTGACCAGGACGGCTGAGCCTTGTGTACCTCGAGGAGCGTGCAGTGAAGCAGTGTTGACGTTCGAGCGAGGGTCAGAGAGTGCCTCAAGTCGCGCTCGAGCCCGTCCCGTGCGAGAACCGGGCGCATTAGCTTTCCTTGTAAGCGCGATTGGCTCGAGTTTGCTATCGACGCCGCTTTCGTAGTCGCGCTTACTACAGCTTTGTAATCTTGAACAGCGATTTCTGTCGGCTGCTCGCTTTGACCTCTTCAGCTCCCCGGCTCGTCCGCGTCGCCTTACACGTCCGTCGAGCCACGCACATTGCGAGCGACACTGCAGCTCGCTTGCGGCGTTTGCTGGCGTCGTCGGCCCGCTCGATCCGCTGCCTTTCCCCGCTGCCGAGCTGCCGAGAAGCGGCCGCCGGGAGGGCCGGCCGAAGGGCGCAACTCGCCCGACGCTGACTCCCTCGTCGCTCTGCACCGCTACGACGCTCGGCTACAGCTGCAGCCCTACTGCTAGAAGCTCTGAAGCCGGTTGCCCCGCCGCCACCGCCAACGATGCTCTCGACACGAAGCAATCCGCGAGCCGCGGCCGACGCGCAATCTCGCGCCAACGACTCGCCCACGACGACGGTCGCCGCCTTTGCGGACAGTGCAGACGTCGAGAAGGTGTCCACGCTCGACAAGGACCCGGTCGACGAGCTCTCGAGCCCTGCCGCTCACGCCCTCGAGACGTCGCCCGAGGTGGACGAGGTGCCGGCGGCTCCTTACTTTCCAGACGGCGGGCGACGAGCATACCTCAACACGGTCGGCGGCGTTCTCGTCCTGTTCAGCACGTTCGGCCTGAGCAACTCTTGGGCCGTCTTTCAAGCCCACCTGGCCTCAGTGAGTCCGCGATTGCGCTTTCTCCTTTCGGCTCGTCCTCGTCGTCCTCGCCGCCTGGCTCGTGTGACTGACGCTCAACTTGGCCCACAGAACCAGCTCAAGGACTATCCTGCTTCGACGATCAGCTGGATCGGCTCGGTGCAGCTGTTTGCCCTCTTCCTCCTCGGCCTGCCCTCGGGCCGGCTCTTCGACAGCGGCTACTTCCGGTACCAGCTCGCAGGAGGATCGGCACTCTGGTGCTTCGGCATGTACATGTTGAGCCTCAGCGATACCTTCTATCAAATCTTCCTCTCGTACGCCGTCTGCCTCGGGGTGCGTCGCTCCCTTTCTCTCTTTCCTCCCCTCGTCGCGCGCCCGATGTTTGTCGTGCCCCAGACGCTCGTCGAGCAGTACCTACACACCCACGTCCTAGAGACGACGAGTATCACTCGAGCAGAGCACAACCAGCAGTGCCTGACTTTCCCTCTCGCTCGCAGATCGCGCTCGGCATCCTCTTCGCGGGCACCATTTCGTGCGTCGGCAGCTACTTCAAGCGCAAGCGCACGCTCATGATGGGCTGCACGGCAGGAGGCGCAGCTCTCGGGGTGCGTCCCGGCTCACTTTCCTCGTCTCGATCGTCCTCGAGCTTCGACCCGCTCACTCCCTCATCTGCGCTCGCAGGCCGTCCTCTTCCCCATCGCCCTCAACAACCTGTTCGAGACTCGTGGCTTTGGCTTCGGAGTGCGTCTGCGTACGTCGACTGTTCCTCGGCGTCTCGCCCGTCAGCAAGGACGACCAACCTGACCTCGACCTCCCTTTCGGCGCCCGCCCCTCGCAGTCGCCTACATCCACACCGCCCTGCTCATCCTCGCCAATGTCCTCATGCGCCCTCGAGACGACCTGCCGCCGCGCAAGGCGCCACCTATTCTGCCGCAAATCGCCTCGTTCCTTGGCCAACCCCAAACATGGTTCGCCAGCCTCGGCTGCGCCTTTGTCATGCTCGGCGTGCGTCGACGCTCTCGTACCCTCTCTCTCTCGGACGGTGACTGACCTCGGCCTCTTTGAGCTCGCAGATGTTCATCCCTGTGCGCACATTTCTCTCTTCCTCAACTTGAGAAGGTCGAGCTTTGAGCGTGACTGACTTTGCTGCGCCCTCGTGCCGGCGCCGAACAGATCTTCTACGTTCAGGTATTCGCCGAGGAGCACGGTGCGAGCGCTACGGTCGTGCAGTATTGCGTGAGTCGGCCGTTGCCCTCCTTTCCTTCAGCTCGAGCGCTTGGCAAACGCCCACATCGCGTTCGAGCCAGTACCGAGACGCCATCAAGTCCTTCACAGAGCTGCATCAGTACCTATAGCTCGTACTGACGGTTCTTGCTCCCTTGCAGGCCGCAATTCTGAACGGCTCCGCCTGCGTCGCCCGGGTTACGGTCGGCTTTGCGGCAGATCGCTTCGGCAACCTCACCGTCGCCATCCCGACGACGGTCATCATCGCGACGATGATCTTTGCCATGCTCGGCGCGACAAACTCGGGCGGCGTCATCGCGTTCTGCATCGTGTTCGGCGCGGCGAGCGGCGCGTGGGGTGCGTGCGGTGGTCGACCTCTCTCAGTCCCAGCGCTGTCGACGAGAGGCACTGACTCTCTTCTGACATGCGCACAGTATCGATCATGGCGCCGTCGCTCATCTCTCTCTCGGCGTCTGTGCGCGAGTTTGGGTGCGTCTGCTCGCCTTTCCTTCTCTCCGTCTCTCCCTCGCAGTCGTCGTGCGCCGCCGACGGTCGGGTTCCGACGAGCGGGAACGCTGGGCGCCATACTGCGGCGGTTCCTGACCTCACCCTGCCTCCTGCAGAGTGCGCACGGGCCTCGGCTTCATCCTCATCTCGGTCGCCGCCCTCATCGGCTCTCCCGTCGCCGGTGCCATCCTGCGGGCGACGCCGTCAAGCACCGGCACGAACTACCTCGGCGTCTGCCTCTTTGGCGGGTGCGCCGTCCTCGTCGGAACCGTCTGCCTGTGCGCGACGTGGTGGCTGCAACGGAGGAGGAAAGGAACCTGGAGGGTTTAAGGCGACGACGCGACTGCGAGGTGTTGTAGATTGATAGAGTCTGTCATTCCCCACGACGTTCTACTGCATACAGACGGCTCGAACTCAGTCGCTAGCCTCGTCAGCTCTCGGGCGCGGTTCATCCACTCGTTCTCGTCGCGGCGGCTGTCGCCTTGCGACGCTCTCGCTCGACAGACCCTGACATGCACGATAAGCCATAGGCGAGGGAGAGGTGCCGACAGCTTTGGCATCGAGGGCGGCGTTGCTCGTGCGCCGCTCGGACCTCTCGAGGAGGACGCTCGACTTGGGAAGGCCGACTTGCACTGCTCGACAGAGCTCGCCAGAGAGATAGACTGATAGAGATTGCGCATAAACATTGCGGCTACAAAAGACGGACAGCTAGATCGGCGCCGACGACGACGAGCACAGCGGCTCAACGACCGACCGACTCCTCCTCGGCTCCCGGCGCGCCAGCCTCCTTCTTCTTCTCCTGCACGCCCCAGCTCGCCTCCACCTCGGTCGTGAGAGCCAAGTTCTTCAAGCCGAGAGAGATGCAAAACCCGAGGCCGCCGAGCCCGATTAAAATCTGCCAGAGGACGACGAGCGTCTCGGCGTAGGCCTCGCGAACCTCGCTGCGGATCGGCTCGGCGCTGTGGGAGAGAAGCGTCGGGACATTGGTCGAGGACTTAGAGAGACCGACGCAGGGACGCACAGTTGAGCAATCTGTGCGACGAGCGCGTACGCCGCATCGCCCGAGACCTCGCCGCCGAGCTGCGATACGAACGCCTCGGGGAGTTTGCTGCCCAGCTGGTTCGAGAAGACGGTCGAGCCGATCGTGATGCCGAGTACCTGGCCGAAGGAGCGCACGAAGCCGTAGAAGGTGATCTGCAGGAGGCTCGAGAGTCAGTATCTCGCCCGGACCTCTCAGACTGCGAGAATTCGTGCGTACAGCGTAAGGCTGCTGTGCGGGCTTGAGAGGCGCGAGGACGGGGAACATGGTGCCCGTGTAGAGCAAGCCCAAGCCGATGCCGACGATGACGGGGCTGCGAGAGGGTGCAGGTGGTCAGTAAACGTCCTCGCGCTCGACGGGCGACGGCTTTCCTCCTCGCCGAGAGCCTCCTGAACCGCTCGGTCTCGTCGTTGAGGTAAAGGGAAGGTGCTCACAAGGCGCCCCACATCGACGTCGGCGAGTTGTACTTGAGAAGGCTCATGAGCCCGCAGCCGATGGTGACGAAGGCCCAGCCGATCCAGTTCAGCGCGACGTAGTGCCCGGTGACGGTCACGATGGCGCCCGTGATGATGGCGAACGGCGCGATGGTCCAGCTGATCGAGAAGATCTTGACGCCCGACTGGACAGCCGAGTAGCCGCGCATCTGCGAGGGACGGATCAGGGTCAGTTTCCGAGTTTCTGACGGCGTAGACGACGTGCAGGGATTCGTGCTCACCTGAAAGTAGAGGGGTAAGTAGTAGACGATGGCGAGCATGACGACGGCGTGCAGGTACGTCGTGAGGTAGCCGAGGAGGGCGTTCGGGTGGACGAGAATGTCGAACGGGACGGTCGGGTGCTTGACGTACTTGCGCTCGATGATGACGAACGCGATCATGCCGAAGATGCCGACGATGAGGGGCACGAGGACCTGGTACGACGACCAAGGGTGCGTCCCACCGCCCCAAGTGAGGCCGAGGATGGTCGACGTCGCGGCGGCGACGAAGAGGACGTTCCAGTAGTCCATCTGGTCGAGCTTTTCCTGCGTCGTCGTCTCGGGGGCCTTGATCTTGAAGAAGAAGACGGTGAGGGCGAGGGCGATGCCGCAGAGGGGAAGGTTCACTGCGAGCGGGTGGGGAGAAAGTCAGTTGCGGCTCGTCGATGCGCCGTCGACTCTCCAGACTCGATCGAGTGCAGGGAGAGTGGATGTACGGTAGAAGAGCCAGCGCCATGCTCCTGCAGAAGCGAGAGCGCCGCCGATGGGCGGGCCGAGAGTAGAAGCCTGCTCGAGGAGGAGGAGGAGGGCCGGGAGGCAGGGGTCAGTGCGCGTCTCGCCGCCGTTCGCCCTCGCGAGAGGGAGGGACGTACAAGAGCCCACACGGCACCGATCGCTCCGAAGTAGTTGCCTCGCTCGGCGAGCGGGACGAGGTCGCACACGACGATCTCGACCATGGTGAGGATGGCGCCGCCGCCGATGCCCTGGACGCTGCGGCCGCCGATCGCCATGGCCATGCTCTGCGCCGCACCGGTGAGGGCACTCCCGAGCGCGAAGAGGAGGATGCCGCCGATCATGACGGGGCGACGACCAAAGATGGCGGCGAGGCCGCCGGCTGCAGGTGGACGAGCGAGGGTCGGTGCGGGCGTCGGTCACGGACACGTGCGAAAGAGGGACGCACTCCAAGGGATGAGCGCGGTCGAGGTGAGGGCGTAGGCGCTGCCGATCCAGGTCGCCTCTGACGAGCGAAAGTCGGCGGCAACTGCGGCGAGGAAAGGGAGGATGGAAAGTCAGTATGTCGCTCCCTTCCCCAGAAACAGGACGAGAGGGGACGCACTAGTAGGCAAGGCCGTCGAGACGGCCGTCAAGTCGAGCGCAGACAAGAAGCAGCAGCAGCAGAGGGTGAGGAAGATGAGCCAGAAGCGGCCGTCCTTCTTGGGGCTCTTGGACGCCGCCGAGCCGTCGCGGTCGCCGTCGCCCTTGTGGCTGGGCGCTTGCGGCGTCGACGATACGATGGGCGCCTTCTCGTTGTAGGTACTCGACGTCGTCGGCGTCGGCTCGACGGTGGTCGAGTGGGTCGAGCGAGTCGAGGGAGGCGGTGAGGGCTTGATGCTCATGCAGGGCGAGGGGAACGCTGTGTGTCGCCGCGAAGACAGTCGAGGGGTGCGAGGAGAAGCAAGCGAAGCGGGACAAGTGCAGCTTCGGGCTCGGAGCGTCGATTGCTCGCTGCGCGCTCGGGGTCGTCTAGCGTCCGAGCGTCGAGCTGCAGGCGCAACGTCGCCGGGCACCGGTCCACAGATGTGGACTGGCGCTAATACAACGTCCGTAGGCCGACGAGGCTCGTCCCTCCTCGATCCGGCCGGGCTCGCCGCCCGCCGAGTGCGCCGAGTAGCTGCCACCGCCCTCCGAACGCCCTGAAGCACAGCCCGCCGACCTGCTGTGCTGCTGAGCAAGCTTGTGAAGCCGCCGGGTGCAGCTTGCGCACGCATGCGGGGCGAGATGAAGGCGGCAGAGCCGAGTGCGCGACTCGGACTGGCGAGAGGAGGAGGGCGAGGAGCTGAAGCGACGCCGCGCTAGGCAGGCAGGCGGGAGGGCGCGTCGACGAGGGCATCAACGCTGCCATGCAGGGTCTCTGCGGCCAGCTTGGCGGCGAGCAGGGTGCAGGAGCGAGGAGAGAGAGACGAGAACAGGTCGCTCAACTCGTGCTCGCGGCTCTCCTCGTCGTCTCGCGCTCGCTGGTGGGTTCTGCAATAGCTAGACGGGTCGACAGAGGATCACAGCGTCGCCCAAGGCTGCACCTAGTCCGCGCAAGGAGAGAGCGAGGCCGCCTCGCCTCAAAGTACTCCGCCTGCTCAGAGGAGCTTGCCTCGCCGCCTGCATCGTCGCACAGACCCGAGAGCCGAGCTCCTTCGGGCCTCGGCAAGTCCAAGCACCTGTCAGCGCCAGTCCCGAGCGCGCACCGTCCAGCAGCGCCGCCTCGCGCCTCGCAAACCGTTCGTCATCTCAGCTCCGGAGCCCGACCCGCCGCCTCTCCTCGACCCGCGTCACGTACCTGCGCAACCGGCGGGCCGACGACGCGACCACCACCGCGCACTCGACGCTCCCCTACATCAGCTGCACCGCCCGCACTGCCCGCGCGGCCCGCACGACGACCACCGCTCCGTCCCCCACCCCTCCTCCCTCTCGCATTCGCTCCAGCACCGCCGCGCATCTCGACAAGCAGCACCGCCACATCCCTCGACATGCCTCCTGTCAGGACCGCAGCCAGCCTCGTCGACGCCGTCGCCCACGACCTCGCCCTCAGCAGTCACGGAGCTGGGTATGCGCCTTCCCTCGTCCGCGGCACGGTACGTTCCCGAGCCTCCCATCGTGTGCCCTCGTCCACGCACATCTCACTGACAAGGATCACCTCCCCTCGCAGGCATGCGGGACCTGCAAGAAGCGCAAGTTGCGCTGCGACGGCGCGAGGCCGGTCTGCGGCGGGTGCGCGAGGAGCGCAAAGGTGCACGGCGACGACCCGGGAGCGCTCGCCCAGTGCGTGTACCCGGACCCGAGGCCGCGAGCTGCACCGCTGGGCAAAGTGCAGCGAGCCACGCTCGAGGCCGAGATCGGTGCGTCCTCCTCTCTCTCTCCCACCCTCGTCTTGGTCGCGTCGTTCCAGCGTGACGAGCTGACCTTGCTCGTCGACATGCAGCCGAGCTCAAGGCGACCGTCGAGCAGCTTCGTCAGGCCAACGCCTCGGCCACGAGCGCCTCGTCGTCGACGCCGGCGCTCTTCTTCAGCAGCGCTCCTGGACCCGACGAGCACGACGCCACTCGGCTCCCGCGCGTTCCCGCCGACTTTCCTCTCGACGCGCCGTCGATCCAGACGAGCTACGGCGTCGCGCCGTTCGCGTTCAGCGAGTCAAGCGCCCGTCTCGTCAACACGCAGTCCGCCTCGCCGCGCACGACTGGGCCGACGCCGAGCGGCGAGATGTGGAGCCCCTACAGCACGGTGCCACCAACCTTGTCACCCTCAGCCACGCTCGACTCGGCGACGAGCGCCACCTCGCCCTTCACGCCGCCGTCGTCCGACCCTTTCCTCGACCTCCTTTACCCGGGCTGGCCTCGCGACCTGCCGCCGCCGTCCCTCGTCCACCGCATCATAGACGTCTACTTCTCGCGGCCGCACCAGTGTTCCGACGTCATCAACCCGTCGCGCTTCCGCACCGCCCTGTCGCTGCCGCCGACGAGCGCCGGCTTCCCTCATCCCGGCCTGATTCACGTCATGTGCGCCATCGCCTGCCTCATGGTCCCGGACGACTTCTTCCGCGGCGAGTCGTGCTACTGGCGAGGGTATTCGAGGGCGGCCGACTACCACATCGCGAGGTGCAAGGTGCGTCCCGCTCTTCCCCCCCCCTCCTCCTCTTCCTCGACCTCACGCATTTCCCGACGCAGATCGCTCTCGAGGAGGGCCTCGTGACGGCGTCCATGTTCGACACGGCCCAAGTCTTTGGCCTCCTGTGTTTCTGGCTGTACTCGCAGGCGCGATGGGTGCGTCCCCTCTCCCCCTCTCTCTCTCGGCCTCGCGTCTTTTCGAGCCGACTCGAGCTTTTCCCGACAGGTCGAGGTGTGGCAGTACTGCGCCCAGGCGACCCGTGTCACGCTCCCTCTCGGCCTCAACCACATCCGGGCGGCGAGCGACCCGTCGTCGGACCCGACCTCGACGTCGGCCATGCTCAAGGACACGGACGACGAGGCCGTCCTGCGCGAGCGCGCCTTGACGTTCTTCCTCGCGTTCACGGCCGACCGCTTCGCTTCGGCGAGCACGGGCTGGGCGTGCAGCCTCGACAAGGGTGCGCCGCCTGCCGCGCCTCTCTCTGCGTCTGCGCAACTGGCCCTGACACTCCTTTGCCCTCCCCTCGCAGCCGACATCACCACCACCATCCCGGGAGAGGGACAGACGTATCCTCGGGGCGACGACGTCGTCAACTCGCCCTTTTCGCTCCACCACCCGGCCTTCTTCCTCGCGCACGGCGAGGGATGCGGCCCGCTTCAGCTGTCGATCAAGGCCGTCGTGCTCCTCGGCGACGTCGTCCAGTTCCAGTCGCGAGCGCCCTACGCCATTAAGATGGCGCCGCAGACCGGGTTCGCCCTCAACGACCGCATCTCGGACGTGCGCTCGACGTGCGTCGACGACTTTCTCCTCTCTTTCTCTCCAGCCAGACCAGAACCCACGACTAACGCCTCTCTGCCCCCTCACAGCGACTCGTTCCGCCGCCTCGACTCGACCGTGCGAGGCTTCATCGCGTCGATCCCGCGCGAGTACCAGTTCCGCCTGCGCCCGCTCGGCACGAGCGGCGCCGACATCCTCGACGAGACGCGCCTGTGCCTCGTGCACGGTATGGCGCACACGAGCGTCATCCTCCTGCACGAGCCTCACGTCGCAGCGCTCGACGAGCACGAGCCGAGCTTTGTGCGCTGCCTCGAGAGCGCCAACGAGATCCTCCAGGGCGTCTTCCTCATCCTCGGTGCGTCCCTCTTTCGCCCTCTCTTCTCGTTCACGACGTCCTGACCGACTCGCACACGTCCCTGCACAGGAACCTCGTACGACGTCGCCCTCTTCTCGCCCTTCTTCACCTACGTCGTCGCCTGCGCCGGCCGCACTTTCGTCCGCCAGATCGCCATCCGCGTCGCGACGGGCGCCACACACGGCATCGACGAGCTCAAGAGCAACGTCAACACGATCCTGTACACGCTCAAGGCGCCTCGTACGCCGCTCGGCGGTGCGTCTCGCTCTCTGTCCCTCTCGTCGACTGTCCTCCTCTCGCAAAGGGCAGAGCGCTCATGTCGCCCCTCTCTCCACGCAGACAACGCGCATGCACAACTGTCGATGATGCTCGACGACCCGTTGCGGTGCCTCCCTCGCCCTTTCCTCGCCCTCGCGTCCGACCTCTCACCCCCTCTCGCGCCTGGCGCCCACTCGGCGTACGACCTCACGCGCCGCGACCCGATGCGCCCTCCCTGCACCGTCGAGCCTCTCCCCGCCACGCCGGCACCGACCACGTCGACGACGAGGGCAGCGCGGAACCGGTTCGGCATCGTCGAGCTCGAGAGGGGTCCGGGCGCCGACGAGCCGCTCCTGCGCGAGCTCGTCGCAGACAAGTCGCTCGTCGTCGAGGGCGAGTGGTTCGGCGGGCAGGGCTTTGACGGCGTGCTGTAGCTGTCGGGCGAGGGCCCGCGAGCTGTCGGCGAAACGCGCATGCAGTACCTTTTCTTCGAGCTCACGCTCCTCACGGCGTCGGGGCCCGCCTCGAGGCTTGATGCCCCTCGCCGAGAGAGACGTTCTGCAGCGAATGAGAGAGTGCCTCGCTCGAACGAGACGTCGCAGCGGTGCGAGCGGCGACCCGTCCGCGGAAAGCGAGAGGGCTCACTCGGCGGCGCCATGGTCTGTAGCGAGCTTGGCTGCGCAGCTCACGCTCACGAGCTGAGCCTCGAGCAGGTCGACGCAGAGAGCGGGAGGTCGACCTTTTGTCGACGTCGACGTCGTCGCCGAGCTGCGCCGGAGAACAAAGGGGGAGGAGAGGGTCGAGCGGGAGAAGCGGGCGGCGCTACGAGCAAGTGCGCGCGTCTGGGGGGGGAGGACGAGGTGGCGCAAATCCAGCACGCGACAGAGCGACAGAGCGACAGAGCGTGGATCCACGCAAGAGGTGGAGTCGAGGCCGGCGGTTCGAGTTGCTGGATCGAGACGAGGCCGGCGAGCGAGGCGAGAGGCGAGCTCCCTCCACCACCACCAGGCGACGAGCTTGATCGCTGCACATCCACCGAGTGCGCTCACAGCTGCCCGCACCCACCCCCTGCAGCTCGGTACCTCTCGCACTCGCCGCCCCCCCGGTCGTCGCTCCTCCCCCGCCTGTCGTCCCCCCCTCCCTCCTCTCGTCGTCAACGGTCGCCCTCGTCCAGCGAGTACCGCCACTGTGCCCGCCATGCCGCCTTCTGTCCCGCCAAAGACCAACCCGCCCGTCATCCGGCACCACCAGGCCGAGTTCACAGGTGCGTCTCGGCCGCCCACTCCTCGTCGCGTTTGCGCCGAGAGGACCCAGCTGCCGTCCGCCAGACCGCGGCGGGACCTACACGCGGCCTCAACCGTGATCGCGCTCGCACGATGCTGTGCGTCGGCGCGTCAGCAGTGCTCGCGAGCAGGGGGCGAGCGGCGGACGTTGGACCCGGTCGAGGCGGGGGTCGGGTGACGATGAGGAGCAGTTTCCCGGGCCAGCCTCGCATCGTGCACGAGCAGGCTCTCCTCCTCTTGAGCGACAAGTCACTGACCGCCATGCTCCCCCTCCCACCTCCCTCGCCCACCCCGTCCTCGCTCTTCACTCGCCGCCGGGTGTCGCGCCTCCTCCGCCTTGCCCACTCCCCACACCGCTCGTCGGCCGCCTGCGTCCCCGTACCGCCCCTCGCCACGCCCATCGTCGCCACGACCTCGCCCTACGCCGCCATGCAACTCGACACGACGCCGTCCGCCTTGCCCGCGTCGCTCTACTCGCCCGACCCGTTCGCCTCGCCCTCGTCGTCCTACTTCGTCCCGCTGTCCGCCCGCACACCGCGCACGCCCCTCTCGGCCTCTCGACACTCCCCTCTCGCGCACCGACCTCTTCGATCCATCTTCTCGATCCCGCACCTGCGCACCGCCAAATCCCTCCCCTCGCTCCGACCCTGGAAACGCGCCAAAACCGCAGGCGCTCAGCCCGTGTCGACATTCGGCCGCACCCCGAGCGCGAGCGGGTCCAACCCGTACGCCGCGTCGAGCGCAGCTGCCGCCGCCGCCACCGCCGCCGGCCGGGTCGGCGGTGGATCGGGCGCCATGTACGCCTACCAGCCGCAGGCGGCTGGCTCGGCGAGCGCCTCGAGGGCGCCAGATCCCGCCTCTTCCTCGTCGTCGCCGTCAACGGCGGCAGGATACCGCCCGGCGCGTACCGCACCGCCGCCTCCAGGCTCGTCGGCCGGTCCGGGCTCGGGCGCGCCGCACGGCGCCAACGGGCACATCTACGAGCCGCAGCAGAGCAAGCGCGACTCGTACGCCGGCGGCGCAGCCCGTTCGTCGTACGCCCCCTCGAGCGGCCGGCCGCCGTTCTCGAGCAACGCGTCGTCGTCGTCGTTCCAGCCGAGCCGACCGGCGCCGCCGCTCCCGTCCTCGTCGTCGTCGCCCTCGCGCCACGTCCACCCGCAGACGTCGTCGTCGTCCCTTGGCGGCCGCGACAAGTGGGAGACGCTCCAGGACGACAACGACCTGCCGCCCGCCGCCCCGCCGAAACGGCCGCCTCCTCCCCCGATGACGCACTCGCTCCGCGACCTCTCGGACGCGCTTCCGGCCACGCCGGCCGGCGGCATCTCGCCCTACCACGGCGCGAGCTCCAACTCGTCGGCGTCGAGCCTCCACAACAACGGCGCCGCCCTCGCCCCGCTCGCCTCGTCGTCGTCGCGGCACGCGCCGAGCCACTCGATCGCGCAGAGCTACTCGCTCCTGACCGACCCGGCGACGATGGCGGCGACCAACCTGTCGATGCACGACGGCGCGCGCTCGGCGAGCCCGGGCCTCCTGTCGGCGTCGGCCGCCTGGCGCCACTCGGGCAGCGCCGAGGACTACATGTCGGCCCGCTCGGCCGCGACGGGCGACGTCTCGCCGGGCGTGCCGGGCACGCCGGCGGGCAGCACGGCGGGAGGACATGGGACGCCTGGCGGCGTGAGCGTCGGGGCGGGGCAGCGCTCGAGTGGGGACCGGGATAGTGGGAGCGCGGGAGGGGCGAGCGCCGCAGGGACGGGCAAGGAGGGCAAGAAGAGCAAGGGCTTTGGGAGCTTCTTCGGTGCGTCTGCGTCTCTCTCTCTCTCTTTCCGCTTCGTCGTCGACGGCTCGAGCGGGACTGACGCAGCTCAACTCCCCGCCGCAGCCGACGTCTTCTCGAACACGGGCGGTGGCGGCAGCAGCAGCAGCAGCCGCAAGGTCGAAATCTCGACGCCGTACGACCCGGTCCACCTCACGCACGTCGGCTTCAACTCGGACACGGGCGAGTTCACCGTGCGTCCGCCTCTCCCTCCCTCTTCCCTCCTCCCTTTCTTTCTTCCCTTCCCTCGTCATGACCTCGACCTGACACTCTCTCGTCCTCACCGCTCACAGGGCCTGCCGAAGGAGTGGCAGCAGCTCCTCCAGAACGCCGGCGTCTCGCGCGAGGAGCAGGCGGCGCACCCGCAGGCCGTCGCCGAGATCGTCGCCTTCTACCAGGACGCGACCAAGGGCATGACGGCGCCTCTCGACACCGAGGACGACGTCTGGATGAAGTTCGACAAGGCGCAGAAGGGCGCGGCGGGCGGCATGGCGCAGGCGGCGCAGCAGGGCCAGGGCGCCGGCTCGGGCAAGCAGTCGACGTTCGAGGCGCCTCGTGCTGCGCCTCCTCCTCCACCCGCCGGCGTGCGCAAGGCGCCTGCTCCCCCTCCCGGCGTTGCGCCTCACCGTCCGCCGCCGCCGTCGTCGCAGCCGTCCCAGTCGTCCCTCGACCGCGCTCGCGACCTGCGCTACACCCAGGACCGCAGCCTCGGCCCGACCGCCGTCCCGCCCTCGTCCGACCGCCGCACGCCGACGGGTCAGAGCGCCGCCGACTCGCTCCACCGCTCGCAGAGCGAGCGCGTGTCGCCCTCGCCGACGCCGCCGCTCGCCCAGCCGACCAAGTCGGCCCTCGACCGCGCGCAGAGCCAGCGCGCCCCGACCTCGTCGTCGTCCCTGTCGTCGGCGCCACCCGCTCCGCACCGTCCTGCGCCTGCAAAGCCGCCAGGCGCCGGCTCTGCGGGCGCGCTCGCCAAGAAGCCGTCGCTCGCCGCCAAGGCCGACGACGGCGCGCCGGTCAAGCCTGGCGGGCCCGGTGCGCACCCGAGGCGTCGCGAGCCCAAGAACCGGGCGGGCAAGGAGGGCGACATCGTGCAGCGCCTGCAGGCCATCTGCACCGACGCCGACCCGACCAAGCTCTACCGCAACCTCGTCAAGATCGGCCAAGGGTCCGTCCTCGCTCGCCTCTCTCCCTCTCGCCCTCGTCGAGCACGACTGACCCTCGCGTGAGCGTGCCCTTGATCCCTCCTTGCAGCGCATCCGGCGGCGTCTACACGGCGTACCAGGTCGGGACCAACCTGAGCGTCGCGATCAAGCAGATGAACCTCGAGCAGCAGCCCAAGCAGGACCTCATCATCAACGAGATCCTCGTCATGAAGGAGTCGCGGCACGCCAACATCGTCAACTACATCGACTCGTTCCTGCTCCGAGGCGACCTGTGGGTCGTCATGGAGTACATGGAGGGCGGCAGCCTCACCGACGTCGTCACGTGCAACATCATGAGCGAGGGCCAGATTGCCGCCGTCTCGCGCGAGGTCCTTCAAGGCCTGCGCCACCTGCACTCGCGCGGCGTCATCCACCGCGACATCAAGTCGGACAACATCCTTCTCTCGATGCAGGGCGAGATCAAGCTCAGTGCGTCCCCTTCTCGCCTCGTCCTCCTCCTCCTTGTCGTCACCTACTGACGCTGCTCCCTCCCCCCTCGTCCGCACCTGCAGCCGACTTTGGCTTCTGCGCGCGCATCAAGGGCGACGAGTCGAAGCGGACGACCATGGTCGGCACGCCGTACTGGATGGCGCCCGAGGTCGTCACGCGCAAGGAGTACGGCCCCAAGGTCGACATCTGGTCGCTCGGCATCATGGCGATCGAGATGGTCGAGGGCGAGCCGCCGTACCTCAACGAGGCGCCGCTCCGAGCCCTGTACCTCATCGCGACCAACGGCTCGCCGACGATCCAGAACCCGGAGCAGCTCAGCACCGTCTTCCGCGACTTTCTCGCCGTCGCGCTCGAGACGGACGTCGACCGCCGACCCGACGCGGCGGGCCTCCTCGACCACGCGTTCCTCGCAAAGGCGGCACCGCTCGCGACGCTCAACCCGCTCATCGTCGCCGCCAAGCAGGCCGCCAAGAAGAGCTAGTCGTCGCTCGTCCCGCCTCTCCTTCCGTTCCCTGTACTCCCCCCTCCCTTCTCCCACTCGCGGTCGTGGTTCTCCTCTCCGTCGCGCTGTTGTGCAGTGAATTAATCGCCCGGCCTTTTGCACTGTCTCTCTCGGCCGTCATGTCTTCCTCGCGCTCAAGTTGCTCTCGTCAGAAGGAAAAAGAAAAAGAGATCGCGAGCGAGCGGGCGAGATGAGCGAGGTCGAGCGAGAATCGACGAGGAGGAGGAGGAGAGGACAACTCGCTCGACAGGGCTAGCGCGCTCGTGGAGCCGGTCCAGAGTATTGTTGCAGGCTATTGTACGCTCGGGGTACGCCCACAGAGCGAGTGCGAGGGCGAGCGGCCCCCGCCCGCGCCGGGTCGCTTGTTCGAGAGCGCTCTTGGCTTCGCTCTCACCTCCTCCTCGCGAGACGACCGAAGCAGGGGCGCGCTCGATGCAGTCTGCCTGATGCCCACTCGCTCCACCCGCAACAAGCAGCCCCAGCCTCCCACCGCCGCCGCTCCTCCTCCCGCTCCCTCCGCCTCGGACCCCGACCACCCTCCCGCCGCCTCTCGTACGCGCAAGCGCAAGAGCGTCGCCTTTCAAGATCCCGCCGACGAGCCACCAGCTCAGCAACCCGAGCCCGAGCAGCAGCCCCAGCCCGCCCCGAGGAGGTTCGTCGTGGCCACCCTCTCCCCTCTCCGAGACTCGGCAACTGATGACTCCTCGTCACCCGGCTACAGGTCTCGCCGCACGTCGACCGCCACCGCTTCGGCCGCCAGCAGCAGCAGCGCGACTACCTCGGCCGCCAGCCTCTCCGCCAAAGCCGCAGGCAAGCGCCGCGCCGTCTCGCCCTCGACCGCCGCCGCCGACGGCCCTCCCCCACCCGCCGACTCGTCCTCGTCCGCTGCGCCCAAGCGCCGCAAGCTGTCGCACGTCGCCATCGACACCCCCTCGACCAACGCTCCCTCGACCGACAGCCTCCGTACCCTCCGCACCCGCTCCTCTCGCCGCACCGCCGCGACTCCCGCCTCGACCTCGACAGCCGCCGCGAGCCAGCACAAGAAGAAGACCCGCTCGTCCGCCGCCGCATCCTCGTCGTCGTCCAAGGCCGCCACCCTCCACAAGCCCTCATCCGACATGCCCCGCAAGGGTACTCGCGCCACTCGCGCCGCCAAGGCGAAAGCCCGCGCCATGGACGACGACGACGACCTCTCGCTCGACGCCCACCTCGCCGACGACTACAGCGACGATGACGAGACGGGTGACGTCGAGATGGACGACGCGCCCGTCAAGAAGCGCGGCACCTCGGCCCAGTCGAAGCGCAAGTCGAGCGCGACGGCCGCCGCAGCCGATGCCGCGCCAGTCGCAGAGCCCGTCGCCGCCGTCGCCACCGAGTCGAGCGTAGCGGCGGCGTCGACAGTCGCAGACGAGCCGCGCGCCGCCGTCGTCGACAGCGAGGACGAGGAGGGCGATGCGCACTCGGACGAGGAGGACGAGGACAGCGTGTCCGATGAGGACGACGAGGGCGACGAGTTTGACGACGATGACGACGAGGAGATCGAGGAGTACGAGACGTCGCTCGGCCTCCACGGCGAGGAGCGCGGCGAGTACAGCGACGAGGAGGACACCGTCGACGCGCCGCGCACGTCCAACGCCGACGGCGACCCGCTCGCGTCGTCCCAGGCCCTCGCCGACGAGGAGGCCGACGCCGAGGCGGAAGCCGAGGCCCTGTTCGGCGCCCTCGCCGGCGCGGCAGGTCGTTCGGGCGACGGAGCCGCAGGCGGTGCCGGCGCAGGCGGCGGCGCCCTGTCGGCGTTCCGCGCCCTGCAGGGCATGCTGTCGGGCATGTCGACGCGCCTCAAGGGACTCCTCGCGTCGCTCAAGGCGACCGACGGCGACGGCACGGCCAAGCTCCTCGCGCTACAAGAACTCGCCGAGCTCCTGTCCATCTCGACCGAGGACACGCTCGCCGGCTACTTCCAGATCGAGGCCTTCTCGAAGGAGCTCGTCGCCATCGTGCGCGGCGACTCGAACGGCATGGGCAAGGGCGTCGGCGGCGGCGGTGGCGGCGGCGACGGCGCCATGACGGTCGAGGAGGCGATCGCGTTCGGGCTCGACCCGGCCGAGGTCGGCGCAGGCGGCGGCGGCGGCGGCGGGTCGGACGACAACGACGAGCAGATGATGCTCCTCGCGTGCCGGTGCCTCGCCAACCTCATGGAGGCCCTCCCGGGCTCGGCGCACTCGGTCGTGTACGCCGGCGCGGTCCCGGTCCTGTGCGACAAGCTCAAGGACATCCAGTACATCGACCTCGCCGAGCAGACGATGAGCACGCTCGAGAAGATCAGCGAGGAGGTGCCGCACGCCATCGTCCGCGAGGGCGGCCTGTCGGCCCTCCTCACGTTCCTCGACTTTTTCTCGTTCCACGTCCAGCGCACGGCCGTCACGGCGGCGGCCAACTGCTGCCGGTCCCTGTCGCTCGACTCGTTCGACCGCGTCGTCGAGGTCATGCCCATCTTCAAGAACGTCCTCGGCTACTCGGACCAGCGCGTCGTCGAGCAAGGGTGCCTCGCCGTCGTCCGCATCGTCGACTCGTACCGCCACTACCCGGACAAGCTCGAGCAGCTCCTGACGGCCGACCTCCTCAAGGCCGTCCGCGCCCTCCTCAACCCGGACTCGACGACGGTCGGCGTCTCGACCTACACCCAGAGCCTCAAGATGCTCACGACCGCCGCCCGCGCGAGCCCCGCCGTCGCCATCAGCCTCGTCGAGCTCGACATCGCCCATACGCTGTACCACCTCCTGACGGGCGTCGCCCCGCCCGAGTGGACGAGCGACGACGCCGGCCGGCAGGTCCTCTCGCGCGAGACGACGGCCAAGGACGACATGCTCGTCATGCAGAACCTCGTCCAGCGGCCCAAGGAGCAGATCGCCGAGGCCCTGTCGTGCGCCGCCGAGCTCCTCCCGGCCCTGCCCAAGGACGGCGTGTTCGACTCGCGCGCGTTCACGCCGGGCAAGGAGTCGCGCTCGTCGTCGCGCGCCGGCAAGGCGAGGAAGGATGACTCGGCGGCACCCGTCGCCGCCGTCGCCGTCAAGCGCGAGCAGGAGACGCCCGACCTCGCCGCTGAAGCTTCGGCGTCCGGGTCCTCGTCTTCGGCCGCCGCGGCCGCAGCAGCAGCAGCGCCGTCGGCCTCGGCAGACCTCGCCGGCGACGTCAAGATGGAGGCGGTCGACGAGCCCGTTCCCGCCGTCGCCGCGCTGCGAGCGCCCGCCATCGCGCGCACGGCGTCGTCGACCTCGTCGCGGTCCAAGCGCTCGCGCGACCCGAACAAGGACGCCCTCGCCGCCAAGCGCCTCGAGCTCGTCGCCGTCGACGCGCCTGCGGCCCGCAAGCTCGTCTTCCAGCGGCTCGTCGCCCTCCTCCTGCCGACGCTCGTCGACGTCTCGGCCGCGTCCGTCTCGCCCCAGGTCCGCTCCAAGGCGGTCCTCGGCCTGCTCAAGATGGTCCACTTCAGCGAGCCGCAGCCGCTCACCGAGGTCCTCAACACGGTCCCGTTCGCCGCCTTCATCTCGGCCATCCTGTCGAGCCGCGAGCACCAGCCGGCCCTCATCACCAACGCGCTCCAGCTCGTCGAGCTCCTCCTCGTCAAGATGCCCGACGCGTACCAGTACACGTTCCGCCGCGAGGGCGTCATGCACGAGATCGACCGCCTCGCTAACGAGGAGCTCGGCAGCGCCGCCGCCACCTCGAACAAGTCGAAGCGCTCGTCGCCGGCCCGCACCCCTCGCGGTGACGAGCCTGCCGCCGCTCCCGGTCCCGCGTCCAACCTGTCGCGCGTCCTCCAGTCGGCCCCTGTCGCCGCCGCCGCCGCCGTCGTCGCGCCGGCCTTGACGCCGGTCGAGGCGCAGGCCAAGGACGCTGTTACGCTGCGCGCCCGTCACCTGCGCGCCTCGTACGGTGCGCCCGACTCGGAGCCTGCCCTGCGCGCCCAGAGCGTCCTCGAGCGCATCAAGGCGCTCGTTCAGCACCTCGAGAAGGTCGCCGCGTCGGGCTCGGGCTCGAGCGGCGGCGACGCGATGGAGCGCGAGGCCAAGGAGGCGCTCGACGAGATCGCCGGCCTGTTTGCCGACGAGAAGAACCCGCTCAGCAGCTTCGAGATGGTCGAGAGCGGCCTCGTCGAGGGCCTCCTCAAGTTCGCGACCGAGCCGGGTTCGGGTTCTCGTTCGTCTACCTCTCCCTGCCTCGTCCTCGACGCGCACATTCTCACTGACACGTACTGTCCCGCTCACGCAGTCACGCCGACCAAGCGCCAGGAGCTCATCGCCCGAGCGTTCATGCCGCAGCTCGCCGGCGGCAGCGCGACGCCCGCGTTCGCGGCCCTCGTCAAGCGCCTCCAGGAGAGCCTGAGCCGCCTCGAAGAGTTCGAGGTCGTCGTCGCCGCCCAGAACGCCAACGAGGGTGCGTCCCCTCCTCGCCGTCGACGATTCCTCCCCGCGCACGCTCTGACCCTCCTTTTCTCCTCTTCCTCTCCCTCTCTCGCAGTCGAGTCGCGCCGCAGCGGGACGTCCATGCTCGGTCGACAGCTCAAGCTTCGCCTCATCGCCGAGGACCCCGACATCCCGCGCTCGTGCACCAACATCGTCGTCTCGATCCACGCCATCGCCACGTTCGAGTCGTTCAACTCGTACCTTCGGCCGCGCATCCTCGCGGCGCAGGCGGCGCAGGCGGCGCAGGCGGCGTCGGGCTCGGCGGCAGGAGGAGGAGCAGGTGGCGGCGGCGGCGGCGGCGCCGGTACGCTCTCGAGCCTGCTCGCTGCCTTTGCCGCGGCCGCCGGCGCGACGGACGAGGGCGACGAGGATACTGACGGGGCGATGCTCTCTTCGTCTCCTCCTCCCCGACAAACAGATCTCGGCGACGCCTCGGCGCTTGCCGCCGCCCTCGCCGGCGCTTCCACCTCGGCGTCGGGCGCATCATCGTCGTCGTCGGCCGCCACCGCGTCGGCGCCCAAGGCCAAGCCGGCGTCGCCTAAGCGCAGGCGCAGCTCGAGGTTGAGCGGCAAGGGCATCGACTTGGACGAGGAGGACGAGGCGCCAGCACCGTCGACGAGCAAGGCTGCCGAGAAGCCCGACGCCGAGTGCGTCCACCTTTCGCTTGCCTCGCCCCTCGCGCTCGTTCTGACCCGCCTGTACCTGCAGCAACGAGCTCATGGACGAGGACCCGTGCGAGGACGACGAGGAGGCGCTTCGCCGCGAGAACGAGGACGTGCGTCCACTTTTCTCTCCTCACGCCCTCTCCCCAGCCTCCTTCCTCGCGTCCAAGCCTGGCTCACTCTCTTTTGCCGCACCCTCGCAGCTCTTTGCTGGCGCTCTCGAGGCCCCGCAACAGCCTCGCGAGGACAAGCCCGTCAGCCTCGAGGTCTCGGGCGAGAAGGTCGTCGCCAAGACGCCCGACGGCACCCGGGTCGCGACGCCGCAGCCGGCCAAGCCTGCCGAGGCCGCATCGTCCTCGTCCCGGCCGTCACCGGCGCCGACCCCGCAGAAGCGCGCCTCGTACGCGGCGGCGCTCAAGGCCGAGCCGACCGACTTCCACCTCGAGTTCTCGCTCGGCGGCCACGACGTCGACCTCGACACGACCGTGTACGGCGCCGTCCACCGCTACGAGAGCCAGCAGCCGGCCGCTCTGCGCCGCCAGATGTGGTACAACGTGTACGACGTCAAGTACCGCAAGGTCGACGGCGCGGCGAGGCCCGACGAGGACGACGCCAACGCGCTCGGCGACCGCCGTCGCCGCGAGGGCTCGATCTTCTCCAACATGCCCCAGTCGATCCCGACGGGCTCGCAGCAGGCCAAGATCCTCCAGCTCCTGCACGTCCTGCGCACGGTCAGCGCCGACTTTGGCGACGTCGCCGGCGGCGCCGTGCAGCCGGCCGGGCTCGCCGACTCGGCGTTCGTGAACAGCAAGCTCACGGCCAAGCTCAACCGCCAGCTCGAGGAGCCCATGATCGTCGCGAGCGCGTGCCTCCCCGACTGGGGCCGTCGACCTCGCGCAGTCGTTCCCGTTTCCTGTTCCCGTTCGACACGCGGTACACGTTCCTCCAGTCGACCTCGTTCGGCTACGCCCGCCTCATGCAGAAGTGGGTCGGCCAGACGAGGTCCGACACGAGCCGCCGCGACGAGAACCTCGGGTTCCTCGGTCGCCTGCCGCGCCAGAAGGTCCGCATCTCGCGCGACCGCATCCTCGAGTCGGCTTACAAGGTCTTTGAGCTGTACGGCTCGTCGCGTGCGAGCCTCGAGGTCGAGTTCTTCGACGAGGTCGGCAGCGGCCTCGGCCCGACGCTCGAGTTCTACGCCCTCGTCTCCAAGGAGTTTGCCCGCAAGACGCTCGGCCTGTGGCGCGAGGGCGACCACGCCGACAAGTCGGACTACGTGCACACCCGCACCGGCCTGTTCCCGATGCCGCTCGCCGACTCGACGACCGACGCCGGCAAGAAGGTCCTCAGGGTCTTCCGCATCCTCGGCCAGTTTGTCGCCAAGGGTGCGTCCCCTGCCCTTTCTCTCTCACTCTCGTACGTGACCTGACTTTTGTCCAACCCCCCCTGCAGCCATGATGGACACGCGCATCATCGACGTCAACTTCAGCCGCACGCTCATGCGCCTCGTTCTCGAGCAGGACGTCCCGCTCTCGATCGCAAGCGTGACGGCCGTCGACCCCGAGCTCGGCTCGTCGCTGTCGCACCTCCAGGAGTACGTCGCCGCCAAGGACGAGATCGAGGCCGACGAGGCGGCGTCCGAGGACGACCGTCGCAGCAAGCTCGACGCCGTCCAGGTCCGAGGCGCGACCGTCGCCGACCTCGTTCTCGACTTCACGCTCCCCGGCCGCAACATCGAGCTCAAGGAGGGCGGCGCCGAGATCCCGGTCACGCTCGACAACCTCGCCGAGTACATCGACCTCGTCATCGAGTGGACGCTCAAGCGCGGTATCGAGGCCCAGGTCGCCGAGTTCCAGCGGGGTTTCTCGACCGGTGCGTCCTCTCTTTCTCTCCCTCGAGCCGTCGTTGGTCAAGCCTGAGCCTCGTCAACTGACCTCGTCGAGGCGCAACCCCCACGCGCAGTCTTCCCCGTTCGCGACCTGCAGACGTTCACGCCTGCCGAGCTCGTCATGATGACGGCAGCCGTCGAGGAGGACTGGACCGTCGAGAGTGCGTCCTCTCTCTCTCTTTCCGTCTGTCGCCGACCCGAGCGAATGTCGCTCACCGTCGTTCTTTCGCCTTTTCGCAGCGCTCACCAACTCGGCCAAGGCCGACCACGGCTTCACGATGGACAGCCGACCTGTGCGCGACTTCCTGTCGATCATGGCCGACTTCTCGGCAGAGGAGCGGCGCGAGTTCCTCTCGTTCATCACGGGCTCGTGCGTCGTCGTCGTTTCCCTCGTTCGCCTTCTCTTGCCGACTGCGCGCTCACTTTGCTCGTCTCTCTGCAGGCCTCGCCTCCCGATCGGTGGCTTTGGGGCACTCAGCCCGCCGCTCACGATCGTGCGCAAGGACGGCGGCGACGCAGCGCTGCCCTCGGTCATGACGTGCGTCCTCTCTCTCCCTCTTTCTCTCTTTGCCTCGTCGCCCGTACTGACGCTCGCCTCTTTCGCCCACCAGGTGCGTCAATTACGTCAAGCTCCCGAACTACTCCTCGCGCGCCGTCGTGCGCGAGCGCATCCTCATGGCCGTGCGCGAGGGCGCCGACGGGTTCCACCTCAGCTAGTCCCCCTCCCTCTCTCTCCCCCTTTCTCGTCTCTCGCTTGCCCTCCTTTGAGTACTGTGCGTCCCCTCGTCGACTCTCATCTGTGTAGAACCCCTCGCGCTTTTCCTCGCCTCCCCTTCTTGTACCGCTTGTTCGACGATGCAAAGTCCCTCTCCTTCCTCTCCCTTCCTCTTTCTCTCGCCTCGGTCGCGCCATCGATGAGAGCTTTACCGAGAGGAGAAGCGCCGTGTACAGAATCTACGGCTGGATCTAGTCAACGCGCACGAGCCGGTACCTGCTCGACAGCTTGAGCCCGACCGCGAGTGCCGCACCGCCGACGACGACGCCGCCGACCGCCTTTGCCGCGAGGTCGAGGACGCGACTCTGCCACTCCCTGCGGCGAATGACCTCGTCGTACGCGACGCCCGGGCGGAACGTCGTCATGCGGTACAGGCTCTCCCACCGCCCGCCGCGGTCCTTTGTCGGGTCCGAGCGGTCGCGGTCTCGCGGGGCAAAGACGGGGAGCGCGCACACGCGGCTCAGGAGCGAGTCGATCGACTGGCGCAAGAGGTACAGGGGCGACAGGACGCTCGACGCCATCTCGGTGTAGTTTTGCTGCGCGAGCTGCTGGATCGCCGAGAGGGACGGCGCGCGGTACAGCGTGTAGGTCGACAGGGCGATGCCGAGCGGCGTGTGCTCGGGCTTGGGCTTGGCGTCGGGACGCGACGGGTCGGTGGCCGGGACGCAGGGGAGCGCCGGCATGATGGACGAGTAAGGGAGGGTCGAGGGAACGAGCGGCGAGGGCGACGCGCCAAACTCGTCGAGGATCGACGACAGGACCCGCACGTCCTCGAAGCCGCAGTTCATGCCCTGCCCTGCGTGTGAGAGAAACGCGCAAAGAGTCAGTAAAGTTGGCGAGAGCACGACGAAGATCGCGAGGGACGGACCGTAAAAGGGGACCATGGCGTGGGCCGCGTCGCCGATGATGAGCACCTTGTCCTGGAAGTGGTACGGCGACGCCTGCAAGCATCGAGAGGGAGTGAGCAAACTCCTCTTGTCGAAGAGGAAGAGAGAGGCGGGCGCACCTCGACCGTGATGAGCCCGTCCTTGGGATTCTCGCGCCAGTACCGCACGAGCGCCTCGTCGCCCATGAGCTCGAGCGCGTCGGGAAACTCGCGCCGGAAGAGCTCGATGACCGGGTGCTCGGCGCCGTCCTTGTCGGTGTCGGCGCCCTTGTCGGCCCGCCGCGCGAGCTCGGCGTCGATGGTCGAGAAGGTCGAGTCGTGGGCGAACAGGGTCAGGGTGAACGACTTGTCCTGCGCGCAGGTGGCATGTCTACGTCAGTTCACTGCACGCTGTGAGGAAAGAGACGAGGAGAGAGAGCGCGAGGCGCACCTGGTTGGCGAGGGCGATGAGCATGAACTCGCCGCGAGGCCAGATGTGCAGGTAGTTGGGCTCGAGGAGGAACGTCTCGTCTGGACCCGCCGGGATCGAGAGCTCGAGGTACGAGTGGCGCGCGTAGTATTGGTGATAGTCGAACCTGCACGAGGAGAAGTGCGACGAGGGGAAAGGGGTCAGTGACGAGGATCGAGAGGAGCAGAAGGAGGGAGGCAGATAACGAGGGACGCACCGGATACGAGAGCCACGCATCATCTCCTGCCGCACGCGGCTGTAGGCGCCGTCGCCGCCGAGGACAAAGTCAAAGTGGCGCTTCTCGGGCTCGGCGCCCTTGTGCTCGAGGACGACGTCGACGCCCTGGTCGACGCGCAGGTCCATGCCGCTCAGGCGGGTGTCGAACCGGGTCGTGACGCTGCCGCGGCCCGACTTGGCGAGGCCGTCGACGTGGTCGAGGAGGTGGATGCCGAGCGCCGTGCGCGAGATGGAGCGGATGCACTCGCCCTCCTCCTCGTAGCGGCCATAGTCCTGCGCCTCCTTGTCGACGCGACTTTTGCCCTTGCCCTTTGCGATCTTGTGGAGCATGCGGCCGCGCATCTCGATGCCGTCTTCGAGGACGCGGTCGACGAGCTCGTCGCTGACGCTGCGCAGGGCCTCGATGCCGCGCGGCGAGAGGGCGAGGTTGATGGAGCGGGCGCGCTCGGCGTGGGTACCGAGGCGCGGGTCGGAGCGGCCCTCGAGGAGGGTGACGGTCCAGCCACGCGAGGCGAGCATGGCGGCGGCAAGGGTGCCGACGAGGCCGGCTCCGACGACGAGGGCGGTGCGCTCTTGGGCGTCAGCCATGGCGGGTCTGTGTGGGGGTACAGGTGAGCCTGATGTGGCACCCAGAGCTCTCAGTGAACAGGGGGCTCACCGATTGCGAGGGAAGCGTGGTCGGACTGATGAAGAACGAGATCAAGAGGTGGCCGGCGTTGAGGGGTGCGGGTGGCTGAGGGTACAGGCTGTGGCGGTTCTGGTGGGTGCAGCTGAGGTGCACGCAAGCTGCTCTAGTCGACAAGAGCTGTGGTCGAGGCGGTTGAGCGAGCTGGCTCGTCTCTCGGCTCTCGCCGCTCTCTCCTCAATCGCTCGCCCTCAACTGGCTCAGAACCGCTCCTGCAGCGAGCCGGCGTGCTACGCCGCTACGCCTGGTCACCCGCCGCACTGCCTCGCGCCGCCCGCAGGCCTCGTGACGGTCTTCTCCTCTCAGCCGTCCTCGCTTGGAGGAGCTCACCCTCGCTCGCGCGCTCAGCTTGGCAGATCCCTCCTCGCCGAACCTGTGCGGCCAGCCTTCGAGGCTTGGTCAAGCCGGCGCGCAGGCGAGGCGCCTCGGGCGTCCGCCACGGGCTCTCGCCTCTCTGTTCGCGCCGACTGCTGGCTTGCGCGAGGCTATGCTGGCTCTACGGTCGCTCCCGGGCACTCTCAGACGTCTCTTGACGTCAGAGCTCCACGCCGGGACAGCGCTTGCGCTCGCCGACCGGGCAGGCGTGGGCTGCAGCCGCCCTGTTCTCCCTCGCTTTGATTTGGGCATCTCGCAGTCTCTCTCTGTACTTCTCTGCGCTGCACTGAGAGCGTCACGGGAGAGGTTCGCTGCTCTGAGGGTACGGGTTGTCGCTCCAGGTCGACGAGTGGCCACAAGCGCGCTCTCAGGCGAGGACTGAGCGCGCACGCGCTCGGCGGTAGCGCAAGCTTGCTCGCTCTCGGCCTCTCGCGCCCTCGTCCGGCTGCCACAGACAACATCGTGCGTGCGCCAGAGTGCCTCTACAGCTTGCCCTCCCTCGCCATGTCCCTGATGACCTCGATCGCCTTCTCGACGCCCTCGCCCACCTTGTCATTGAGCTCCTCGGGACTGAGCTTGCGCGCCTCGTCGTCGGCGAGGTGCGGCAGCTTCGGGGCGAACGAGAAGGTGAGGAGGAGGTCGTGCGACGGCGGCGGGCCGTACGACACGAGGTTGGTGATGCGGATCGGGGGAGCGGGCGAGGGGGGCGACATTTCGAAGTAGGCCTGCGGGTGAGGCGAGGCGGGTTCAGCGCTGTAGATTGGGGGAGACAAGTCGTCGTCGAGAGGAACAGAGGCTCGGGCTGCAGAAGGGGAAGGAGGAAAGGGACGCACAATCGTCGGCGGGAAGAAGTGGACCTCTTCCTTGATTTCGGGCCCGTCGTTGAAGCGCACTATCCGCGTGACCTGCGTCCGTCGAGAAAGAGTCGTCAGTTCTAGCGGCCGTGCGCGTGCGCCCGCCGCGCCCTCGCCTGCTCCACCTCGGCGCCCCACCGCGAGACCCGACGCTCGAGAAAGAGAGAGAGGGGAGCGAGCGGGCGCACCTTGTCCTCGGTCTCCTCGACCACCCTGCACGCCGTGATGGCCGGCACAAACTGCTGCGGGTTGCGCGCCTTGATCCCGAGGCCGGCCCACAGCTGGTCGGCCGTGAGCGAGGGCGACGAGCCGGGTGGGTTGACGGGCCGCGTGGCGGCAAAGGCGGGCATGCTGAGGCGGTGCGGGTGGGTGGCCAAGTGCTGGTGGGCGAGTGAACGAGGGGCGCAGCGAGAGCGGGAGGTGTAGAGTGGCCAAGGAGCTCGTCCAACTGATGATGCCGTCGACCGCGCGCGGGGAAGGCGGGGGTTGACGGCGTCTCTCGCCGTTTAGCAGCTGCAGACACACGCGACGAGTTCTCTCACACGGCTCGCAGACAGAGAGCCGATGCACCGAGATCGAGGGAGAGAACAACGCCGCGTTGCAGAACCAACTCGACGCCCTCCTCGGCCCTCGTGAGAAAGGAAGACCAACCCGCGCAACCTCCAACCCGCAACCCAGACCGACACGATCCCAACCCTGCCGACGACGCAGCCTCGGACCCCACGGCGCCCGTCCTCCAACCTCGTCTCGACCGACAAAACCCCCGCCCGCCGCCGACTCACTCGCGCCTCCTCGACGTCCCGACCCGCCGTCCAACCGACCTCGTCCAACGCGTCCCGCACCAAGGAACTCGCCGCAGCGCCGCAAGGGAAAGCCGGCCCGGCCTCGTCGCTCGTCGACAAGGAGAAGGGAATGAGCACGCAGGGAGGCCGGCAACGGCGACGCGGTGGGTCGCGAGGTGGAGGACAAGGGGAAGGACGAAGAGGGAGGAAAGAGAGTCGAGACGAGGAGGCGAGAGCTGGTGACGAGTCGAGGAAGGAGGGAGAGCAGGTCGAGGGAGGGAAAGGAGGGGGGAAGGCGGGAGAGGGGAGAGGGGCGTGCGCGCGCCGACGAGGACGGAGCTCGTTGCGGCGACCGGGCGACGCGCTTAGAGGCGACGACCGCGGCGACCACCCTTGCGGCGGGTCGAGTCGGTCGGGACCGGGGTCACGTCCTCGATGCGGCCGATGCGCATGCCGGCGCGGGCGAGGGCACGGAGGGCCGACTGGGCGCCGGGGCCCGGGGTCTTGGTGCCGACACCGCCCGTGGCGCGGATCTTGATGTGGAGGGCCGTGATGCCGATCTCCTTGCAGCGGGTCGCGACGTCCTGGGCGGCGAGCATGGCCGCGTACGGCGACGACTCGTCACGGTCGGCCTTGACCTTCATGCCACCGGTGACACGGGCGATCGTCTCGCGGCCCGAAAGGTCGGTGACGTGGACGAACGTGTCGTTGAACGAGGCGAACTGTGGGCGGGTCGGGAGCGTGAGCGAGAGGTTCCTCCTGGTGCAACGCGGGCTTGCTCGAGGGTGCGCCTGGATGGCCGCCTCGGCTCGCTCGACTTGGGCGCAGAGCGCCGTGCGAGTGCTCTCGACGAGTGCGCAGCCTCGCACAGGTGCCGACTCGACAGAGGAGAGAGAGGTGGACGCACGATGCGGGCAACGCCGAACACGAGCTCGCCCTCCTTGACGTTGGGGCCGAGCGAGGTGACCTGTGGCGGTGAGGTGCGAGTGGGTAGGGCATGCAGGCGAGTCGGTGGTGGTTTGGTGAGGACGAGGGAGGGAGGGAGGAGGGAGAGGGTGAGCGAAAACGGCGACGAGGGGAGGAGAGGAGGGAAGGGTTGACGGACGGCGGCGTCGGCAGCGGGCTTCTGAACCTTGGGGGCCATGATCGTCTAGGACGGAGCTTGCGGTTGCTTAGAGCAGGGGCGGTGAGCTGGAGGAGAAGAGAGGAGAGGCGACGGCGCGCTCGTCCCCGCCGAGCTGCGACGATTCGAGCCAACAGCTCGTTGCTCTCCTCACCGCTGCCACGCCCTTCGTGTGCACCTAGCTCGCTCCTTTCTCCCACCACCTCACACCCACACCCAACCGCCATCATGGGTCGCAACAGGCGCAGCCGCACCCCGTCCAACCCGTGAGCTCGCTCTCCCTCGTGGGCGGTGCTCCCCTCCCCCTCCACTCAGGAGCACGCTCTGTGTCCGCCTGAGCATGCTCACACAACTGACCAACCCTTCCACGACCCACAGCAAGAAGAACCAGGCCACCGACATCAAGATGCGCCGGTACAAGCGCGACATGGACCAGATCCACGCCGACATGAAGGACCAGGGCGCATCTAAGTTCAAGGAGGACCTCGCCAAGAAGGACCTCGAGGACATCCCAGGTGCGCCCCCTTCGCTCTCCCTCGACCGCTCCCTCCTCCCTCGAGACTGACCTTCCCCCCCCGCCCTCCCCCACCTCGCGCGTCGCAGGCCTCGCCCAGCACACGTGCGTCGCGTGCTGCCGCTACTTTGCCGACGCCGTCTCGCTCGAGACCCACCTCCGCGGCAAGCCCCACAAGCGCCGCCTCAAGAAGCTCGCCGAGGAGCCCTACACGATCGAGGAGAGCCGCCGCGCCGTCGGCCTCGGCGTCGACAAGGGCGAGTACGGCCGCAAGAAGGAGCAGGAGCTCAAGGACGAGGCCGAGCGCGTCAAGGCGGGCGCGCCAGAGGCGACCATGGAGGCGTGAACGGCGCCGTCCTCGTCCTCGTCGAGGTCCTGTGCTCCCGGATTCGCGCCGGCGTGGCGGCGCTCTTCCCGGCCCGCCTGTCGTGCGACTCACACTCGACGACGACTGTCGACGAACGACCTCAGCAGAAGCGCTCGTCGGCGGCAACGTCGGACCCGGACCTCCTCCCCTCCTTCCCCTTCCCTTCTCCCTCTCCCGTCCACCATCGCGCCGACAGCCCTTTCCTGCGCCCGCCTTCACACGACTAGACCTCCGTCATCCTTGCGCCTGTTGTACTCGTCACGGTTGTCCCCAGCTGGTTGTCCTCGAGCCTCTCCCTCTTGTACGAGCTTGTGCAACAGCGTCTCTCGCCTCTTTCCGAGTCTCTCTTTCCGTCGCGATACAGAGTTTAGAGCGAGAGTCGACTCTGAAGAGCGAGAGCAGGCGGTGTCGAGGATTTACTCAGTCAGGCGGACTTAGCGAGGGCGCGGCCGGACCGAGGGTCGACAGAGATCGCGGCGGCGGCGGCGGCGAGACGAGCCGACAGCTGCGCTCCCTCTTCCCTCTCTCCTCACTCTACTTCTCTACTTGCCACCATGTCCAAGCACCTCCGCGAGACTTTCGCCGCCAAGGAGGAGCAGGTGCGCCCCTTCTCACTTCCCCCTCGTCCTCTGCGCCGTCGCTCACCGTCATCATCGTCCTCCTCCTCTTCCCCATCCTCGCCCGCTCCCCGCTCGACTCGACCCTCGCCTGCCGCCGTACCGTCCCCTGGCCTCGCCCCGCCAACCCGCCGCACCACTCGCAGAACTCGCCCGCGTTCGTCACCTTTTTGACGGCGGGCTTCCCCTCGGTCGATGCCACCGTCCCGCTCATGCTCGCCATGGAGCGTGGCGGCTCCGACATCATCGAGCTCGGCGTCCCCTTTACCGACCCGCTCGCCGACGGCAAGGCCATCCAGGAGTGCAACAACGTCCGTCCTCCTCTCCCCCTCCCTCTCGCTCGATAGGGCACTCGCTGATCGTGTGCCCCTGTACCACCTCGCAGGTTGCGCTCGCCCAGGGCGTCGACTACAACAAGTGCCTCGAGTTTGTCAAGGAGGCGCGCTCGCAGGGCCTCAAGACGCCGGTCATCCTCATGGGTCCGTCCTCCCTCGTCCTCCTTCTCCTCGTCGCTCTCACAGTCCCTGAATCTTTCCTCTCCCACCCCTGCGCAGGCTACTTCAACCCGCTCTTGGCACACGGCGAGGAGCGCGCGGTGCGCGACGCCAAGGAGGCCGGCGCCAACGGCTTCATCATCGTCGACCTGCCGCCCGAGGAGGCCGTCGAGTTCCGCAAGATCTGCACGCGCGAGGAGTGCGTCCCTCCTCTTTCTCTCCCTGTCGGTCGGGTTCGAGAGAGATACAGAACCGCGCACTGACCCTCGAACGCCTGCAGGGTGTCGTACGTTCCCCTGATCGCGCCCTCGACCTCGACCGAGCGCATCAAGTTCCTCGCGTCGATCGCCGACTCGTTCATCTACGTCGTGAGCAAGATGGGCACGACGGGCGCGTCGGACAAGGTGTCGTCGTCGCTGTCGGGCATGCTCGACCAGATCCGGTCGCTCCTCCCGCACGAGATCCCGCTCGCGGTCGGGTTCGGCGTCGCGACGCAGGAGCACTTTGAGGAGGTCGGGCGCGTCGCCGACGGCGTCGTCATCGGGTCGCAGCTCGTCCAGGTCATCAAGGACTCGGTCACGCTCGGCCCGGCCGCGGCCGCGAGTGCCGTCGAGGCGTACTGCCAGCGCGTGTCGGGCAACCGGGCGCGGTCGGCGCCGCTCCCCAAGCGGGTCGTGAGCGACGCCGACAAGGTCAAGGAGGTCGAGAACGTGCAGGAAAAGGTCGGCAAGGCGGCCCGGTTCGGCGACTTTGGCGGCGCGTACGTGCCCGAGGCGCTGTACGACGCGCTCGAGGAGTTGACGACGGCGTACGCCGACGCACGGGCCGACCCCGAGTTCTGGAAGGAGTGGGAGGCCGAGTTCGGCTACATGAACCGCCCGAGCCAGCTGTACGAGGCCAAGCGCATGACCGAGCACTGCGGCGGCGCGCGCATCTGGTTCAAGCGCGAGGACCTCAACCACACGGGCTCTCACAAGGTGCGTCCTCCTTTCTCTCTCTCTCTTTGCCCTCGAGCGCCGTCACTGACTCTCTCTCTTCCCTCGTCCTCGTCACCTCCTCCTTTCTCTTGCCCTCTCGCCTTCTCCTTCCTCCGTCCCGCCAGATCAACAACGCGATTGGCCAGATCCTCCTCGCTCGCCGCATCGGCAAGACCCGCATCATTGCCGAGACGGGCGCCGGCCAGCACGGCGTCGCGACGGCGACCGTCTGCGCCAAGTTCGGCCTCGAGTGCATCGTCTACATGGGCGAGGAGGACGTGCGCCGCCAGGCGCTCAACGTGTTCCGCATGCGCATGCTCGGCGCCAAGGTCGTCGCCGTCGCGAGCGGCACCAAGACGCTCAAGGACGCCATCAGTGCGTCGTGCTCGAGCCCCTCATCTCCTCTCGCGAGCAGCGCCTGACCCAGCTTCTCCCCCTTTGCTGCAGACGAGGCCATGCGCGACTGGGTCACCAACCTCACCAACACGCACTACCTTGTCGGGTCCGCCATCGGCCCTGCGCCGTTCCCGACCATCGTGCGCGACTTTCAGAGCGTGATCGGCACCGAGATCAAGACGCAGCTGTACGGCCTCACGGGCAAGCTTCCCGACGCCGTCATCGCGTGCGTCGGCGGCGGCAGCAACGCGATCGGCACCTTCCACCCGTTCATCAACGACAAGTCGGTGCGCATCGTCGGCGTCGAGGCGGCGGGCGAGGGTGCGTCCCCTGTCTCTCACTCTCTCTTTCCAAAGTCCCTCGTTCCTGACCCTCGTCGCTCTCTCTGCAGGCGTCGACACGGAGCATCACTCGGCGACCATCTCGCGCGGCACCAAGGGCGTCTTCCACGGCGTGCGCACCTACATCCTGCAGTCGGCCGTCGGCCAGATCATGGGCACGCACTCGATCTCGGCCGGGCTCGACTACCCGGGCGTCGGCCCCGAGCACGCGTGGCTGCACGAGACCAAGCGCGGCGAGTACACGTCTGCGACCGACGAGGAGGCGCTGCGCGGGTTCCGCGCGTGCACCCAGATGGAGGGCATCATCCCGGCGCTCGAGACGAGCCACGCCGTGTGGGCCACGATGAAGCTCGCCAAGACGCTCCCCAAAGAGGCCAACATCGTCATGGTGCGTCCTGACTCTCGCTCCCTCCCTCTCTCTCTCTCTCCCTCTCTCCCTCTCTACCTCCCTCCCTAACTGACCCTCGTCCACCTTACGCAGACTCTCTCTGGTCGCGGCGACAAGGATGTGCAAGAGATCTCGGAGATCCTGCCGGGCAAGTGGGCCGACAAGCTCGACTGGCGTGCGTCCTCCTCTCCCTGTCCCTCCTTTGTGGTCCGAGTCCGAGCCTGACACCTTCTCCCTCGTGTCGCAGACGTCGACGGCAACGCCAACGTTGTCAAGGGCTGAGCGTCGCACGCCGCCTCGTTCCTCCTCACGACTTGGTAGAGCCTCTCTTTTGTCTTCCTTCCTCTCGAACGCTGCGGTGCAGTACTTGCCGCGGCGGCACCTGTAACATTGCGCACCCTTGTCTATGCTCGTCGTCGTCGTCGTCGTCGAGAGAGTGTGAGCGCTCGAGCCGCTCTGGCTGCTGTCCGAGGCCACGGACTTTCCGGCTCGGTCCTGGGCCCGCTCGTGGCTCTTCTCCCTCTCCCTCTCTCGCATCTCTCGCTGTGAATGCCCTTGTCGTCTCTCGCTGCGCCAGAGGTGGACCCGGCCCTCGTCAGCTCAATTCTCGCCGTCGTCAAGCCCGTCTCGTCTCGCTTCGCCATCGCCTCTACTTCCTCCTCGACAACTGCCCCCAGTGTCCAGTTCACGACGGTCACCATTCTCGAGGTGATCTACCTTGCGCCTGCCACGAGCGAGGCGTCGCCCACTGCGGCCAAGGGCTCGGTCGCAGCTCCCGACGCGAGCAACCTCGCCTCGATCGCGACCGACTCGTACGACGGCCTCAGCTTCGTCCAGCTCGGTGCGTCTCTCGTCTTCTCTGTCTCTCTGGTGGCGAGGTCGAGAGCGGAACCTGACCCATTCGTGCCCGCACAGGCGCCGCCTTCTCGACCGTTTTCGTCGTCGTACTCGTCATCTCCTGTTTCGCCGCCTTCTTTCTCCGCCAGGCGGGGCAGATGCGCCGTCTCATGGAGGTCACCGACGAGGAGGAGCTGAGCGATGTCGGCCTGGGCGATGGCGGGACGAGGGCGGGTGAGCGCGCCAGCCGCGGCGGTACGAGGGGCGAGCGGCGAGGATTAATCCGTGCGTCGTCGTCTCTCCCATTCCTCCAGCCGTGTGGCCGTTCCAGCTCCGTCGACGAGTACTGACGATGCCCACTCGCGTCCTGCAGCAACTCGTGGGCGGGCCAGGAGCGACCGCCGCGACTTGACAAGCGATTCGAGCGACGGCGACGAGGATGTCAAGCTGTAACTTTGCCTGGACGCTTCGGCTCTTCCTCTCGTTCCCTCTCAAGCTTTCGCAGTGGTCAAAGGCGACAGGAAAGGCGAGACTGATCGAGAGGAGCGTGAGCGAAAGACGAGAGACGCTCGGCGATTCGGCCTTCTCAAGTGCGCGGACACTCCGCGCTCACTCCTCGTCCGCGCACGGGCGTGCTCTTGCGCTTGCCGAGCTCTGCCGGCTCGAGTCGTCCTCTCTGCTTCCCTCCTTCTGCGCCCACACCATGAAGCGGCGACGCACGCGGACTGTGCTGCCGCTCGCGCTGCTCTGCCTCGCATGGCTGCCTTTCGCCTGCGCAGCGCCAGACGTCGCCGAGGACGCTCCAGCGACGTCGCTCGAGAACATGCCGACGCTCACGTCGAGCAGCACGGCCGACGAGGTGCAGACGATCCCGGCGCAGATGGGCGCAGGAATGCGAGGGGCCCAAGCGTACCAGGAGCAGCAGTCGTTCACGTCGTCGCTCGAGAGCGCGCTCAAGAGCGTCGAGGCGACCCTGACGGCTGCTGCTCCGTGGGCGACGAGCACGACGGGCATGCAGCCGTACAAGGACGAGGAGGACACGGTCGTCGTGCACAGCGACGGCGGCATCACGTCCGTCCTCTCTCTCGCTCCCTCTTCCCTCCCACCAGCGCCGAGCGACAACTGACTTTTGCCCGGCGACACAGGTACGCCTGTCCAAACAAGGGCGACGAGTGGGTCGTCGAGGACCTCACCGACTCGCTCTCGGCGCACACGGCGACCGGCGCCGGCTGCTACATGAGCTACTCGTTCAAGGGCGAGTCGTCCCTCTCGCCTCCTCTCTCCCTCTCTGTTCCTCTCTGACGATCCTCCCACCCACAGGCGACGGCATGCAGATCTGTGCGTCGTCTCGCCTTCTGTCTCCGGAAGAGGTCCGTGCGAGCTGACCTTCTCACTCGAGCAGACGGCGCGAGCGGGACCGACGGCGGCGTCTTTGGCTGCTCGTGCGTCCCTCTGTCTCTTCTCTCGTCTGTCGTTGTCGAGGAGGACGCCAGTGTTCGCAGCGGCGGTCTGTGCGGGCGAGCGTACTGACCTTCCTTGCGCAAGGGCTTTTTGCACGCAGGGTCAGCGCGAGCAACCGCAACTACACCGGGTGGTGGAACGCGTACGGAGCGAGCAACACGTACAAGCCGTTCCAGGGCTCGTGCGCGATGCAGGGCCTCGGCTGGGACGACCACACGGTCCAGCTTGTCAACTCGCCTTGTGCGTCGACCTTTTCCATCTCTTCAATGCGCCACTTTCCGCCCTCGTCTCGTCCAAGCCCTGACTCTCTTGACCTGCAGATCAACCCGGCAAGATCTGGTTCACCGGTGCGTCCTCTTCTGGAAAAGACTCTCCTCGGCGGCCTTCTTAAGTCGCTTCTCCTCCTCGCCTGCAGGCCTTCGCTACTCGACCAACAAGACCGAGATCCCATGGGAGACGCACTCGTGGGACGCGTGCTGCGCCGGCTACACGTTCCCGGACGGCGTCGCGACGACCGTCGAGAGCAAGCCGACCGCGACGGGCTCGAGCGGGTCGACGCTCGCCGGCATGAGCTCGGGGACGGCTCTCTTCGTCGTGTACGTCCTCGCCTCCTTCCTCCTCATTCCCTTCTATCCTGACGAGCCGACGTCGCAGCTGCGGGCTCGGTGCCGTAGTCGTTCTCGCCTCCTTACTCGTCGCGTGCGTCGTCATATTTCGGGAACCGCCTCACGGCCTCTCACGTTCTCTCGTGGCCCTGACCTATGACATACACAGAATGATGTGCTGCAAAAAGCGTCCCGCCGCCGACGACGCCGGGCCCAAGAACGCTCTGCGAAAAGCGCTCGACAGCGACTCGGACGATTCGGGTGCGCCGACTTCCTCATTTCTTCCTCTCTCTCCCTCTCTCTTTTCCGAGGTCGAGCTCGAGCGTCAATCCTGACTCTGGCTCGTGCGCGCAGAAGAGTCGCAGCCTCTGCACGGCAAGAATCGCAGCCTCGGGCGGCGACGGCGCCACAGCGACGACGAGTCGCGCACGAGTGGGACGAGCAGCAGTCAGAGCGGCAGCGGGAGCGAGGACATGGGCGAGAAGAAGAGGAGGAGGAAGAGGAAGCGGCACGGCGGGTAGCGCTGGACTCGGGCGAGCGGGCGACGACGGCGAGAGTGAGGGACAAAGAGTCGTTGCTGCTGTAAAACTATCACGTATGAACACTGCCCTGTCGCCATCGCTGTACATCGTCCTCGAGCCGTCTATGCGTCGCTGTCGTGGTCGGAGCTCGTCCGCCGCGAGTCGGGTCCGTGAAAGTGCTCGTCGAGCAGACCTTGCGCCTCCTCGTCTCGGCCGTGCTGCCCTCGGTGCGTGTCGAGGCCGTAGAGGAGGTAGTTCTCGCCAACGAGCGACTTGGCGACGAACTGCAGACGGCCCAAGTAGTGTCAGGAGAGGCGAAAAGAGAGGGAAAGAGAGAGAGAGAGAGAGAGCGTGGGCGCACCATGAGCCGGTCGAGGCGGTTGACGACGGCGTACGCCTGCGACACGCCGGCCGAGAAGCGCAGGTAGTCGAGCGAGCAGATCGTCTCGAGGTTGACGTGTTTGGGCAGCCCTTCTGCGACCTCATCGTCGCCGAGCGTGACCTCGTAGCCGTACACGTGCCCGGACGCGAGAACCTCGGGCGACTTGAGGAAGCGCTCGAGGAGCGGGTTGTAGATCCAAGGAAGGGGCGTGCCGTGATCTGTGTGCGGGGCGAGAGCGTCAATAGCTGAACCCGGGCGAGAAAGAGAGAGGAAGGGGCGCGAGCGCACCGAGAGCGCTCGAGATGAGGTACAGCGTCGTGAGGACGTCCTGCAGGAAGCGCGGGTTGGCGAACTGGGTGCGGTGCAGGAGCGCCTTGGTCCACTTCGAGTCGAGCTTGGCGAGGACGGCGCAGAACTGGCCAAGCTGGTCGAGCATTTCCCTGCGCAAACGAGGAGGGTGAGCGGCCTGTGCGAGCCAGAGGGCACAGCCAAAGAGCCGGGACGTACATCTGCAGAGCTTGAAGAGAGGCATCTGCAGCAAAAGGAGGGTCAGTCCGAGGAAAAGAGGTCGAGGAGGAGGGAGGACGAGGAGAGGTGGGACGCACACAGGTCCGAGGGCCAGTCGCCCTGCAGGCTCAGCTCGTACCGAGCCATAGCTCGAGCTTGTACCGTGCGGTTGACGCGCATGCGCAAGGCGGCGAGGTTCTTGACGATGTTCTTGGGCGTCTTGGTCGGGCCGTCCTTGCAGTTGGCGTACGACAGGATCTGGCACAGGACGTCGCCCATGCGGCCAATGACCTTGGCGTAGGCGAGGCGGATCGTGACCTTCTGGCGAGTCGAGGGCGGCACGAGCGCCCACACGAACGCGATCGAGATCCCGATGAAGACGCACACGAGCCGCTTCCAGGCAACGTCCCACCTGCGACGGGCGCAGAGCACTAGGTCGAGTCGCTCGACGACTCGAGAGGTAAGGGAGTGAGACGCACCCGTAACCGACGCTCGACAGAGAAGGGTTGTGCGCGTCTTGCCACCTGCTCGAGGGAGGAGGGTCGGTGACGGCGCGACTTGGGAAGGCAGAGAGGCTCGAGGGACGTACGAGTAGCCGATGACGAGCATTGCCGTGACGGAAGGAAGGATGGCAGTCATGACGGGCTGCATGTGGACGCGGTAGAAGAAGATGAACGGCCAGGCGACCGCACAGACCGCGCCGACTGCGACAGGGTGACCTGTGCCGGTCTGCGCCGCGATCGACCAGAGGGCAAGGCCGACTGCTGCGCCGGCGACGGTACCGAAAACCCTGACGAGGTAGCCGAACGCGACGTCGCTGTGGAGGGAAGGCGAGGGTGAGCTTCTGTCCCGGCAGAAGGGAGAGTACGAGCGCGAGACGGACCCGAGGAACTGGTTGCTGGTGAGGGTGATCATGACGAGGACCCAGACGCCTCGGTTCTTCTGGAAGAAGTAAGACGTGCTCGGGAACTGTGGGCGAGAGAGGAGGGAAAGGTCAGATTCGTCTCGAGAGGCGAGACGAGAAGAGGCGGACGAGGCGGGACGCACCATGGCCGGCAGCGAGCAGAGACCGAGCAGAACGGCGCTCTTGATGCCGAACAGGACGTCTCGCCGGCTGAGGAGGTCGAAGAAGCCCGTGACCTTGACGCCGACGTACTGAACGAGGCTCTTGGGCGGCGCGCTGTCCGGGTTTCGAGGCGCCGAGAAGGCCGACGTGTTGAGGTCGCGCAGCTCTTGCGGGTCCTGTGAAGGAAGAGTGTATGTCAGGGACGGTCGGGGATGGCAAAAAGGGCGGGCAAGAGGACGAGGAGGAGGGCCCAAACTCACGTCCTCGTCGTACTCGTCCGTCCCGGTCGCCCGCGTGAACCGAGCTTTGCGCCAGTTGGGCCACCAGATCCTGCAGACGGGACGAGGGAAAGATCAGGGCCCAGGCCGAGAGAGGCTCGAGAAGGAGAGGGCCGAGGGCAGAGGACGCACTTGGGCCGCCGCCGCTTTGTCTCGACCTTGAGCACCGTCTCGAACAGGTCGACGAGCGCCTCGCCCCACCCGAGGAGCGCATGCTGGTACTGGAACGCCCAGAACAGGCCCCGGTGGCTCGGCTGCGTCTTCATCTCGTCGGCGCCGACCTCGCCGCGCACCTCGGCGCCGAAAGGGTCGAACAGGCGGGCGAACGGGCGCACGACCTCGAGGCGCTTGTCGTCACGGTACAGGGCGAGGGCCGCCTTGAGCTTGTCGAGCTGGGCGCGCGACACCTTGACGAGCTTCTCGACCTCGTCGTCGTTGTACCGAACGAGCGCGCGCCACGTGTCGTCGAGCGACTTGAAGCGGTGGATGACCGTGACGAGGTGCGAGACCGACTCGTCGAGAGCGCCCAGGAGGTCGCCGCTCGCCTTGGACAGGAGGCCCATGAGCTCCTCGAGATGCTCCTCGTCGCGCCTGTGGATGTTGAGGGTCAGGTGGCCCGGACAAGTATTTCGAGCTCGTCGAGAGAGAGGACGCACGGGTTGTGAAGGTAGTCCTCGAGGTCGGCGTAGGTCTGCGGCGGTGGAAAGGTCAGGCTCTGCGGTCGACGGACACAGAGAGCGAGGGGGACGCACCATGGACTCGACGACGCCGACCGGCTTGACGTCGAGATGAGGATGCAGGACGTCGTGCAGCAGACTCGGAAGCGAGATGTGGCTGCTCGAGTTTTTGCCGTGACCATGACCGTGACCGTGCGGGCTCGACCGGTTTCGAGAACGTGACCGGTGGCGCTTCTCCCTCGGGAACCGCGTGTAGTGCCCTTGAGCATGGTGCGAGTGCGACTCGGCGTCGTGATGATGATGATGATGAGGTTGTCGAGAAGCTGCGTCGTGCTCGTCTCGGTCGCGGCTCGAGGAGGAAGTGAGCTCGGCGAGGTCGACGAGCGAGGTCGACGACTCGTCGCGCGTGCGCATGCCCGGCGACGACTGAGCGCGCCCGATGCGCGGTGGATGAAGCGGTGCGGCGTCGTGCGCAGGCGAGAGAGGCGACGACGGGTACGCCGGGCTCGACGACGCGCCGTTTCCTCGGGGCGAGCCCGGCTCGCGCTCATGGCGGATCCGGCTCAGCGCCTCGCCAAGGGCAGCAGGATCGGCGGCAGAAGGCGCCTCGCGGCGACCGCGAGTCGGCGACGACGGGCGAGTCGAGCCCGGCGTGTGGTCGGGCGAGTTGGCCCGCGAGCGGCCCATGTGCAGGACGAGGTCGTCCGCCGCCGGCCCGCCCTTGGCGTCCGACTCCTCGCGGTGCAGGTGCTTCTCGACGACGGCATGGAAGAAGGCGAACCCGCTCGTGCGCGCGACGAGGATGCGCAGGTTCTGCAGCATGGCCGACAGGTCCCGGCCGCTCACACGGGCGAAGCTGATCTCGCGGCTCAGGTTGGCCTCGGACGCCGTCATGAGGCCGACGATGCCGTTGGCGGCGTTGGCGTTGGCCTGGATCGACTTGAACTGAAGCCACTCGGACGAGCGCGGGTTGGCGGCGAGCATGCGCGACTGGTCCTTGACGACGGCGTGCATCGGGCCGAGGACAGCGATCAGGCGGTCGGAGAACTGGTGGGCGAGGGTCTCGGGGAAGACAAGGAAGGTGGCGGCGAGGGTGATGGCCTGCTGGCACGCGAACGGGATGAAGAAGACGAGCTGCAGGGCAAGAACGATTCAGTTCGAGTCCTCGACGGACGAGCCGGCCGAGGAGAGTAGACTCACGCCGATCGAGTAGTATGGATAAGGGAAGAGGACCGCCAAGGTAAGGCAGACGATCTGCAGGTCGAAAAGTTAGCCACGTGGCGGTGCCGCCCGATGAGCGACGTGAGGACGCACCAAGAGGATCATGGCAAAGATGGTGCCAAAGATGACGGGACCGGGTCCAACATAGCCACGTAGCCAAAGCTGTGGAGGAGAGACGGTCAGTACGGCACTCGGTGGAAGAGGAAGAGAGAGGGAAAAGGTGGACGCACGAAGAAGCCGCAGCCGACGCCGAGGAAGATCGCGCAGACGGCCGACGCTCCAGGCTCGATGAAATCGCCGTGATAGATGCCTGGAGGATGAACGGAATGTCAGGGCCGAGGGCGTGGAGGAGAGGAAGAGGACGAGGTCGGCTCGACGAGGGCGGGACGCACCTTCTTGAATGGCAGTCTGCACCTGCGCAGCTGTCATGCCTGCTTGAGCATACCGCTGGACGGCGTAGGTCTGGAAGTCGGCTTGGCTGAAGCTCCAGGTCGTGCGCGAGGCGTGCGCGATGGCGACTGCGTGAGGGCGAGGCGGCATCGTCAGGGCCGACCGGGACGAGACTGTGACAGGGATAGAGGGGACGCACTAGCGATGCAGGCCCAGGCCCAACTGACAGCGACGAGGAGGAACTGGAAGAAGGTCGTCTCGAGCTGAGCAGCGATTGGCGAGGCGGCCGGCGAGATGACCGAGACGACGAGGACGAGGAAGGCCGCCCGGCCGAGCATGTTGAGGCCCGACGTGCAGAGCACTGTGCAAGGCAAAGGTGTCAGAGGTACTCGCACGGCGAATGCGCGAGAGAGCGAGGGGGAGGGACGCACTGAGGAGGAGCCCGCACCAGGACGCGACGCTCGCCCGGATGACGGGCCGGAAGCCCTTCCAGTTGAGGTGCGGCTTGATCCACACAAGAAACCCAGGAAGGGGCGGCAGCTTGCGCTTGAGGGCGGGCGGCGTCGTCTCGGCCGGTTGAGCGAACTCGGGGCGGTCAAAGCCCTTGCCCTCGACCTCGTCCTTCTGCGGCGGGGCCGCCGCCTTGTCGTCCGACGACTCGCCGTGCCGGGGCGACGTCGTGTCGCTCGACGCTCGTCGTGGCGCTGGCGGGTAGCCCGCTGCCCGTCCCTCCTGCTCGCCGCCCTCGTCGTCCTCTCGCCCGCCCTCCTCGACCGACGCTCCTCGGCCGATCGTCACCAGATCTGGCCCCGCCGCAAAGCCGACGTGCTTCTCCTCCCGATCGAGGTCCCTCGTCTCAGCCGGCGAGTCCTCCCTCGACGACGGCGCCTGCTGCCCCGCATCCTCGACGACGATGGCCGGCACGCGCGGCCGAGGCCGCTCGCGCTCGTGCGGGCGGTCCTGGTCGTGCTCTGGCTCCGATTCGCTCGGGTCCTCCGAGTCGTCGAGCGTGAATCGCGGTCTGCGGGTTGCTGAGGCGGCGGGGGGCATGCGATCGAGTTGCGAGCGATGAGGGGCGAGGTTGAGCGAGGATGGGCCGACAGGGGCGATGCGTGGGGCGATAGGGGTGCTGAGAGTCGTCGTAGACTGCTCGCCAGCGTGTGGCTCCAGCAGGGAGCGTGTAGAGGACGAGGGAGGCTGCTGAAGCCTCGCCGGCCGAACTTGGGCTCGACTCGTCGTTCAAGCCGACGCTTGCACCGCCTCGCTCTCTCGCTCTCTTTCACAAACCGAGAGCAGGCTGGAAAGTCGTAAAGTGCACACAGTGAACTGTCTGCAACGGGAAGCCTGCGCGCCGTCAACGTCCTCCTGCGCTCCCAGGCCCTGCTGCGCCCGGACCCTGCTGCTGCTGCGAGTGCCACGCCGCCCACGCCGCCTGCTGCTCGTCGGCCTGCTGGTGCTGCGGCGCGGGAGGCGCACCCTGCTGCGCGTAGTAGGGGCCGGCCACCGGCTGTGCGGCGCCGGGAGGCGCGCCGTGCTGGTGCGGCGAGCCCGGGTGCGGCTGCGGCTGCGTGTGCTGCACGGGCGGCGGCGACGTCGCGCTCGCGCCGTAAGGCGCCCTGACGTACGCGTGAGCGTGTCCTGCGCCGACGGGAGGCGGCGAGCCGGCGCCGACCGACAGCTGCGCCATGTGCTCGGCGAGCGGGTAGCCCTGCTGCTGCTGCTGCTGCCCGTGCGCAGGCGGCGGCGGCGACGCCGCGCGGTCAGGGCCGTAGGGCTGCGTCTGCGACGGGTAGCCCTGGGCCGGGGCGGGCGACAGCGCGGGCGCAGGCGCGCCCTCGTGAGGAGGAGGCGGCGCGGCCGCCTGCGCAGGCCAGACCCACGCGCCCGTCTGCGCGTCCCACACCGGCTGCGGCGCCTGCTGCGCCTGCTGCGACTGCTGCGGCTCCGCCTGACGGTGCGCGTGCTGCTGCGCGTCCGGGCGCTGGTGCTCGCCCGAGTGCGCAGGTCCCGCCGCCGCCGGCGCGGGCGAGCCGGCCGCCTGGAGCGCCGCGACCTGGGCGTTGTACTCGGCGAGCTTCTGCTGGTACTCGGCCATCTGGCGCTCGTACTCGCGCTGCGCCTCGTCCTCGGCGCTGACGGGCGGCGGCGCCTGCTGGTACTGCGGCTGCTGCTGGTGCTGAGGCGGCGGCTGGTGCTGCTGAGCGAGGGGAGGGACGGCGTGGGGAGGTTGCTGAGGGTGGTAGGACGAGGGAGGCTGGTGGTAGGGCGAGGCGCTGTGCGTGGCGCCAGGGTGGCCGTAAGGGTCGGCGGACGGGTGGGGCTGCTGCTGCTGGTACGACGAGGCGAAGCCGTTCTGCTGAGCGTAGCCGTGCGAGGCTGCGGGAGCATCTTGATGAGCACGCATGCGACAAAGAGAGGCAGGGAGAGAGAGAGAGAGGAGGGCGCACCGTGCATGCCCGCCATCTGCTCGTATGTCGCCCGAGCCCGATCTACCTTCTCGTGCATGGCCTGCAGGTCGGCTGTCGGGACAAAAGAGAGGTGAGCTCACGTCCTGTCAAGTGACGGCAAGCTCGGCGAGGTAGGGAGAGGAGGACGCACCCTGCTTCTGCTCGTACTTGCGGATCAGCTGGACGACCTTGGGCCGCAGCGCCATGCTCGAGTTGTACAGGTCCTGCGGGGAGCACGGGGTCAGTGGACGCTCTGCTCGACAGCCGAGAGAAAGAGAGGAGCGCAGGACGGACCGTGAGCTCCTCGTTGTCGGCAAAGTCCTCGCCCCTCGCGCGCAACTGGTGCATGAGCGCGAGCAACTTGTCGACCGCCGCCGCCTGCGCCAAGATCTCGGCTTCGGCTGCGTCCGGGTTGGGCGCCGTTGCCGCCGAGGCAGCGCCGTGCGAGGCGCCGCCAGCCGGGGAAAAGTCCTCGGGGAGCTCCTCCTGCGCGACAAGGACGTGAGCAACCCGCCCGACCGGACAAGAGAGAAATGGAGGACGCACGATGTAGTTGGTGGGAAAGATGCCCGTCCTGCCGCGAAGCTCGCCCCGCCACCACTCCTCGCTGACCTTCTCGAGGACCCGGATCGTGTCGCCGCGCCTGAACGGCAACTCGTCGCTCGACTCGCCCTCAAAGTCGTACAGGCCGCGCACAAAGCTCGGGCCCCAGTTCGAGGCGGACGGGCGAGCGGTGGAAGGTGCGGGTGAGGGCGAGCGTGCTCGGGCGGACGAGGACGAGGGCTGGTAGTTGCGGCGAGGGTCGGCGAGGGCGGCCGACTCGGCGAGGGCGCGCTGCAGCTCTTCTTCCTCGCGACGAAGAAGGTCGTCCGAGGGGCCTTTGGGCGTCGGCGGGCGCTCGGGATGAAAGTTGTGCCCTGCGAGAGGCGAGGGTGCAGGCGAGTCAGGGCCGCTTCAGGAGGTCCAAGCAGGCAAGAGGGCGCACCTTGACGCTTGAGCGACTCGTACGTCTCGACGAGGAGGTCGAAGTCGGTGTTGTTCGGGTGCTCCTTGACCCACGTCTCGATCTGCTTGAGCGCCTCCTTCTTGACCGTGTCGTGCGTCGTCTGGAGACGAGGAAGAACAGTCAGGTCTGCTCGCCTCCCCAAGCCCGCAAGAGGTGGAAGTGGAAGCTCACGCGGTCATTGACGAGTCGCACGAGGGCCTGGGTGAACGCCTTGCCGCTGATCTCGCGGTGGAGCGAGCCGCTGCAGTTGTTGACGAGCGCGCCAGCGAGCTGGGGGAGGGGAGGAGGAAGAAGATGGTCAGCTCTGATCGCCCTCCTGCCGGTACGGGATCGACTGCAGGACGGGAGAATCGGGCGCACCGTCAACGAGAAGAGCTGAACGTTGGCACTGCGGTGCGTGAAGCGCTTCTGGATGGCGGCGACGCAGTTGCGGGCGCTGTAGACGGGGCAGGACGAGTCATTGGTCATGTCAAGTGCCACCGAGTCGACACACACGCCAGTACGCAGGCTCGGCGGGAGGGAGGGGGGAGAGAGAGGCGGTGCACGCACCCGGTCTCGCCGTCGTCGTTGACCTTGTCGCACACGTTGAGGGCGACCTCCCAGTTGATCTCGGTCTGCTTTTCGTCGGTCGCCTTGGCTGCGCGCAGGCGAGAGTGGCGACGAGGTGAGCTGTGGTTCGTCGACGTTGGCCGAGGAGGGGGAGGCGTGGGAGCGGGCTCACCGACGACCTCGTCGTACGGGTTGGCTGGTCGACCGAACATGGCGAGTAGGCGCGTGTCCCCGAGTGTGGCCCTGGGCGGTACTGAGGTCGAGGGGAGGAGGAGCGACGAGCTCGTGGAGGTGGGGGAGGGTGACGAGCCGGCGAGGACGGGTGCAGACAGGGGGCTCGAGGTGGGCTGACGGGCGGTGCGAGGCTGCAGCGTGTGCTAGTCTAGCTGTGCGAGCTGGTAGTACGCAGCGGTGGGCGGTGCACGAGCGACGAGCTCCTCCTCTCCTCCTCCTCCTCGTCATCTCCTCTCGCGTGAACACCGCTCTCGCCTCGCTCGGCGGCTGAGCGACTCGCGCGACGCTACCTCGGGGTGCTCTCGGACCGCTCCGAGCCTCGAGCCGCATCCCGGCGGTCGACCTCGCTGGCCCCGCTTCCAGCGACCCGCCATCTCGCCCCGATCCCTCGTCCTCGTCGTCTCGTCACGGCGGTCCAGCTCTTCTCTCGGACACGCCCACGTGGAGCCTGCCACGGTGCAGATCCCCCAGCGATCCGGCCTGCGGGTCCACGGAGCCGTGCGAGCTGCCGTACGTCCGCTGCTGCTCGCCTCCTTCGACTTCCTCTTCAAGCCCCTGCCGACATCTTCTCGTCCGACCCACCCGTCCGAGCCTAATACCGACGACGCCTCGGCCCGCCATGCGCCCCTCCATCGCCTCGTCGACTTAATGCACGGTGCGCAAGCCCCTAAGCACGATCGCCTGCCGCCTGTCGGCGTCGCCTGGCGGTCTAGGTTGTCTCTGGAGCACGATCTGGCGTGCAAGATGCGAGCCTCGGCGGCCGACCGACGCGTTCGGCGCCCGTTGAGGCTACAGAGCACGGAACGCCGCTCAAGAGAGCGCTCGTCGCGGACCCCGTCCCCTCGTCCCGACTCTTCGCGCTCTCTCTCTCGCTTCATACCACGCATCCAGCTCCCGCGCAAGTGCCAGGGTTCCGCCTTTCCCGCCGTCCCGACCTCGTCCAACACTCTCCTTCGACCCGAGCATCCCGGCGCCTTCTCGAGCTCGTCTCTCAACCCTCCCCTCGCCGACCTCTCTCTCCTCTCATTGCCGCCTCCCGAGCATCGACGATCCACGCACACCGACGATCACGCGCCTCGAACATCACCGCACGTCGCGCCACGATGCAGCTCTCGCTCGCCATCCTCGTCTCCCTCCTCTTCGGCCTCGTCGCGCACGCCGCACCCCTCCCCGCACCCCTCCCCGCACCGCTCACGGGCAACCCCAAGAACCTCGCCGCCGCGGTCAAAGGGTCCACATCATCGTCGTCGACAACAAGCGCCGACCCTGTCGCGGCGTCGCTCGCGAGTAAGCTCGCCGGCATCACCAAGAGCCTCGGCAAGCTCCCTGTCCTCGCCGTCCCGGCCCTCCTCGAGCCGACTACGACCGGTCTCGTCATCAAGGTCGTCTCGAAGGCGCCGGTCGTCAAGAACGCCAAGGGTGAGCCCGTCTTTCTCTCGAGCACGTCGCTCCTTCGCCCAACTGACTCTGCTCCCCCTCTTCCTCCCTCGTCCAGCCGTCTCTCGTCGCGCCGTCCAATTCGTCAACAACCCCAAGTCCTCTCCGAGGCAGACGACGACGACCACCAAGGGGAGGACGACGACGACCAAGGTGTTCGGCACGTCGACCGGGCCCGTCAAGGTGCCCGTCGCGACGGCGGCGCACGTTGACAACCCGAAGCACGCCTTTTCGCCCTCGCCCGCCGTCAAGCTCGTCAAGTACACGTTGACGGCGCCGGGCGGCAAGACGACGGTCGTCGAGGCGCAGGGGTCGTGGTCGCACCCGGGCGAGCCCAAGCGTGCGCTCCCTCTCTCTCTCTCTTTCTCCCTCGCGGACCGCTCCTGACGTCTTTCTTTCTCCGTCGCAGCCACGCACAAGGCATGACGCCTCGATACAGCATAGACACTCGGCGGAAGTGTGGCTCCCTCTCTCTCTCACGGGCGGAACGAGTGTGCTTGGGCGCTCGTTCCTCGGTGGATGTGGCTTTCGACTTTCGGTTGTCCTCTCCCCTTCTTGGTTATCTTTTGGTCAGTGCGAATCGAGCACCATATCCTGCCGCCCGTCGTCGTCCACGAGAGCGAGAGCGAGAGGCGACGATCCTCGTTGCGCGGTGGCAGCTCGCCCGCGCTCCCTCCTCCTCGACCGCGTCGCTCGACCTCCAGCCCTCCTCGCTCGAGCAGCACCGACTCGGCGAGCGACACACCAGTACCAGCACAGCACCAGCACGCCCTCCCACCGGGCCCATGTCGCAAGCCCGCGCCCCGTCTCACGGCCGCCATCGCTCAACCTCGGGCGGTCCCGTCGGTGGCTCTGCCCAGGGCGAGTTCCGCCCGCCGCAGGACACGAGCGCCGACCTGTACGACGTGTGCAACGCCTTCTGGAGCGCTGGCCACGGTGGGAGGAGGGACGCCGACGGCAAGGAGTCGGACTGGGGCAAGGAAGGGTTCGAGACGGTCCTCGGGCGGGTCAAGAGCGCGAGCAAGGGCATCGAGGACATGCGGGCACTGCTCAAGGAGAGGTGCGCCCCTCCTTCCTCTCTCTCTCTCTCTGGTCGTGCGCGGTCGAGCCAGGGTGTGCCCTCGAGGTGGGGAGGACCCGGCGGCGCCTCTCGCGACAGCGCGGCGGCTCGCTGTGGGACATGAGCGACAGCGGGCTGTGCGGCCAGCAGCCTGCGGGCCCACGCCCGTGTCGCCTGCGGGAGCAGCAGGACTCGCACCTCCAGCTCCTCGCGAGCTGACTCTTCCCTTCTCCCACCTCCCTGCAGAGCTTCCGCGTCCGAGGACTACGCCAAGCGCCTCATCAAGCTATCCAAGCACCCGTTCGGGACCGGCGAGACTGGGTGCGTCGAGTCTCTCGTCCTCCGTTTCCCCCTCGCCCTCGCCGAGCCGCCAACTGACCTCCCTCGCCGTCGCACAGGCACATGGAGCGCGCTCAGGTACAGCTCAAGAACGAGCTCGAGAGCTCGGCCAAGAGCCAGCAGGACCTGGCGCAGCTGTTGCGGAACCAGGAGGCGACAGCGGGCGAGTTTGCCCAGAAGAGGGACTCGCTGCGCAAGGCGGTGCGTCCTGCCCTACTCTCGTCTCCCGACTCGCGAACGTCCTCCTGACGACTCTTCGACCCGTCTACAGCAACAGCAGAACGTCGAGAAGCTGTGGAAGAACCTGCTGAACCAGCGAGCGCACGTCGTCAAGGTGCGTCCTCCCTTCCGCCCACTCCCGCATCTTCGTCCCGGCATCGCCCCTGACCCAAACCTTCCTGACACAGGCCAAGGAGAAGTACGAGGCGGACGCCATCCAGATCAACGCGCTGCACGCGCAGGCGTCGCTCCTGCAGGGCAAAGAGCTCGACAAGGTGCGTCGCTCAGTCCGCTCTCCTTCTCTCGTCCCGTACTCACTCGTTCCCCCCTTCAGGTCTCGATCAAGCTCGACAAGGTGCAGCAGTCGGTCGAGGTCAACGAGCGCGACTACAAGAACTACGCCAACGTGCTCAAGCAGACGACCGCGTGCGTCCCTCTCTCTCTCTCTCTCTCGTCGGCTCCCGAGCGCCGTATTGACTCTTTCCGCGACCTGCAGCGAGTGGAATATGGCGTGGAAGGCGTTCTGTGACGTGCGTCCTCGCTCTCTCGCCCTCGCAGGCTGTCCGGTCGAGCTCACCTTGTCCCGTCCCTCCAGCTCGTGCAAGACCAGGAGGAGGAGCGCCTCGAGTTCGTCAAGTCGCGCATGTGGGACTACGCCAACGGGCTCTCGGCCGTCGCGATGCAGGAGGACGAGGTGCGCCCCCGATTTTTCGCCGGCCTGCCCGTCTTTCCCTAACTGACTCGCCTTTTCCATCTCGCAGTCGGCTGAGCGCACCCGGACCGCCCTCGAGCAGTGCGACCCCAAGGTCGACATCCGCATCTTCGTGTCGCAGTTCGGCACAGGCAACCTCATCCCCGACCCGATCCCGTTCGTCGACGTCAAGGCCAAGGAGGCGCCGCCCAAGCAGGGCTACAAGTCGGCGCGCTTCATCCGCTCGTCGACTCGTATCCCGGGCGTCAAGCACTCGCCGTCGGCCGTGGGCGACATCACGCGCGCGCTCGGCCAGCAGCAGGCGCAGCCGCCGAGGCAGGGCGCAGCGCAGCCGATGCAGATGAGCCGGTCGGGGAGCCAGCCCGAGGCCGTCGCCGCGGCACGCCCGCAGTCGCGCTCTGCCAATCGAGCGTCGAACCCGAACCTCGCCGCCGAGAGCGCCGCCGCCGCACCGGCCCCTTCCCCTCAGCAGCAGCACTTCCCGCCGCCGCCCTCCCACCCGACAGCTCCCCCTCCCGACGCCGCCCTCTCTCCTTCCCGTTTTGCCGTCTCGCCCTCGGCCAACCTGCGCGCGCGCCCGTCGTCCGAGCACATCACCCCGGCGTCGACCTCGCCCGCCAAGCCCGGCCACATGTCGGCGGGCGCGTTCCAGAACCGCCTCTCGCTCGTGTCGCCCTCGCTCGGCAGCAGCGCGAGCGCCATCGGCGAGTCGAGCGAGACGAGCTCGCCGA